GACTTTTCGCCAAGGTGAACGGATTGTTTTGTTCCGGCGCCGTGAGAGGTATACAATCAATTTTCCTCACTTTACAATCTCTCATTTTACGGCCCAGGAAGAAGGAGTGTTTGCCACTTGCAGGATAACAGAAAAAAGGCAGCGAACGGGTTACGTGAGTTTATTGAAGCGAACACCTTGGCTTATGTAAATATATGCAAGGCTGCCTTTTGAATGTCAGGCCTTACAGAATTAGACTGCGCGAGTGTTTTTCCATCTAAGCCGCAGTTTTATTGCCTAATTGGGGCTGCCGGCGCCGTTTTCGCATAGATAACTCGACTTCCTATGTAGGCATAGCAGTTTGTGGCTTATCTTTGGTTTTCAATAACGGGACGCCTCAAACGAACGCTCGAATTCATAATTTGTTCTTGTAAAGTCGAAAAATAAGTAATAATTAGTGTAATAGTCTTTAAGCCAGCTTTAAAAAAAAACACATTTTTTTAAAATTTTAATTTAAAAAAATTACCTGAAAAAGAATGAAAAAAAAATCAGCAAAAAAGGAATCAATAGTTTGATTCCCATTGTTCAGAATACCCCTTTATTGATCTCTTTTAATTCAGTTCTCAAAAATTTAGAACCAGCTCTGCGTATTTGCATATCAAAAAAGAGATTAAAGAAAACTCGCTGGCTGAATCTTTCGTCCTGATTTTCAACATCTTGAGGAGCGAGAATTGAAAATTGTTCGAGCCGTCTTCTGTGTGGTGCTAATTTAAGCCGAACCGGTTTGCCATTAAAATTTTACGGCTTGTACTTGTCCGTTTAATGCCCGTGAGATCCGGATCAGATTCAAAGGGATGCATAATTTGCTCGAGTTTGCCCTCAGGCACCGTTTTTCGCATATACGTTTATTGCGGAGCTCATTGTTCCGCACAATCGGCAATAACTGCGAGTCGTGCCTGAGCAATATTTAAATATTTAACCCCGAAGCATCTAAAGATGGGTTCGTGGCCAGGTTGGATTTATGCAAAACTATTTGAAGGTTTTTAATAAAAAGTCAAATTAATAAATTTTTTTATTCCTTTTAATTATCGCGTTTCTGCTCGGCGGTTAATTATTTTATTGGCCGCAAAAGGCCGACCTGCCGTGCGTAGATGGTGATTAGAATATTAATTCAGCGGACGGATTGAACGCGAGCGGCAAAGGCGTTCCATTATGTAATTGCCTGATTAATGTTGTTGTTCTCGTGGAGCGCGACCGACCGCGTGGATTAGCGAGGCGCAAAAAATGCTCCAACGGAGGTCCGCCCAGTGATTTCGTTTTGAATATGTAATTTTCATATTTTTTTAACTACTCTGCTCGCTGCCCGTTGGAAGAGCATAAATTTTAGTTCAAATCATGCTCCTAATTTTCAACGATTTTAAAAAATGAGGATACAGTTTTGAAAAAGATTAAATTTCCCCGTTTTTAATATCCAGTTCAATTCCAAGTTTATTGACTCATGACGTAGCTATGCAGATATTACACTCTAATTTTTTATTCAAAACTTAAAATAACAACTCTTATTAAACTTTAAGTCTTCGTGATTACCATTTAGAGCACCTTTATTTATAATTTTGTAATTAATACGCACATTAAAAACTGTTTCAAACGATTTAAAAGTTTATTCTATAATAATTATTATTGCTATTTATTTTCCCACATTGTTTACATTCAATTGTTGAAAACCATTTATTTTATAAAAAAAGGAATTGTTGGACAAAACGGCACCACCACTGGCAAGAATCTTGCTAAAACTTCCGAGATCATAAAGACACCATCCGCCGCCCTCAGTTGACTAAGTTTTTGTTCTTATCACAAAACTCGACATTGCACATATTTTATTTATTTTTTCTCGACTTGTGGTAAACATAAAAAAATTATTTGTATACAAAAAAGCGTGCATCGACATAAAAAAAAGCATAAGCAAACCAAAAATGCCGGGAAAAACAGTAGTCAATAATTTTGAAAAACTAAATTATCAATACGCATGAAATATTGAATGAGTAGAAAGAATGGAGAAATTAACGGCTTTGGTGTTCCTCTGGAGGGATAAAAATAAATTGCAGAAACATTGCTTCTCATTTCCTTGTCGTTGCTTTTAAAGCTCTGCGGAGTGACTCGGCGTAGAAGTTGCGCACATTCTCGTCTCTCTCTGTAACAATATTAGCAACGAACACAGCCGCATTATGATCACCTTGGAGCGGCGGTCGCGCAAAAAAAAACCAATACAGTAAGCGATCTGCTAAGGCGTGGTGCGTCTGTGTTATTTCAAAATTAGCATGTCCGCAAATTCTTTTTCCAACTCCGAACACATAATTGTGTACTCAATTACTCAGCTCACGACAAACACAGAAATACCTAACCCGCTGCGCACGCTTTGTCGAGTTTTATTTTTTACTTTGACCGAAAAAATAAAAGGCCTTGTGCGCCCGCAGCTGCGAATATTCTCGACTATCGATCAAAGTGCCGCGCAAACATTGCGTCACTCCAGTTCCGTCGCACCTGTGCTGAAAATTCGTCCGATTGGCGAAGTAATTCAGGCTGAGGTGCAAATGTTTTCAAGGGAATGAAGAACGAAAAGGATTTTGAGAGGCGCCGAATTCATCCTCGGATGTTCGTGTGCTCGAGTGGCCTTTCAAACGAAAGCTTTTCACTCTCAAGATGTTTGACTTGCAATCTAGGCTAGTCAAATATTCTGCATAGAGACCTCTCAATGAACTCTAAAGCCGCGCCTATAGAAAACCTCATACAAGAAAAATTTTGTTTGGTTTTTAAGGAATAAAATATTTAAATTGAGAAAGAAACGGTTGATAAATTTATGTCAAACATGTTCGTAAAATCCGCCAATTCTGGTGTCAAATCTGTCACCGCCTTATTCTGCCTTGTTCAGTCTTGTTCTGCAACAAAGGCGAGTTTCTCCTGCGCTTTTGTCACTTTGTCAAACTCATTACAAAGGCAGCGAGCCGTGCACGCAGCGAACAACTTGAGATGCGCCGCGCGGATAATGCTTGGCTAATGTCTCGCGTGTGAGCTGCATTTGCAATAAATTTCCATTCCTGTAAACATCTCGGTTTGTTTTTGAAATGCAGACCGAGTTGGCATCGGTGCACAATAATTTATGGCCGGCAAGCGTCATGACGGACGGACCGACAAAGGCAGAGGTCACGCCGGATTTCTTAAGGTGCTTTGAATGATCGCCTCTCACTTCCAGTGACGTCATTTTACATTTTTACATTATCATCGCCTTTTATTCTGGTGTGCGCCAAATAATTAAAATAATTATAAACCTTTGAAATTTGGTCGAGAACGGTTATTTTAGGATGAGCTTTTATAGAAATGATCAATGTGGACAAGCAAATGAGCAGCATATGTTGTGACAGTGAAGGAGTCATTTTGAGAGAGAACATCGTTCTTGATTAGTTTTTTTCTTTTAAATTTTTGATTGATAATGGATATTTTAGATTTGACCGGAGAAAATTTAATTAAACCAAAAAAGGAATCACTGAAATTATCTGAAAACCTCATAATTTCCTACTTATACTTTTAACAACTTACTTCACAAATCAGACCTTTTTTTAATAAAATAAATATCTTGTAATTTGTACTGAAAATAAATTTTTTTTATGTTTAATTTTTCTTAAACTTATATGCGTCTCACAAAATTCTATGTGTGTCCTTTAAAGTTTATAGGTTTATATTGCAGTGCGTCCGCCCTCGCTCTTTCTCTCGCTCCTACTCTAATTGATATTCACACAAGATTCGCCTCGCTCGTTCTCTGCTGCTGCCTCCTCGTATATTATATACCTGGCGCCCTTTGACCCACGCTAGCATTTGAGCAGCGCGTAAAAACTAGGCTTGGAATTCACGGAGCGTGAACTTCATGATGTTATAAACACGGTGGTGGTCCCGCTTGTTTATTTATTTCACCCATCCGAGCTGGACACGCGTTTTCGCAACGCACCTTATGAACTCTCCAGACCAAAATTGAATGCAAATCACGTCCATATGCGAATTTTTCTCTGGCAAAAAAAGGATTACTTCTTTAAGTTGAGGTAAATAGAAGAAAAAAAAGGAAATTCGAGCATGTATTGGACGCATTGCGGCTGATTGCTTCCCACTTGGCTAAAAATGGCAATAAAAGTGCGCTCAAGGCTCTCAGCTCTCGGGGGTCATGGGAAGGAAGGCTGGCGTGGGACCTGACAGGGCACCGCGGCGACACGCACTCGCCTCTTGAGAAAATTCGCTCTTGGAATACAAAGGAAAAAGAATCTTTTGATCTCAAATGATCTCAAACAGCAAAAGCGGTTGAGAATAATCGGTTTATCTCGCATAAAAAGTGGCACTTTGCGTTCATATCGCTCAATTCAAGTCAAGTGTTTAATGCAGTACTCAGCGATTGCTATTCAAGTGGCATTAGAATAAGGAATCCTATATAAAAATTAGCAAGACATATCTTCTTGTCTGATTCTTTCTTAACTAGTTGAACTTGTCTGGTTGATTCAATTAGTTTGAATTCGTTTATTTATTCATTATTTAAATTAACGATTAATTTTCTGAAAATAAAATAACACAAAGAAATTTATCATTTAAGAACAAACTTCGCCTGAGAAATCTTGAACCTTTTTAATTAAATAATTCTTTTGTGATTTACTTGATATTAAAATACAATCGCCTATATTAATGTCATTTAACCACAAGGTGAATCAATTGAAACTTGAAACGCACATCCGCAGTTCAGGCGAAACATAATATTCCAACAATTTCAATCCGATCTTGTTCCTCACTCAATCGCAAGCAATAACCACATGTTTGCCAGAAAAGGAATAAACCATTTGATCCCTCCTCGGTTTCGTGGTACGTCGAGAAAAGTATAACCGGGAAATCGATCCTAATCTTTTGTATCTTACATCACATTCTTCCTTTTTTATGCATATTATGTCTCAGGACTTGTTACTAAAGGAGTGTTTGCGATTTTGTTGCAGAATACGACCGCAGATCGCTCGAGAGCTGATCGACAACCTTGGTGTGTGCACAAGTGTTACTCCCGGAGAGCCGCAGGTGCAGCTGGGAAAAGGCAACCTTTTCACCTATGACCACGTTTTTGACACAGAGGAGGTCCAACAGGTCATCTACGAGGCATGTGTTGCCCAGCTAGTCGAGGGCGCCCTCGAGGGCTACAACGCCACAGTCCTCGCATATGGACAGGTAACAAAATGAAATTTTTATTAATTATTTATCATTTTCATCAAAAATTTAGGAAATAATAATAATTATTTTATTATATCTAAGCATTTAATTTAAAATTTGCTTTTTAGAGAAGAAAAATCCCAAGATTTTGTGAAATTATTTCCGACTTGTTAAATTTTCAGACAGGATCAGGCAAGACCTACACTATGGGCACAGGCTACGAACTGACTTGCGGCATCGAACACGTGGGCATGCTCCCCAGGGCAATCAGACACATCTTTAGTGGAATTGAGTCTCGGCAGGAGCAGGCTAGAGAAGCCGGTTTGCCTGTTCCGGAGTTTAGAGTTGAGGCTCAGTTCATTGAACTGTACAACGAAAACCTCTATGACCTGCTGGAGCCCGACAGGTCTATACAAGTAAGAAAATTGATTATATTTTCAAGAAAATATAAATGAACATTTTTATTTCAGGAGCCTAAAAACATCAGAGTTCACGGTGACCACTACGGAGGTATTTCGGTCGAGGGTGTCACGCGGGCTTCTGTCAAGGTGGAGGAGGAAGCCATGAGCTGCCTCAGGAATGGTGCTCTTAGCAGGTCTACTGGCGAGACCCAGATGAATCAACAGTCTTCCAGGTAATTTTACATAAATAAAAGCTGATAAAAAACAATTATATTAAAATATATTTTAATGTTTTCCAGATCGCACGCAATTTACACCTTGCACATTCAGCAGCGCCGTTTGGCTCCAGAGGAATCTGAAGACAAAGAGAATGGAGTCACCGGCGACTTTGAGACTCTCACCTCAAAGTTTCACTTCGTGGACCTGGCAGGTTCTGAGAGGCTGCATCGAACCGGCGCCACTGGTGAAAGGGCCAAGGAAGGCATTTCTATCAACTGCGGACTTCTGGCCCTTGGAAATGTGATTTCAGCTTTGGGGGACAAAAGCAAGAGAGCCATGCATGTCCCCTACAGAGACTCCAAACTGACCAGGCTGTTGCAGGATTCGTTGGGTGGAAATTCTAGAACTGTAATAATTTTGATCTCTTTTAAGGTTTGTTCTAATCTATCATAATTTTAAATTGCAGGTTATGATCGCCTGCATTTCACCTTCAACGCAAGATTTTATGGAAACGCTGAGCACCCTCAAGTATGCAAACAGAGCCCGCAACATCAAGAATAGAGTCACCATCAACCAAGACAAATATTCGCAGCAACTGCACCAGCTCAGGCAAGAGGTGCAGAGGTTACAACTGGAGCTCTTAGAGTACAAGCAGGGCAAAAGGATGATTGGTTCCGACGGAGAGGAGTCGGTGAATGACATGTTCCATGAGAACAAAATGCTGCTGGCAGAGAACAACAACTTCAGATTGAGACTCAAGGCCCAGCAAGAGACTATAGACACCCTTACAGCAAGGTTTGTTAATTTGCGGAACCTCGTTGTCATTGATGCAATTTTTGGCATTTCCATAAATTAGGAACACTGACATTAAGACGAAGTTGGCTACGAGTTCTTGGGTTAGCAGTGGCGGGGATGCTGAGACAAGCAATCAGATTCATGAAATGCTGCACAAATACGTCCAGGAGGTTGAAGACCTCACCTCGAAGCTTATGGAATCTGAGGCTTTGTGCCAGCAGCTGAGAGCAAACAATGCCAAAATGCAGCCAAGGTTTGTAATGATATTGCTTGTCTCACTTTTTTCATATAAGAAGAAGAAAATTTGAATTCAGCCTATTATTTCTTAAAGTTAATTTATTTCTGCTTCTAAATATCCTATATCTACATTTTGGTTTCTTAATTTTAATGAATTTACTTTATCAGAAATTGAAATAAATAACTCTAATAAATCGTTTTTTTATCTAGAGCTGCTTTGAGTCCTCGTCCAAGCACTGCTGGCTTAGATTTTGAAAGCCCGTCCGTCATGAACCTGATTGAGGCAGCTAAAAAAGGATTGCAGAGAGAACAAGACATGCTGCAGAGGTCAAAGAGTGAGATTTTGAACTCAAAGATAGAGCGAGATTCTGAATCTTCGGAGGACGATGACTCTGACCTGGACTCGGATTCAGACAGTGAGGAAGAAAAAGAGCATCAGCAGGAGGAGCAGCGAATGGGTGAACTGGTCTGCCTGGAATCTGAAATAAACATCAAGCAGCAGCTTATTGAGCAGCTAGAGTTGTCCCAGAGGCGAATGCACTCGATGAAGCAACAGTACGAGGAGAAACTGAGGCAGCTAGAAGCGAGAATGGAGGCAACTAAAATCGAGAGGGACAAGGTGCTGGCAAGTTTGTCTGGCAAAAACGCTCCACAGGACGGCACCACTGGTGAACGCATCAAGAGAGTCAAAGAGGACTATGAGAGGAAGTTGGCCAACATGCAAAAGGAGCTCAAGACTCTGCACACTGCCAAGAAGGAGCACGCCAAAGTCCTCAAAGAACACTCTCGAAACGAAAGCCAGCTCAGGCAGTTGAGGAGTGAATTGTCGGAAATGAAGAAGACAAAGGTGAGCAAAAACTTTATTATTGTTTTTAGAAAACTTATTTGGATAAAAAAAAATTGCCGTAACCAAACTTAATCAAATGAAACTAATATAATTTTCTTTTAAATCAATTTAAACATTTGTATTGTGCTCAAAAGGTTCGCTTGGTGAACAAGATGAGGGAGGAAAGCCAAAGACACAAGGTCGAGCAGGAGAGGCGAAACAGGGAACTGGCGCAGCTGAGGAAGGCAAATCGCAAGCACGAGAACCAGATCCGATCTTTGGAGGCTGAGAAGCGTGCCAAGGACGTGGTGCTCAAAAGGAGGCAGGAGGAGGTCAACGCCCTGAGGAGGACCCAGTTCTCAGGGATGTCTTCGAAGGCGGCTGGCAAAATTGGCGGCAGAAAGGGTGGGTCACCCCCGCCCCTAATTCTCTCTTTCCCCCCAACCTCGTCTAAGCCCCCGGTCGGGCGCACTGAGGGCTATCGTGGTGTTGCAGCCCTTCAAAGAAAGGCGAGCACCTTCTCGCCCAAGGTCGCCAGGCAGAGGTGGTCCACGCTTGAGAAGAACATCACTCAGATTACCATCACCAAGAAAACTATTGCTGATTTGGAACACCAATTAGAAAGGTGAGAGTTGATCAAATCAGAAAATTTTCCTATGTAGAGGTCCAATTAATTCAAAGTAAGTTGCTTTGATAATCTAATGGAAAATTTTGAATTCATGTTTGTGAGCTTGAAATAAAGCTTGCTTACAGAGGGTGTTGTAAGTAGTTTGTTCTAGACTTTTAATGGAAGCTCTTTTTTATAAAATCATGACATTTCTTTTCAAATTGCAGTCATCTGGAATCTAGAAGGCAACATGGTCAAGATTATGCTGAGACGAGGAGGAGGTTGGCCGAGGCACGGGCCAGAGGTGAACACGAGGACATCATTGCTGGGCTGCAAGAGAGGCTGAAAGAAATCCAGGCTGGAGTGGAATTCACTCAGGAGATTATTGAAGAGACTCAGCAGAGCATCATGCAATTGGAAGACACAAGAGTAAGAATTAGAAATTTGTCGTAACTCTGACGTTGAAATTACAACTTTTGTTCAGGACGGATCGGAGCCAGGAGATTTTGAGGCAGTCATTAATGAGGTCGATGAGTTGGGAGAGGCCAAGTACCTTCTTTCAAAGCTCTACCTTATGACGGTCAACCAGAGTGTGGCTGTTTCTCAACAAGAGCAGGCAAACCGAAATCTAGAAACAAGACTTAAGCAGGTGAGGACTAAATATTAAATTTAGATTTTTATTTCAATTTTATTTGCTGCCAACTAGATTGTTAAGGGCGTTTCAGCGTTCCATGAAGAAATAATAAAAGTAAATTTTCCCCTTTTTATTTTGGTAGCAGCTAGAGTTTGCTTTTATCCCAGAGAAATACTATATTTCGCCTGTTTTAATTTGTGTTTTCTTGCAACAGCTCGAGCAAAAGAATGCTCTTCAAGAAGAACTCCTCCAGCACGTTGTGCAGCAGCAAGGTCTGACCAGAACCATTAGCTCTTCCACTGTGGTACTCTCAGACGAGCCACATCCAGGTTGTGTTATGTTGAGTGACAGTTCCGACGAGTCCAGAGCTCCATCACCCAATCCCAGGTTTTTTCTTCAGTACTATCTTTTCAGTCAGGAAGTAATGTGAGCAGTTTGCTTAGTGTTGCCAGCAGCACCAAATCCAAGGCCCGCAAGAGGACAGCTGACCCCCAGCAGATGCTCTACATGAGGGAATCGTTTGTCAGCTCCCCGTTCAACACGGAAAAGGAGAATCCAGTTCAGCTCATGCCTCCACCCGCTAGGACAACCAGTGCTTCTCTAAGGTAAGAATTTTGAGACCTTCTCAAAATTTATAGAAAAATTACAAGCGCAAATTTGATGAACCAAATATTATTTGGATTAAAATTTACTTTGAATTGAATTTTGCTTATATTTTTTGCGCCTCGCAGTTTCATCTAAGTTTGTAGTTTTCAACTTTAGTTTGCTTTTGTTGTTCGTCAGGCTCAATAACCCGTCGCAGACAAGTCCCATGGTTACTCGCAAGCAGTACGACACGTCCTCCTTGGCCAGCCCCAGGATGGCCCGTCGCAACACGTACACAGTCAAATCTAGTCTGGGGCAGTCCGCCCATCTGGGCTCCATGTGAGTTGTTCTCCAGCAGGGCCAAGCATGAAAATTGCCAACATTTAAACAAGCTTCAATTTTATCATAATTGTATTTTATCAACCAACTAATTCCAATATGTCATGATTCCATTCTCATGCTCAGTCTCAAACACATTCCATAAAGTTATTTTACTCAATTCGACCATCATTAGATTATTTATTTTCAAAAATTTCCTTTACTGGTTGCTACTTTCTCATTTCGGCTTCTTTTACCTATAATATCTCAGTGTTATGTTGGTCGTTCAGTGGTGGGCTTATTTTAGTGGGGCTGATTGATTAATAAGTTGTCATGTGTGCTTGTGCTGGGTACTAACTAACCCCCTACTCACCCTTGGACTGACAGGGAGCAGGGTATTGACGCTACCCCTCCGAGCTCACCACCCACCTTCAGACGCACTGTCTCGAGAGAAGAGAAAAATGTCTTCTCTCGTCTCACTTCCACCGCTGGGGTCACAAGAGACGAGAAGCCTGGACACGGCGTCATTAGCCAATTCGGTGGACGAGTGAGTAAAATTTTTTTTAAAGCAAATAAAATCATTGTGTGTCTAAAAAATAAAATCATAGTTAACCTTTAATTTCATTCTTTATAGAGGTTTCTAGAAAAATAAATTTTAAATTAAAATAATTAGTACATGCATTCAATTCAAGTAAAAAGACTATTTAATGAAAAATTTCAGGTTGCCCACAAGTCACCTTTAATTTGCACACATGTTGCCGAAGGGCATTCGAAGGCTGTTTTATCTGTTGATGCTACAGAAGATCTCCTATTTTCATCTTCCAAAGGTAGATATTACAAAACACAAGAACAAAATTTAAAAAGAAAAAATTATTTTTTCAATTTATTTTCAGATCGCACAGTTAAAGTTTGGGATTTGAACCAGGGCCGCGAGCGAGATTCGTTAAGCGGCCACCCAAACAACGTCGTCTCCGTCAAGTTCTGCGAACGCACCGGCCTTGTTTTCTCCGTGTCGCACTGCTTCGTCAAAGTGTGGGACCTGAGGCAAAACCCTGCCAGGCCCATTCACACCCTATGCTCTTCGGGCAACACAGCTAACGGCTCGTTTGCCATGCCCGACCCTCTGGACAACCCTGGTGGCTCCCCAATCAATGACATTGCCCTCAGCGAGCATGGCGAAGTTCTCTACATGGCTGCTGGAGGCAAAGTTCGTGTCTGGGACCTGCGAAGGTTTGTTTAAATTATTTTTGCATTGTATTTATTATTTAAGAAAAATTTATATCTTGAATATATTTTTTTAAATTTAAATTTTCTGAAAATGGATCACAAATATTTTTGACAAATTTTGATTTGTTTTCTTTATTGGTAGGTTCGAGAAAGCTGGGCAGTTGATGGGTGGCCATCAAGCTGCCGTGATGTGTCTGGCTGTAGGCGCGCTTTCCCAGGTCGAGGACCGTGTCATCACTGGCAGCAAGGACCACTACATCAAGGTGTTTGATGTGCCCAGATGCATGGAGGGCTACCTCACGCAGCCCACCATCAACCTTGACCCTCCCCATTACGATGGTGTGCAGTCCCTAGCTCTGTCCAGGGACACGCTGTTCTCCGGCTCCAGGGACTTTTCCATTAAGAAATGGGACCTAGGCCGTAAAGAGTGCCTACAGGTTAGAACTTCTACTTTTTCAAGCAATAAACTTATAAAGCGTTCCAAATTGATTTTCGTCCACTTTTTTGTTCTCAAACAAATGTGACTAAATTCATTATTATTAAAAATTTGCAGTCAATCAACGGTGCTCACAAAGACTGGGTGTGCGGCCTGGCACTCCTCCATGATGGCCTCCTTGTGTCCGGCTGCAGGGGTGGCGTGCTCAAGCTGTGGGCCACAGAGTCATGTCTGCCCTTAGGTGAAATCAAAGCACACAATTCGCCTATCAACGCTGTCACCACAAACTCCACTTGCATCTTCTCAGCCTCAAAGTGAGTCATTTTAAAGTTCCACTAATTTCTCTTCAACTCATTTTGTGCATAAAAATTTACACCAGCCTGATTTCATAGAATTCTATCTAACTGCATCATATCTTTCTTTACTAACCCTGTGGTGTTGGCTGCCTTTTCTTCTCACTTTTGCAGCTGCGGAGAAATTCGCATGTGGAAGGCTCCCCTGCATTCGGCCATGACCATGTCCACCGGTCACCTCTTCGCCCTTTCTCTGTAGACAAGATACGCCTTGTAGGACTGATTCAACTTGCGCATTTAATTACTAAAAAAAATTATATCTTAACAGAAACCCTCGAAAAAAAAATCATAATCTCTTCGATTAGTGATGCAGATTTTGTGATATTGCTTCAGAGCTAAAAACCAATAATGAAAAGAGTCACCCTCTGTGATCCCTTTCAATCCTTTACATTGTAGAATTTATATCCCTATCTGTAACTGAAAAAAAAAGATCAACTCCCCATAGTTTGCGACCTTGTAATCAACCTAATTGGCTGATCTGCTGCTGACCTTGAATCGAAGACTAATATTTAAAATTGGGCTAAAAAATAGCTTCGCTTAAAACTCTCAAGAAAACGTTCAGCTGCAAACCAATATTTGGGAGAGTGGCTGAAAAAATGCTATACCATTTTCATGTGTTGATGTGTATCAAGTGACTCGTTAAATTATATAATCTCTCTTCCTCTCAATGTAATCATTTGCATATCTATTGGTGCACCTGGGCTGAAGAAAAAGTGAAAAGCACACAAAATATTTTTGAACTTGAAATGCTACCACGTTAATTGATTCTTCACCCAAGAAGTTTCAGCCCAGGACAGTTTGAATGTATTTTAATAGTATATTTGTAATAATGCTTGATTTGAATGTGTAAAGTAAGACAGTTCTCTCAGGAGAACTCATTTTAGAGCACAATAAAAACGATAAGAAAATATTTAATCCAGAGAAAAAATATTTCTCTTTAAAAAAAAGCTCCAAAAATACACAGTATCAGGTAATTTGATATTACATTTTTAGCGTTCATTTATTTATTTTGTTTTTCCATTTATTTCCTTTGTTTGCATGTTTCGTTCTTAAAATTTTTCTTTTATTTAACAAGAAGTTCTGAAAATTAGATAACCAGTCATTTCATATTTTTATTTTTATTTCAGCGATCAAACGGTGAAGATTTGGCGACCCCGACTGTCCCTCAACTTGTGATTCCTTGATAGGAAAGTATTGTGCAACATTCCACCGACGCCCCAAGAGACTTTCTCATTTAAAAGACGTCATTAATGTAACTAACTAATCAACCTCTAAATCTTGCCTGATCCTAACTCTGTGTCTGTCAATGTGATACCTCAATTAGCTAGTATTTTAAATAACAAATTCAAACCCTTAGTCTGTCTGTGGGTGTGTCCGTCCAAACTTATAATTATTTAATACTTGTTAATTAATTGGCAAGATCCCTTAGCTCAAATTCATTCTGTGATTGTCGATCCCTGTTCGATTGAATAATTTTTTTAGATTTGGCTGCTCCAGAGTGTGAGGTATTAATCTACCCAGTATTCTAACGCAACTGGCATTTTGGTTTTAAATAGTTTTAATTCTCTGCAATTGCAGTACAATTTCCTGATTTTACAGAAATCACTTCTTGTGGTTTCAGCCGAACATTTCTAAATATGTGTTTGAGAATAGTAGCACTTGTAACAAACTAGAAAGATCGAAACTAGAAAGATTGAAAAACTTTGTTTTTAACTTGTATGATCACACGTCATTGAATTATTTTGAATAAAATTTTTAAAATTAATTAGATTGTTTTACGAACCTGACCAAATTTTCATTTCTTTTTTCATTATGGTTTAATTTTTTTTTTTTTAATAAAGCTGCCTAAAAAACTCTTTTTTAAAATATCTTAACTTAAAACATTAAATTCTTTACATTGCCATTAAAATCGGTAAGATTTGTTATTGGTAGAATTTTATTGACATCAACAGTCTCAACAGAAGAAAAAAGTCAAAAAATGATATTTTAACAAACAAGGAAAGTGATAAATTGTGTAATAATATGTCTGTGGTGTGTGTGTGGAGCCGAATTTTAGTTTTACCCGCCAAAAGGTCGGTTTTAATTCACGACCTATTGGGGATAAAACTTAAACAAGAGCCTCCCATATAAATATTATGTTGTCAAGTGGCCAAATAATATGTCATAGTTGGAAATGCTGTCATTTAAAAAGACAGAATCTCCTCTCTATGACATACCAATTGAAACCACCACAGATCCGAATTCTTTCAAGTTAAGAAGCAAAAATAGAGAGAGGTGTTTTCGGCAGATTGGTTTTGATTGATTGGTGAGGATCAGCCTGACTTGAGTTGGCGCAATTAACTCAATAAGCTGGATAATCGTACCCCCTCAAGTCATACCAAATCCACCATGTGTGTGGTGCGTATAATTGTGTGTACAATAATGATGTCCATGGAGGGTCAGATAGGCCGGGACAAGTGCAATACTGGAATGAAGAAAAAAACAGCACTGCCACCTGGCACGGCCTTACTGGCCAGTCCGGTTCAAAATTACAATTCAAAAAGCAAAATTAATACTCCCAATTTACATAGAACAAATTCTGATGAAAACCAAATTCTCTGTTTTTACAAAAGATAAAAAATAAGGATTTCTCAACGAATTTGCTATTATAAATTGAGGTTTTAAGTTAATCAAAGTTAAAATCACAGAACCGATATTTTTGCTCCAAATTTATACAAATAAAATTGTATATATCTGTCGGCTGAATATCGACAAATGCGAGAGAGGATCTTCATGTACAGAAAACTTCAAGACAAATGATGACACACAATAGTCCGCGTCTCCATTTATATAAGTGTGAGGCGGCGCGGGGCTGCACTCTGGACTCTCTGGAGGCAGCGTGCGCTGGAGGCAGAAAGAATGCAGAGAAAGAGGAATAATGGTTGGAATTTTAATAATACAATTGCGCAAAGCCACGTGAAACTGGAATAGGACGTACAATGGGCCCCGGAATTCAAGAAAAGTAAAACTTGGGTTTGGTGGAGAAAGATATAAAATTAAGTTTTCTATAGATTTGGTATTTCTACAAAATATTTACGGCCGCAGAAGTGATTCTGGTGATTCCCCAAAATTTGTATGGAAGAGTAAGAAATTTTAATTAAAAATGAATATAGAATTAACAAAATGAGAACTTGGTAACTCTCCATTAATAAAAAAAAAAATACATTAGAATTGTTCATTAAAAACTATATCAATAAAAATAATGTAAAAATTTAAAACTTTGATAACCAACACGCAAACATTTCTAACCCCTTTAAAAATGCTAAAGGAAAAAATATTAATGCGTTTATGAAAATAATTTAACCACATTTTTGCTGTTAATGCTGCGTTGAAATTTTGAAAAGGATATTAAATTGGTACGAATCTTAAACAAAAAATTTTAAGCACAAAAAAATAATTATACATATGGCAGCAAATTTAATTCAACGATGTTAATTAAAATTATTTATTATTTAATTTCTTTTTTGATTTTTTTATTCTTCTCGGCAATAATAAAGTTTAAGAGAAAATAAGAAGCTCAATTCAGAAGATAAAAATGTATTAATTTATTTCGCATTGCTAATTTTCCTTCTGCTAATATCTTATCACCAATTTGTAGAAAAAGTGTTTCCGTTTTTCAATTTTTAATGGATACTGCCCGCTGCGTCGTCGACGATTGCGAGCAACTTGAGGGGGTTGCTTTTGTACCCCCAGGAAACAGTATATTTGTGCAGGAATTTTCAACAATGCGTCAAAATTCTCAACCCCCGGAGCGGAACGAGGGATGCAACGCGGCGCATAATGGGAGCACTATGTATTATGCTCTGTGAAAAAAATCTACCTATGTACTCGCTCGCGGACCGAGAATTTTTGTACATGGGGCTCGATCGTTTCTCTCACCTGGGACGTGGAAAATTGTGCGTTTGTGCGCGGGCCATCTGCCGTGCCGAGCGCGCGAGCCTGCGTGTCCAGGTGGCTGCTTCGAAGGCAGCTGGGCTACTTCGTACCTTCAGCCAGGGGACACGAGCCTGCAACAAAATTTATTTCCATCTTTAGGTCGGCGCAGATGCTGATAAAAAATAAATAGGAAGGAACTGAAGGCAGATTAAGAGAAGACTTCTTTTCTTGCCTCGGATTATTTAGGGCGAGTAAAAAAAACGCGGAATTGCACCTATTCATGTCTCCGAAGGTCGAGGAGATTCATTTTTCTTGCAACTTGTTCAAATATGGCTGCAAATAGAGTTCAATAAAATTCATGTAATATTGCAAAGTAAAAAAGAAAAATGAATTTGGATTAGAGTAAATTGTGAGGAAACTGTTTATATCAAATGTGTTAGGAAATTATTGTAAGCAGAACTAAAAAAATTTAAATTTAAAATCTGGTATTATTTATTTTTGCGTTGAAAGTAATTAAACAAATTTTCAGTTTGACGAAATCAAAGATTTTAAAGAACAAAACTTTAAATGATCGATTATGCAGATTATTTTAGTGGAGAAGTTAACTCCTGAGGAGACGGATCATAGAAGTGAAGAAAACCGGCTTTGTCTTCATTGAAAAAATTTATTATATTCAAAAACCAACGGCCACCACTTTCGGTCGTGGTCTGCCCCCTATTTTCACAAGCAAGAAAAAATACATAAATCAAAAAAGTGGAAAATCACTTTTCAAGCAAATAAGAATTTAAAAAAAAATATTTCCTTATTTTGTCAAATTTTGCTATAAAAATTATTAAATAATTTTGATGATTTTTTTAAATAGGGTCGCAGACCATGATCAAAGCTGGTGGTTTGCTTTTTGAATAAAAAAAACTTTTTCAGCGAGGAAAAGGCCCGTTTTCTTCTCTTCCATGATCAGATTATTGTAAACAAATTTTAAAAAATAAAATTTGTTCTAAATTATTTACGCCGAGCAGACGCCGAGGTTCGATTACTTCCTAAAAATGATGATGAAAGTACCATCTCATGTGACCAGGATCGAGGATTATAACAAAAAACTCATAAATACGAGCGCGGTCCTTTCCCATTCAAAGACAGAATGAAAGGGGGGAAGCAGCCAAAAGGAAAAAAATGGGACTTTTGGTGGAGCATGGAAAATGTAATGGCTCTTGGTGTGTTTTTACACAGGAGCGAAACTAGACTGAAATAAGCGGCCTTTCCTGTATGCTAATCAGGTATGTGTATTGAGAATGCAAGTGTGCGCGTCATTCTGCCGAGCTTCCTCCCAATAATGGCCGCGCCAGTCCCACGGTCCCGACCCAAAGGTCAATTCTCACCCTGGACAAAGAAAGGCGCTCGACAATAAAGCATATAAAAAGCGAAAAGTCGCCATTAGGTGTCGATAATAATGCACTTTGGGGACATTTCGACCGCCGGAATTTACGACCGCGGATGTCCGCCGCTTATTGTTGTCCAAACACACACGTGTCCGCACAAAATTAAAAAAAACATCGATGGAATGCGAGTTCCATAAATCACTTTAAATAAGTAATGAAAAGGAAGAATTGAATCCATTATTTTTCATGTGCATTCCCAGATTTCAGTTTGCTTCAATTTCAAATGATTTTTTATTCAATTTTTCAACGCTTTGAAATTCAGCAATTTGTATAATTTTTATATATTTCAAGAAAAAAAAATTGTCTTATAATTCTTTATTTAATTTTATACTAATTCAAATTTTCGAAATTTTCAAATCTTTTTTTCAAAAATAAAATAAAATTTCATTGTAAAACTCATAATTGTTGATTCGAAATATGCATAAGTATGTCTGCAGGCAGCTTACTTTTGAGGCCAGCGAATTTGGGAAATAATAAATCAATCTTCTCTTAATTCTTATGCAAATGAAAAAAAATTGGTCACATTTTGCAATTGTTGGAAGACGGAAGACTATGAGAAATTTCAACTGTTTCACTTGCTTATGCCGATGAGGAAGGAGGAAGGAGTCTTTTAATCATTATAAATTTTTTTTTATAATTGCATGTTTCCAAATTTCTAAATTTAATTTTATTGTATATTTTCATAACGCATATTTCTGTATTTCTGACTAAAATTTAAAAAAAAAAACATTGAAATCGAAATAAAATTGTCAAAATTTTTGGGTGCTAAAAACATTTGATAGGAAAACTAACTGAAAATTATTATCTTTAAAATAATTCAATTTTGAAAAAAAAAATGAAAATTACTGTATATATTAATTTTTGCCCTAAATAATTCGCATCTCTTGAATTGTGGCTACTGCCCCTCAGCTGAAACATGTAGAGCAAATTATTATTTTTTTTCCTGGAACAATAAACGACCCATCAAAGCCGACCGACTAAATTCTCATTCTGGCGAGTTAAAAAAAACAATAGATATGCATTTTGGTAACCAGCCCATCACCACAATGATGGTATGAAAAAATCCTGCACGCGATTATTTATTCGTTCAGCTGGAGCGCAGTAATAACGATAATTGCAATCTGAACGTGCAATTACGAGCAATCGTCGTTAATCCGTCAGGCGGCGAGATCGAGCCGATGATCCGCGGCCATGCATGTTCGAGGCGTGTTCGTAGTTCGAGAACTTTGATTGAAAGGTGGAGACAAACATACGCATCCTACCTATGTATCTGCGATAGATGTACATAATATGTAATAAAAATAAGCGAATCTCTATTCCAATTATGCATTCAGGCAGGCTTTTTGTAATGGGGAACTCTCATGGGAATTTATTATTTGTCGTGTCTGCGATGCAAACTGCCGCCGCCGCCGGGATTGATGGTATTATAAAAGAGCAGCCAGGCCGGATATGACGCATGGCTAAATTCAGGTCCACCCTGTCCTGAACACACCCTTCTGATGCCAGCACATAAATAAAAAGAAGAATGGAATTGATAGAGAGAGAGAGAGAAAGTGCTCGAAAATGCAATCATTGCAGCGCTTTTCCCAGAGCAATAAAAATACAGCTAAACGTGTTGATCAGAAAAAAATTAAAGGAAAAAAATTTGATTTTGAGAATTATTGAATTCAGTTGTTGAAAGAAAATCCAAAAACAACCTATAAAAACCTGTGCATTTAATTGCACTACATTATTATTCATTAAAACTGATTTAAAAATATAAAGTAGCAATTAAATCAAATAAATTATTGCAAATAATTTAATAATTTTTTAATTAATTACGCTACGAAAATTGACGAAATAATGAAAAACTGATAAAAGTGGGTAAGTTTCGTGAAAAGCTGTGAAATGAAATTTTGTTTCTTTTAATTTTTTCCCCATATTTTCTATGCGAGGAGAAACGTGGCCGCTACCCGCGAGAACATTCAAGGTGCTTAGAGAGGTAGGTAGGTTTTTGTGGCCCCTTTTGTGTGCTCTAAAGAAAAAAACCTCCCCTTTGCAGCTGATGCACATCAATTGAATTGAATCAAGCGACCCAAGAAAATAAATATCAAGCAGCTCATCTGCTCTCTCTTCCTCGCGCTCACTATAATATTGTGTAATATTTTGTATGCAGTACATTTTTATAGTTTCTTGCGTCTCAGCTGCGCGATCAAGTCTTCTTAAGAGAGTTTGCGAAAAAAAAAGATAGAATTTTCAAAAAAAAAAAACAAATAATGATTTAGTTTATCAATTAGTAAAAATTTTAAGTTTGAATTCCAGTGAAAGAAAAGATGCATAATATAAAAAAACTCCATCCGTTCTACTAAAATTTGGAATTGTGTGCAAGTTTTAAGAAATTTTAAATTATGTACCTGTAAAATTGGCATTAAATTAGTTATAATCGTTTTAATTAAAATGATATTATTTATCATGTATAATTAACTGCGGTATATATAAGACTAGTGCTATGCCCAACATTTAAAAAAAATATATGTCATCTAATTTTCCACTAAATTCGTCGGAATTTCAAAGAGAGGGCTTATTTATTATATTGCATAAAATTAATATAAAATACGGAGAAAGTTTAAAAAAGTGATGCATTATTTCCAGATAATATTAAAATGTAACATTTTATTTTTGAAGAAAAAATAATATCCCTCCAACTTTCGAACCACGAGGAGAGCAGCGCAACAACTTTTAATTAGTTCAAATTTATAATTCCAATCAGCCACACGCCAAGATGAATTGAATAAGAGTGATTTACGGTTTGTGGCAAAGTTTCTTCTTTGTGTTACCTCAACAGATGAAACAGGCAAGGCAATCCAATCAACGAAACACGTCCAGACTTGTTCGTCACTGACGATTCCTGCTTCAATTATGGTGTTGGTGTTGCTGCTGAGAGGAGACGAGCAAAAGTGGAGGAATGTGGAGGAATGAAAAAGAGTGGCCAACAACACGTCGGATGGCTGAATTTCCCCACCCTTCCCGCAATCCGTCTATTGTGCTGCTCCGTGCAGAACTACCCCTCCCTTCCGCACCTAACAGAAAAGGGCATTCAGGCGGCAGACGAGCAGCTAAGGAGGAAGGGGAGAAGATAGAATAAATTGGGGAAAAGGAAAAATAATAATATATTGGTGGTTGTAAAAGCCGTAAAGCAAGCAATCCAGAAAAATATTCCAGCAAAAGTTATAATTAAAAGTTATATTAATTAAGATGATTTTTCTGGCATTTTATTTATGAAATTAAGATAAATTTTATAAATAAATATGATAAGTAAAGTCAAGCGACATATTTGATATTTATTTCCGCATTAATTCAAATTATGCTATTGCTCTTTCGTGATTCTTGACCTGCATTAAATTTATGTTGTCACGTACGTTATTACTAAGTAAATTACGTGATTTTAGTATAATTCACATTTCATTGCACTACTCTTGGAAAACTATAATTAAAAATTAAGGCAGTTTTAAGCATTTTACTTAAATCTCATGAGAAAAATTTAGAATTTAAAAAAAAATATGCTAACAATAAATATGTACTCACTTAACAAGCTCGCAATACAGAATACACTTTTATTGGATCGTAATAAATGACTGGACCTAGTGGAAAATATATTAAATTTCAACAAAATATTTGGAGATTTTAATTTTTCTTAAAATTTTAAATTGCTTACTAATTTTCCTAATTTTAATTCGCTTAATTATTTTTAAAATTTTCACATTTGACGCATTGACGATTCATGCAAAATATTATTTAATAAAAATATTAATTGCTTTAGAATTAGAATACATTTTTTTCTTCATCTTTCTCCTTATGTATTAGATTAAAGAAAATAATTTCCCTTATATAATAATATTTTAATTGAGTCAAATTTGAGTTCAACCAGAGCTCAACCGCAAATTATTCATGAAATCAAAATTTCAAGATTTATTTTTATTTTTTCAATTTGCAGTACATAGTAATAAACACTTTTTAAAATTTTAATTATAGGCAGTCTAGCAATAAACTCACTGTAGAAAACTGTTTTCAGACTCCCTCTATGAAATGAAAAGCAAACTACTTAATTTTTCCGCCACTTTGCTCAAATTTGATTGGCTGCTTGGCCAGTGTTGGGCGCTCTGATTGGCCGGTTTTTACAAAGCCTCTTGCATGACTGACAAGCGCTGGCTAAATTGGCTAAAATCACAACAACAAAAACACCTGAACACGGGGTTTAAAATTTCCCAAGTCACCGATTTCTCGTCAGCCGCCTTTGAATTCGTCCACAGTCGGTCGACTCGACTCGTGCAGTTCTTAAAAGTTCAAGTTTCTCGTTGTAGAGAAAGTCCTCTTACCTTCTAAAATGACCGACCCGGCCGCCGGCTACAGGCTGAGCAACGTCCTGCTCGGACACACCGGCGACGTGCGAGGCGTCGCCGTCACCCTAGACGGAAGTCTGCTGTCCGCCTCCAGGGACAAAACGGCCAAATTGTGGACGCTCGACAGGTTGAAAAAATTCTTACATTAATCTCGGCAGAAATTTCAATTGCGGAATTTTCAGCTTCCACCCGATGGCTGCGAGAACCTACAAGGGCCACACCAACTATGTATCCTGTGTTTGTGCAATGCCCCCGAACGAGGCTTACCCTGAAGGACTGGTCTTGAGTGGCAGCAACGATCACACAATTTGTGCCTTCCACCCAGTGACAGAAGACTTGCTTTTCAAATTGGAGGGACACACTAATGTTGGTGAGGAAAATAAATATTTTCTCTAAACAGGCTCTCTTAATTGTTGACTCGTTGATAGATGATAAAGTTTCAGTAATTTTAGTCTTTACAATTCACAATCTTTTCTGCACTCATCAACGTTTTCTGTTCTGGCATAGTGATGTGGAAATACAAGGGCCATTTTACTAAAGTTTGAATTGGAAATTTGAACTTAAGAATTCAGATTGGTTGTTGAATTAGGTTATCTTATGAGTTTCCAAATATTTTATAGCCAAATTCAAGATTTGCCTGAGCCATATTATTGAACTTTTGAAATTTTACTTTTCCAGAATAATTGTGTTATTGACTTGCATGAAAATCTCACTGATTAGAATCCTATCTGTCTGACACTTCTGGTTTAATATATAGGTACTTTTAAAATTTGAGTGACGAGTGAAGGGTTGTTCTTTGCTGAAATCGGTCGGGGGCCGCAGGATTTTGTGTTGAGAAGGGTGTTCTTTGCACCCCAGTTGTACGCAAAAGCGGCGTTTAATACAAAATCCTTTTTTTCCCCATTAGGACTTATTTCTCTTAAATAAAAATTATATTTTTTCACAAATTCATGATTTTTATATTTTAAAGAATAACATCAATGAGCTTCCATGTAGTATTTGGGTGGCATTTCCATTGATTTCAGAAAAGCGTTCTAAAAATACACTTTCCATTATCCAACTTCTCAGGAAAAACTTAAAGCTTTCATTACAGAATTAATTATTATCAGTCTTAAAGACTTTTTTCTTTAAAAATTGTACCCTGGCATTATCATAATTTTTTTGCAACTCTGCTTGGCGTGAAATTACAAAAAGTTCACTCATTGTCAGACGTAATTCACACATTTACAATAATCACTCTGACGACTCAAAATCAAACCTTGCAAGTGTTGCAACGCACCGACCCATTTGTCATTATGGCATTGATGGCCAATTGAGAAGGCGACATGATCCAGTCATTGCAAAACTCGCACTTGACCTTGACCAGGTCATCTGTTTTGCGGCACAATTCATTGTGAATCTGACGAACCTCCGGGTTCTTGAAAAAGGTGCCGCACCTTTCGCATATCGACCCTAAGTTTTGATGCACACTCTTGACATGTCGGACCATGACTTCTTTGGTCTCGCACTCTGTCCAGCAACAGGGGCAGGTGCGGGGAAAATTATCTTCCTGCTGGCAATGGCCGTTGACTGACGCAATGTCCTCTGGAGTTAATTTCAAGAGATCCACTCGACAATGTGGCAGCTCTGGCTCTATAATTATAAAAAAGTGGCACTGAATTCTATATATTTCTTTCTGTTTAATTTTTATTCCAAATTATTCAGTTCATTCAATCTGGCTATGATCGACGACAATATTCATTTACTTAAAAATTTAAACAGAAGTAAATAATAAATCCTGTTAGGATTTGGGGTAGTAAATTCTATAGAAATAAAAAATTACCATTTTCTTGCTCAGATTCACTACTCTCTTCACTTTCATAGTAGAAATTAAAGTCAAGTGGAATTTCATCCCACCATGCTTCTTTGGTGTCCTTGGTAGTCTTTCTGTTGAGGTAATGAGCATCCTGAATGCACTGCTGACATGCATAGGCCTTGCCTTCGATCTGAAAAATAATTTCTAGGAGATTATCTAATAATAAAAAGGGATCACTCAGATCACTGCACTTTTAAAAAGGCAGTATAATCCTGAACTTAAATTTTTATTTTTTACAATCATTACCAGTCTTCCAATGTTCGTTCTTGCCCACTTCTTCAATTTACTTTGATTGACACTTGACAAATTGACCAACTTTGACTCTTGGATAAATTTTCTGCACAAATGACACAATTTGACTTGAACTTTCGACTCCTCCATCATCCTATTTGCCGAAGAACAGAAAGTGTTACAATTTAAAAAAAAAAAACAATATTAATAATTCATCTCCGAATGGTCACCATGAGATTGCTCGCCTATGTACAAAAAGCAGCTGTTCCGCTGTGACGTCACCTATTGATGGTGGCGATCACTAATTATTATAAAAATTTTTTCCACAAAAGTTATAAAAATTTACTGTCACAAAGTCCAGCGAAATTGTGTGTTGAATAAATTTTTTAATGTTTTGTTTTCAACTGCACTCCCCCTTCGTCTTGTGGTGGGGACACCTATATTATAGACCTACTGTCATCTATTAGTTCAAATCGAAACTAAAAATTAAATTATTGACCTTAAAAATTACTGATTATAAATTATAACATAACAATACACAGTCGTCATTTAAAATAAAAAAAATTATTTTACCATTTTTTCAATTGGATTTATAATTCAATTGAACAAAATAATCCAAAAGTCTAAAATTACTTTATTCTTGCTTTCGATCTTGAGTTCTTTGAAATGAAACATTTTTTGTCCAGAATATTGTATAATCTCATTTTAAAAGTTTTAAAGGTTTTTTTTTCATTCTTTTCAGTTTGCTGCATGAACGTCACTAGCGACGGTCGTCTGATAAGTGCTTCCTGGGACAGCACTGCCAGAGTGTGGACTGGTCAGACAGAGAGCCTCAAACTGGAGGGCCACACTGCCTCTGTGTGGAGCGTAATTGAACTGCCGGACAGCAAACTGTTAGTGACCGCCTCTGCGGACAAATCCATCAAGGTCTGGGAAGGATCCACGTGCCAGCAAACGTTGAATGGTATGATTAATAAAATATCTGCCAATATATTTTTTTTTTACCAATTAATCTAAAAGGTCACGAAGACTGCGTTAGAGGCCTAGCAGGTGTTTCACCCAATGAGTTCCTGTCCTGTGCAAATGACGCCACGGTCCGCATGTGGACGGTCAATGGTGATTGTCTTGGCGTCTTCTATGGTCACAGCAACTTCATCTACAGGTTTGCGTTGAAATATATAATCTGAAGAAAATAGTTATTCATTGTGTGTACTCAGCATCGTCCTCTTGCCCGACAAAAGCGGTTTCGTCACTTCAGCAGAGGACTCGTCAGTCAGGGTGTGGAACTCGGATGGAGAATGTCAGCAAGTGATTCAGTTCCAGTGCCAGAGCATTTGGGCCGTGACTGCCCTTCCAAATGGCGATGTGGCCACTGGCTGCAGTGACAGTGTTGTCCGGGTTTTCAGCAAAGACCCTGCTAGACAAGCTGATTCCGATGAGCTGGCTAAGTTTGACGAAGAGGTGGCCAACTTCGGAAAGAGCAAAAACGATGATCTTGGTGAAATCAAAGTCAACGAGTAAGTTGTGTAATCTTTTGTGAACTTGATATGGAGAACAAATCTTTCTAGTCTTCCTACTATGGCTGCTCTTTTGGCACCTGGAAGCAGAGATGGACAGACAAAATTGATTAGGGAAGGCGGGGAGGTTATTTGCTACAGTTGGTCTGCAGAGCAAAACCAGTGGATTAAAATTGGACCCGTCGTCGGAGCAAAAAAGCCAACTGAGGGGCGCAGCATGTTTGAAGGACAGGTAGCAAATTAATTTTAAAAACCGTAAAAAAAGAAATAACTGGATTTGTGAACTGTCTGCTGCAGGAATATGACTTTGTGTTCAGTGTGGACGTGGAAGAGGGAAAACCGCCACTGAACCTGCCCTTCAACAAAACAGACGACCCTTACACAGCTGCCCAAGCATTCATCCACAAGCACAACCTGAGCCAGTACTACTTGGATACTATTGCCACCTTTATCATCAAAAACGCGGGCATGGAAAATTTGGCACCCGCGCCTCAGGGAACATTCATTGACCCCTTCACAGGTGGCAATCGTTACGTCCCAAATTCTTCAACTGCGACTGGACCTACCTCTGCCAATCCAGACCCTTTCACAGGTACTTTGTAAATATTTTTTGTTGAAATTTTATTGTTTAATTATTAAATTTATAGGTGGAAGCAGCTACACAAGCGCTGCTGCAAAGAAAGAGGTTGCAGACACGGCTGCAGCTCCAACCTCTCAAGTTCAATACCATTTGTTTGAACAGGGAAAAGTCGAAGTCATAGCTAGTATGCTTATTAAATTAAATTAATTAATGCGAATTTGTAAACGTCTTCAATTTGTAGACAAAATTCTTGAGTTCAACCAAGCGAGTGCTGTGCCGTACAATGATGAAAAAATCAACAAAGTAGTCGCCCTCCACAATCCTACTGTATCAGCAGATGAGGATTCAATCAGAAGTCTTCAGCTGCTCCTTACGTGGGATAAAGGTAGAGATCCAAAAATCAATGCTGCACAAATTCATTAAGTTCGTACTGTTTTTATTCCAGAAAAACTTTTCCCAGTTCTTGATCTTCTGCGCTTAGCCCTTCGCAACAAAGCTGTCAATGATTCAATCTGCTCTGGCCCCTTTGCTGAAATTTTCATTGAAAATGTTCTTCGATCCTGCCTGACAAACCAAGCTCCAGAACTGACTCGTCTAACTGCTTTGAGAGTTGTGACAAACATGGTTGGTCTGCCTGCGGGTGAAAAATTGGCCCAGGACAATGCTGAGTTCTTACTCAACTGCGCAACCCAACTGACCCTGCCCAAGGACAACCCAAATCCCAGACAGCAAGTTGCCGTGGCCACTGTGCTTTTCAACTTTTCAGTTGCATACCTCCGAGGACAAGCTGATCTGCAGAAAATTGTTTTTCCCTTGGCTCTCACCATTTTGCCTCGTCTGTCTGACATGGAAGCCAAGAACAGAATGCTCAGGACGATTTCAAATTTCCTCAGCAAATCAAACCCAGCCATGTTTTCTCAGGCTGCTGATAAGAAATTGGCGGATGAACTTGCAATTTTGATTGCAGAACCAAAAACATCGGAAGTCGCAAGTCATTTGCTTTCTATTTTGCCTTAATATTTTAGTTTTCACGCAAAGTCTCAAGGTTATTTGGTGATATAAAGAATGAAAAATAAATTATGAACTCAATACTTGTCGCATTTGTCGTATCATGTTTAATTCAAGTTAATAATTATTTCCTATTATTACATAATATAATATATTGATTATTAAGATCAAGTTATGATCTTAGCCTGAAGAATGTACAAAACAAAAAAATTGATAGTGTTGAAAAAGATCAATTTGCATTCTCACAGGCGTCTATCCAATCATTGTAGACATCCACTGGCTCAGAGAGAAAAGTGATAGTGGTCTGATAGTCCTCCATGCAGACTCGACACGATATTCGAGCAGTGTTCCTTGCTTTGTCCCTGCGCAATCAAACAAATTTGTCGAATTATAAGAGGGACAGAGAGAGGAAGAAACAAAACTCACATTTTTACTTCACATGACATTTCGTGATTGCAGAATGGGCAGTTGAACTGTGTATCCAAAGGCATGATTGCCTTCCTTTTGGACGGTGGCTTCCTCTTACTCTTTCTACGGCCCATTTTCTGCTGGAAACACATCGAAAATATTCTTGTTACAGAACTGAATCTTTAATTAACTGAGCGGTACTGAGGTTATTACTTACTTAAATTTGCAGCGGCAAAGCGTAATCTTTGTTTTTAGCTTGTGTTTGTTGTTGTGAGCTTGTCTCAAAATCAAAACAAACAAGTTTGCTACAGAGCATGCGCAGCGTGCTTCGAACACCAATCAAACTACACTCCGAGCTCCGAGCCAGACTCAAGACCGGCAAGGTGAAGTCGATGATTTTTTTAGTTTCAAGCTGCACAATGCAATCAATTCAGACTTCAGACACTTGTGCAAAATATTCTGTTTGAATAAAACAGAAAATTTTATTAGAAAACTACTTAAGCACTGTAATCAATCGATCGATTTCAATTTACAATAATAAACGCTTAAGGCACTTCCCTTATTCAAGCCACTCATAAATTAATTTGTCATAAAAGGAAAAAATGAAACTTGAAAATCGAGAAAAAGGTTGTATGAAGAAAAGTTAAAGCGTTGTCTGTTGTAAAAAGAAATCAATTGAATTGGCAATATAAAAGCACCAATAAAAGGAGTGTCGGTCGACTGTTGAGGGAAAAAATATACACAAATTGAATTTTTTCTCACTTATAATATTTTTATTGTGGTAATTCAGCATTTGTGATTGAAGAGATTTAGGGTTAATTTTTCGTAACAACTTCTTTACTGTATTTACCGCAAAATTTGCTAAATAATCAGTTCTCAAAAAAATTGAGACGACACTAGCAAAGAGGATTTTAAAATAAGCGTAATTAACATATTTAATATGAACAACCAAGAACATCCAGCCCCTCTCGACTAGCATCTAAATCTTGCAGCCTCGATTTGATTTTAACATTGTGTTCAAATTAAATTGGTTTAAAATAAAATAACAGCGATGCTTTTGAAGGGAAAGAAGGCGCGTGTTTAATTTTAACATAGGAGGTTATGCTTTTGAAAGTTCACTTTAGTAGACGCCACACAAACTACCGTTTTCTCTACAAAGCATCCCCCTCCCCCCAACCATAATTTAATGAACTGTGATATTTTGAACAATCTATTGGCAGAAATGAAAACACATTGCATTCTTGTCCTATAAAATCATCATATTAATTTGCTAAACCAGACTGCTTTCGTCACTGCTTTATGCTATTGACCATTCAAAGGAAACTAAGACCCACACCAATTTGGCAACCTTTCAAAGGTCTGTCTCCTGACTGGACAGCCAGAGGCACGCAATAGTTGATTTCGAAGCGGGCCGCAGAGCCTATTCTCACAGCAAGACCGGCGCCACACGACATTCTGGCACTGGCAATCATTTGCTTGAAGAACTCTCGGTAGTCAACTCCTAAAATTTCAATTCATTTCGGTTATAAAATCTCAGAATGATCCAATTCAGGTATACCAGAGTCAAATTTGCCAAGGTTTCCAGCATTGACAAAAAGGTGTGTTCGGAAGAAATCGCCAAAGTTGCGCTCAAAAACTTTGAATGGCAAAGGGGCGTAGAGGTGGAGACCCGCAGCCCAGTAGAGCTGAAATAGTAAAAACAATTAAATAATTTTTTTAACTAGGACACATCACTTTTTTTTCATTTCTACGAAAATCTCTCATCAAGTGGCTTTTTGTTTTCAAAATATTCTTTGTTTAAATGGTTAGTATTTTTTTTTTTTCATATTGTACGTAGTAGAAATTAATTTTAATGATTTAAAATAATACCTCTGATCCTAAGGAAATGCCATCTTCATGTGGTCCCAGACCTCGGAATTCAAATCCACGCACAGACGTGGCCCCTCCAAGGAAGAAACGATCGCAGATGTGCGAGGTCTTGTTATCCGAATATTCACTCAACAGGCCCTTCTGAAGGGTTCCTTGAAGAACCTGATTTCCCGCAATAGATTTTAATAAAAAAAAAACATGATTTCAAAATTTAAACGTACGAAGTCTTTGAAAAGGCTGACGTTGGCCTGCATTTTAATCTCATTCTTGATGAAGCCGACGTCCCCTCCAAGACCGGCAAACTCGGTTGTGATGTCAATCAGTGTGCCAGATGAAGGGAAGACGGGTTTGTTGCGTCTGTCCATGGTGATGGTGTGGATGAGGGAGTTCTTCATCGAGTGGCCGTTCTGCTCTCGTACGGCCATGGGAACAGTGCGCGCCGTCGAGTCCAAATAACGCCACACCGACTCCAATAACAAATTGTGTCGAACCTAAATTAACAAAAATGTTTAACAAAATTTTAAAATTATTTTTCATTTTTAATCATATTAATTACAGTTTATTACTCACATTAGGAGCCGAGTTGAACTCAAAAGCCATATTCATGGCACGGTCTTGCTCGTTGAACCCAGAAGCTCCAAAAGATGCATGGGACTGGTAAATGGAAGACTTGACTCTGTTTAAAATGTTTGAATCAGAATTTTGTTTGCGATTTAACGTTTTTGAGAAAAATTACTTTGCATCAGTCTTCAATTGCACCAAAGGTTTTGAGAAGGACAAGGCCATGTTGGTGTTGTGCGTGTTGCTGTGGGTGTACTCAAGCTGCACCTTTTCTCCTCGCCCTAGAATGTTGGGAGTTCTTGCCCCGACAACCAAAGCTGCCTCTTCGGAGCCTGCCATGGCGTTGACGCTGCCCAGAAGCCAATTCATTTCTGTCACGTCGAAAGTGACCTGCAAATTTCATTCAGCATTTGAACCACACTTAAATTTAGCTGAAGGTCTTTGCCTCAATTCCGTCTGAGCTGGCTTTTGGGCCTTTGCTGGTGTCGATGAAAATCTCAACATTCTTAAAGCACTCCAGGTTTTCGAGACGTCGATGAATTTTGTCAGCCTTGACCAGCACCTATAAATCAGCGATTGGTGTAATAAAAATAAAATTTGCGAAATCCACAATTTTACATCTCCAAAATTTGTGGCATGGAATAGGTCGCGAACAATTGGCACGATGAAGTCATCCTTGGTCCTCTTCAGACCAGTGACATTGACCTTGTCCACTCGGACCTCTTTCTTGAAATCCAGCACCGGCGATTGCTCCACGGGCATCCGGACCATCGTCTGTTTTTCCTAGAAATTTTAAACACAGTCATTAGAGTCACTTGATGCAAGAAAAGTTCATTTTCTGGGGAAGCAACAAAACCACACCGGCAGATGTGCCAAAACTCCTTTGAATCTGTTTGTTTTCTACTGATTAGCCCTGCTACCTTTGCTTGAACGGTGCCCATTGTGATTCCTCAAAGATCTCAGGCCCGGGAGAAAATCCTTGTCATTCTAAATCGGAACAAAAACTAGCGAACTTTTTGAATTTTCAAAAATGTTTTCGGTTTAGATTTTGCCTGTTCCAAGAATGGAAAATTAATAATTCGTTGGTTGAGAAATTCAACAATAGGCGGCGCCGGTGCTGGTTTACCCTGCTTTGAGTTGAGAGAGCGCGAAAAATCTGACTTGACAAAGCAGTCAGATCAGAATTCAGAATGCAATGTTGCCGCCGCTGCCGCTACATTTTCCATATTTTCATCACAAGGGAAAAAATGATAAACATGTAGTACATACAAATATTACAAATACAAATAGATACTAACTACATAATTACGTGCAACTCTACTTTCAAGGCCGATCATGCAGCTACATAATTCCCGCATCCCTTCCCTTTTCCTTAAGCTCGCTGTCTCCTTGCTCGCTGTCGCTCCTGCTGTCTTCCTCATTCTCGCTCCTCCCCCGTCAACCCCGTCTTTCAGATTTCAGATTTGGTTCTTCTTTCTCATCTTCCAAGCGCACTTCTTGTTGGCACTTCTCGCTCGGATTTCTGTTTTCTGCTGTTAGTCTTGACTTGAATCTTGGAGCGGTTGCGATCACTTGCGAAAAGAGCAATTTTAATCCAAAAGAAGAGCAGCAAATTTGGTCGCTCGATCCGAAAATCATGATGGGTTCTGAAAAGTCGAAAACTCTGAAAGCGCCGAAGTTGCCCCTGAGGAACCAGAAAGATCAGATGTCCAAATCGAACACTCTGCCCGTCGGCAACCAGAAGGTACCTCATAAAATTACGGCTTTAATTTTAGGCAAACTTTGAAAAAAAAAAAACCATAAAACACACATAATTAAATTTGGATCCGTCACAGAAATGTATAAAACAGACGCGCGTAAACGCGCGTGTCCGATCCGATGCGATTTTGCAACACATGCCGACATCATTGCAAAAGCTTTTCTTGTAATTCTAATTAATAGTCAAATGTGCCGAAATAAGGTGGATTTCGACTTTGGCTACATAAATGAGCTTGCAAAATGGCAATATTGTGTGCGTAGTATAATTTCTGTAATTATTGTGCTTATCATTCTATTCTCATTGTCAGTTCATTTTACACATTCATTCCAATTTTATACCTTGTTTTTTTTATCTAATCAATCCTATTTTTACACTTTTAAAGAAAAAGGCACCTCTGGCCACCCCGAGGGCTACCAATCCTGACCAAGGAGAATTTTCCTCCGCCGACAACTGGCGTGTCCGATCTAGAGACAAGGCTGAGGAGATTCTGCAACTGTACGTGACTGGCCGACTTGCTGATTGCACTTTCGTCATTGGCAAAGAAGGAAATTCTGCCAATGAACCTGTGGTGAGATTTTATAATTTTGAAAAAGCTTCTTTTATGTTTCTGATTTTCTTTCCTTCGGGCAGACCTTCAAGTGCCACTCAATCATCCTGGCAACTGCCAGCAGCTACCTGGAGCACCTTCTTTTCCAGAAGAGTGGCGACGAGCAAAAACTGAACTTCAGCATGCCCCAACTGTCCCCAACAGCCTTTGACTTGATCATGAGGTGATTTTGCGTCACTTGAAAAAAAATCTTGAATTTATTTTACGTTATCAATTATTATTTCTAGACACATTTACGGAAACAGGTGTATATTTCCTGGGCCTGAGGTTGGCGTTGAAATGTGCCGCACAGCTCATGCTTGGAAGTTGCCCGTGCTGGCTGAGGAGGCTGAAAAATACCTGACCACCCATACTGGACCTGACCATGCCCTGATTGTCTATGAAATGTTTGCCAAGCTGAGTAATGAGATGGAGTGCCAGCGTCTCATGAAGGTAAAGAAAGTTATTAAAATTTTATTGTATTTAAAGAATGATCCTTAATTAGGTTTTAAGCTCTTTTATAAATAATATTTCATTTTTTACTATTCAAATTTTAATTGCAGATCATTCAGAGATACCCTGATCACGTTTTGCAAACCAAGTACTGGGTGGACGTCTCCAAGGAAACAGTCAAGGACGTGTTGTGCTGCTGCTCCAGGGTGCTCAGCGTCAAGCAACGCTTTGACGCCCTCTGCGAATGGGGTGACGCTCAGGTCATCTTTGAGACTGGCTCTGTGGGCAACAACGCCCAGGTCCGTGAGAAGATTGACACGCTGCTGCCGCTCGTTGGCTTTGAAACCCTGAGTGCAAAAGATTTTGCCACTTACTATGCTCAGGAGCAGCTGCTCTCGCCCACTGAAAGGCTGGAGTTGCTGGTGAGCTTGGTGCTCAAGATGTGAACATTATTTTCATTTTCTGACAGTTTCAACAAAAGCCTTCAAATTTGATATTATCATCAAGCTATTTTCAACACTCTAGTTTTGTACTCGTATTTACAGTGTTTTCCTTGGGTATTCAATAAAAAATATTATGGTGTCTCGAAATGGGAATGAATTTATGTTTCGACTTAAATATTTTTCAATATCTTTTCATTAATTAAACAAAACTCTAAGAATCTGATGTTAATGCATCTTGTGATAGATTTTAAGCTGTCATAATTATAAATGAATTTTCCTACGAAAAAATTATGAAATAAAAATCAAGATATCTTCTCTATAGTATGACGATCTGATGACCACAACTTTAAAATTAACACCTAAATAGAAAGTATGCAACTTGCTTGGCATTTGTGTTGTACAGGTTGCATATCAAAGAAAAAAATAAGTTGACTTTTTATTGGGGAGGAAAAAGGCGCCAGGGTATTTGCAAAAAGTAATTTATTTTTTCGATGATATTCCTATCTGAAGACACAATTTTCATAACATATTAATTTAATTCGTTGAGAAATTCTTTGCAGGCAAGAAAATTTACATTAAATAATAGTTTATCATAGTAAATAAACTTTACTTGCGGCCCTTCTCGGCGCGGACCTCACTTGAGGCTTTGCGTTTTAGTGACTTTGTTCACCAAAGGTGCTGCCGTTTCTTCACATTATTTTCTTTATTTCATGTATGAATAATTTGTGAAGAATAAACAATGATAATAAAAAGAAATACGAGCATCAATTACTCTCAAAAGACTTTATGTTTCCAATATATTTTTGATGAACCACAACCAGTTTCATAAAATTGTTCATTAGTCTTATTACGAAAAAAAGTCTTTGATGTTATTTACGATGATACGAGAGCCATCCCACGTAGTCTTCGGAGGGTCACAAGGTCACTGCGCACACCAGTCACCAACAAAACAATCGGATTGAGATAAAGAGCATCATTTCCTGCCAGTCGGTTTATAATACATCATCAGCTTACTGCACTGCTATTTTTAATTAAAATGAAGTTGACTCCTGCATTGGTGATTTTTGCAATCTTGGCGCTTCCATGGGCAGAATGTATCAGTCTTTGCCCGCAAATCTGGGGCAAAGTTCCGTTTGATGCTTCAAAAGTGAGTTTTTAAAATTTAATTTGAAAAAATAACGATAGAAATATTTTTCAGTTTGCTGGCGATTGGTATGTGTTGGCGTACAAAGGTGACCCAGCGCTGCCGGAGAAAAAGTGCGCCAAAATCAAGGTTGAGGTTGGCCAGCAGGATGGAAGGACAACGATTGTGTATAAATTTCACTACCAACAGGCCGACGGAGATAAAACCGCAGAGTTCTTCACTCAGGCGCTGCGACCAACAGATCCGTCAACCGGATTTGGTGTTTTCGTAAAGACCAACTATTGGGAAAGTAAGAAATTTTAACATATTAAAATTATATTATTCATATTGTGAACTTGTAAATAAGTTCAGTAAAAACAATTGTGATTAGTCAATGCTCACAACTTAAATATCAAAATTGGACATTATATTTTGTACCACTGCATTTTAACTATTATGCAAAAGAGAATTCTTAATTTTGTTTATAAGAAAAATTATCGCACAATTTACATTTCTGCACATTTCAGGTCTAACAAAAACCGGTATTGTGGCAACAGACTATGAAAATTTTGCCCTGGTCATGGCCTGCGGGCCTTTGTTTGACATTCAGCGTCGATCTTTCGGCCGCCAGATTTACGCCAACATTCTCGGTCGTGGCGTAGACTCAATTCCCCCAGCAACAATGACTGCCCTCAAGAACGTTCTCAGCAGCTACGACATCGACTTGGACACCCTCAGACACGTGGACAACTCGTCTTGCTGAGATGAATGTCTTTTTATTTTTAATTAATCTTGTCAAATTGGAATTCCAACACTCAAGGTGTCATGAAAATTAAATTGAAACCGAGCGAACCTTGTTGCATTAAAACAAAAAACAACAGCAAAAAAAAAAAGAAAAAGTTGAAAAATGTTTTTTCCAAATTATCAGCAGACCGCAGGTCGCCTTTTGGGGTCAGTTGTCCGTTGTCCTTAAATTTTTTATCGTTGCAACGAAGTTCACCTGGTTTAATTTTCGTTGTTTTGTCAAAGTCCACTTATTTTCGTATTTAATGTTACGACCTCGCGTGCTTTATCTTCACCTGGCGACCCTTTTCAAGTTTTCTTCCTACCGCCTGCGCGCTCTTAAATTTTGATAAGAAAAAGTAGCGTTCTTTATATAAATACAATGTGGCCAATTTTTCCCCACACTTTGGACGGAAACCTCAACGATGGCGGTCTTCTTGTGCGCGGTGTTAACTTTGATTTGTTTCCACTCAGCAAAATCCACTGAAATAATTCAGGATCTGAGTTCGCAGTCTGTAAAATGGACTTTCGAGAGTCAAAATAAAAGTAAGTTGTGCAGTGAAAACGAAAAATTAGTTCTATTTTATTGTTTTAATTCAGCGGTGTCTGGTGAAGCGATTGTACCGGGCGGAATTTTCAATGATTTGCAAAAGGAGGGAGTTTTAGGGGATGAGCTTTTTTACAGATTTGGAGACACGGAAAACCGATGGGTCAGCAGGGATAATTGGACTTTTCACACAGAATTTAATAGTAGTTTTCAAATTTTTTTACGATTGCTATGAACTTATGATTTCACTTTTTAAAGCATCTGAAGACATTCTGAAAAGTGCGAAAACAAATTTGGTTTTTGACGGAATCAATTCTGTAGCGGATGTGTTTTTTAACGGGAAAAAACTATGCGGGTGCAAAAACATGTTCACCAGATTTGTGTTTCCAATAACTGATATTTTGAAGAAGGTAAGTTGAAGTCAATTTGAATTATTGAAAAATCTCCTATCATTAAAAAAAAATATTATTGATTTTTGCAATAATTATGTACTCGTTTTATTTATTTATTTTTTTATTAAAGTTATTAAGTGATAAAACAAAATTATTAATGAATAAACAGGATGGCTCAGTCAATCAACTCATGGTCAAATTCCAATCGACCATTGCATACGCCGCACAGCAGTACAACAAAACTCCGACAAAGCCCTCGTGCGTGCCCCCTTATTTCCACGGAGAATGCCACGTGAACATGGTCAGGACCATGCAGGCCTCCTTTGGATGGGACTGGGGACCAGCCCTGCCCTCGCAAGGCCTTTGGTACGATATTTGATTTTCCTTATATGAAAATAAAAAGAAAAATTGACCCAAAAGTTGTATAGTAATATTTAAATTATAATTTTTTTTTTTAAATTAAAGGAAAACAGTTTATTTGGAAGGAGTGACATCGGTGGCCATCCAGGATGTTAAGTGTTTGATTTCTTTGGAGGCAAAGGAGGAATTTTGGAAGGTTTTTTTTTTTTAATTTTGCTTATCATTTTTCAACTTCCTTTTCAAAAGTCAGTTCAGGCTTGCAATAATTTCCCCAACCTGTCAGAAGATAATTTTAATTGCTCTTTTGAATTTTAAACTAAAAAAATAATAATAATTAATTAATTAGGTTGACGTGACCGCGTTTCTGGACGTGAGCGAAAGGGGCCCCGAAACAGTTGACGTGGTTGTTTCGTTAGTTGCCAAGGATGGGAAAAAAGTGGTGTCTGAAAGCAATAAAGTTACCATCGAAGGAGGAGATGAGCCAAATGTTAAAACTGTGCTCTCCGTACCAATAGTAAAATTTGAATTATTTTAAAGACCACCATTATGAAATATTTATAATTTTTAAGGAATTGGTAGACATGTGGTGGCCAAATGGAATGAACAAAAGCCAGCCACTTTACGAAATTTCCATTGCTCTGAAAAATGCAGATGAAATTCTGGTAGAAAAGAAAACACGCATCGGCTTCCGAACCATAGAACTTATCCAAGTTCCGGTTGTGCGAGAAGATCCTGAAAAAGGTGGATTATTCAAAAAATTTAAAAATATGAGTATAATTTAGAATTTTTTTCTAGGTCTAACGTTTTACTTTGAGGTCAACGGCAGGCCGATTTTCGCAAAGGGTTCTAATTACATCCCTAGCCACGTTTTGCCGGAAAAAGGTACCGATCCAAAGGTGGCTGAGCATCTCTTGCGCTCTTCAGCCGAGGCGGGATTCAATATGTTGCGAGTGTGGGGCGGTGGGGTTTACGAAACCGACTTTTTCTATGACGTGCGTAAACATTAATTATTTTAAAAATGGCCAATGGAAAATTGAAAATATTCAGTTGTGCGACGAGTTGGGAATCATGATCTGGCAGGACTTCATGTTCGCCAATTCTTTGTACCCAGTGGACGAGGAATTCTTAAGCGAGGTCACTCGAGAAGTGAAAGGAACCGTCAGGCGCCTTCAGCACCACCCTAGCCTTGCACTCTGGGCAGGAAACAATGAAATGGAAGGCGCTGTTCAAGATAGCTGGTTATTTTTATTTCTTATTACTTTTACAATTTAAATGAAAATGTTGCAATTATGATAGTTGCTCAATAATTAACCCCAAACTACTCTAAAGCAACAATTTATTTTTTGCTAGTAATACATAATAATTCATGAATTTAAATTTTTTATTGTGCAAATTTTTGACAAAGTTCTTCAAAATTTTTAAGGTGGGACTCAAGTGAAAACGCAAAAGAGAATTACAAAAAGCTATTTGGGCACGTGATTCGCGATTTGGTGATGGAAGAGGATCCGTTAACTCCTTTCGTCGTGTCCAGTCCTACTAACGGTCTAAAAACAGACGAAGATGGATTCCTTCCTGAAAAAATCACAGCGTGGAGCGGAATATATGGAGACAGTACGCAAACCTCATTGAAATCAAGATTTAATCTTAAAAACTTAATTATTTTTAAGCTCACGTCTATCAATATTCTTCCTCCGTTGATTTGACTAACTCGAGCATGTACACGATCGCTCGGTTTGTTTCCGAATACGGCTACCAATCTTTCCCGTTTCTGCGAACTTTGCAAAAAGTGACCGAGAAGGAAGATTTGTCGAATTTCGACAGCGCATTTCTCAACACCAGGCAACACCAAAGTGGAGGCACAAATAGAGTTTTCTCCCAAACTGCAACGATTCTCATGCCGCACAACCAGAACTCTGAATATAAGAAACCGGAACATTTCGAGAAATTCGTCTTCCTCACGCAGGCAATTTTTTTCATTTTAAAATTATTAAATTTTCACCACAAATTAAAATCCGTGTAGCTATCTCAAGCAATCGGTACAGGCGTCGAGGCTCTAAAACACCGAAGGTTGAGGAATTTCTTCAATCCTAAAACCGGAATAGGACGAACCATGGGTTCCATGTATTGGCAACTAAATGATATTTGGGCTGCACCTTCTTGGGGTGGAATTGGTAAAATTAACTCCTTAATTCTTTTAGCTAAAATTCATGAAATAACATTGCAAAAAAAGATCACGAAGGAACGTGGAAAATGCTGCACTACCACATGGCGCACATTTTTGCCCCAGTTGCAATTTCTGTAGACCACGAAAAGTACGCAGATCACTTGATTATTTACGCGATTTCTGATCTGCTTGAGGATTTGCACAACGTCCAACTGGAGTTGAATGGTTACAAGTGGGGACAATTAGAGCCCGTCAAAACCAGAGTAGTCAAAATTGAAACAATGGTATATAAATTTTCTAGCATTGCGAGTAGAGTAAACAATAATAATTCAACTGTTAATTTTTTCATACAAATTGCAGCAAAACTTAAGTGCTGCGGCCGTATTGGAGGGAGGTGTGAGAAATCTGCTAGAAATGGATCCAATCAAGGACACTGTAATCACGCGTGATCTGTTTTTAACGATCCAGTTGAAAGACGAAGAGGGAAAAGATCTAACTGGGCCTTATTTCCACCCCGTATATAAATTAAATGAAATTAACTTCCAAACAAAACCGACATTAAAGGTATATGAAATAGTTAGTGGATCCGATTTAATAAAATATTAAATAGATTGAGAAAGTAGTCAAAAGTGAAACAGCTAAAGAAGACTATTCATCACATTATCTGGCAGTTTTTGATATTGAAATCACCACTGACGAACCGACCCCCTACGTTTGGCTGGACGCCGGAGACGTTAGGGGACGGTTTTCGGACAATGGCTTCATCCTAGCCCAGTCTGAAAAAACAATCCAGTTTTTCGCTTTGCAGGACTTGGACGAAAAACATCTTTGGGACACTTTAAGCATCTATTCTTACTTCCATGCTATACAATTGGATTAATAATTAATTGGCAGCTTTAATAATTTGAAAAGAGTAAATTTCAATCAGATCAGCACAAATAAATATATCAATCAATTGGATTAAAGATTTGATTCGTTTATTATCAGCATTGATCTCTGCGAAGATATGTCAAGGTTGAATTATGCAAATTAATGAGAGTCGCAGTACGATGATAATTATTTCATTAAAGCCTCGGCTCGTTGGAAAATAAGAGTGAACTAAATTCTAGGCACATTGTCAAAGAAGCGAGCCACGCAACCCAAATTAGAGCGTTTAATAGGCAACTTAAATATCTTGGTGAAATTAATGCACCTGTCTCTCTAAAAAAAGAAAGAAAAAAAAAACGCGAGAGAGCCGCGGGTGACGTGTGCTCGCGCGGTGGGTGACGTCAAAAGTCGAGCCTCTGCGGCAGCCAATAGACCACTGGTTGGCCCACATCGATCCCCTGAATAGAGTTCGCCGTCAGTGTGGATACTTCGCTTGAACCGGCTGGCTGGCTTGAGCGCTCACGACTCGCACCTATTTCAGGTATTTCTTTCATAAAACAGAGCACTCGTTACGCTGCAACTAATTGTGTCTAGACGCGAATTCCACCGAGGGAAATGACCCCGTTTCGGTTCATTCGCATGCTGCTGAAATTCTCCCGAATCGTCATTAAAATAATTACTCATGTCGGAAAAATATTTAAATTAAAAAATTAAAATTTTTCAATTACTGAAAATGATTATATTATAATGTATTATTATTATTTTATTGATTAATCTCAATTTGATTTGAGGTGAAAAACTTATTTATTTTTTATAATTCTCGAATTCGCTAATTTTTTTGCTGTTTAACTTGCTTGGAATAAATTAATTTAATTAAGGAATATAACGTAACGAAGTCCCGGTAAAAATAACCCTCTCAAGGTATCCAGGGCAACGGGGTGGAAAATCGATCAAAACATCCCCCCAAATAAGCGCGAATAACACAGAAGAGGAAAAGAGATGGAACATCTGTTCGATTTTGAAAATATTTATGGCTAGCCCTGTGTCTGGACAAGAGCAGATAATTGCTGTGGTATGTATCAAAAAAAGTAAAACGCGGTCGTTGCATGCGGAAGTGTACAGTGATTATGAGATGAAGAACGAACTGGTTCAATCCGGTGAAAGGTGCAGTCGCGCTTTGTTCGCGTTTTCCTCTCGCGACCGGCGGCTCAATTGCGCTCCTGGCGCAGCTGCGACGCGAAATTTGCACTCGAGCGCATTTTACATGAGGTCTGCTGTGTTCTGTAATTATAGACACGCTGACGTCGCCATCACCGAGGTGCGAAACCACGTGCTTGTGCGTTATTTGTGATATTTTTAAATAAATAATATTAGCAGGAAATATTTATGTAATAGAAAACCTTCATTTTAAAGCTTTTTATATATTATAAAAAAACACATTTATAGTATATAATATGTATTTAAAATGCGTTGCAAATAACAACCTTCCTATTTTCATTAAAATCTTTATTTTCAATATTTTATACTTATTTAATAATAATTTTTTTTATTCCTTCATTTACTATTTCCTTCCTAATTAAACTCTAGTTCTATTAAACCTGCTCTCTGGAAATTTGAAAATGACGATTCAAATTGTTATCTTGTAAAAAAACGCGAATAAGGTTCTGCTCAAACCGCAATAAATTCCCAAACTAGGCTGTTGCATTGCCCGTTTATTGCCTCGCGTGCCTCTATTTTTTTCCTTTATTTGGTGCCATTATATTTTGCCGAGCCGCTGATAAAGAAGCCACGGGCGCAGGAAATCTCTCATCAAGCGTTTCGAAACCGGCACTTTCCCTCCATTCAAAAAGAAGAATTCTATTCTAAGAAATTTCTGACTGGCATGTTGTGTTGAGAAGTGGTTGAATGGGCTTGTTAACAGGGATGGTCGCCGTTTGCTCTCGGCGCTGTAATTACAAAAAAGAATCCCTATAATAAAAACACTCTCTGAGGGCGCAAGAAAACCTTGAAATGAGGCCAATAGACCGAAATTAAGATACAGCGGAGATCGTTGGCCGCGCTTCCCTCAGTAAAGTCTATTTAGAATTGCTGACGTGTCTGTTCTTTGCTCGAAAAAAAAAACAGTGCGATAAATTTAATATTGTCTGGGGAAAGACCACAGATTCAGATCCCAGGTAAACGCGGTCAATAGAATTAGAAGTGATGTCAGTCGAAGCGCACGTCCGCATCAGTGGATGGTCTTTTCGTCAGTCCTTTTCAAACCGGACAACAGGAACATGCGTGAATCCGCGTGGACGGGATTTAGGTCACCGGACGGTGCAGACTCTTCTGTCCAGAGGTTGAATTTTCCGATCTGGTCATTATTTGATCATTTTGATCGAATGAAGCGTCCCGTGAATGGAGCTACAAGCAGGAAAATTCCAGGTAGGCTCCCGCACGTCTGCCTATTGTTAACTTTTGGAAAGCATAAAATGATTGATATTAAGTCTGGTTGCAAGTTTCTGCAAGTATCTCTTTGTTTTAGCGATCTGTGGCGCTGGGTTTTATTTTAGACTATTGCTGCTCGCCATGGGTGATATCGAAAGCAACCCTGGACCATCAACGTCTGATAAGATCAAAGAAAACTTGCAGAAGACAAAGTTGGAGTTATCAGAAATGCCAGAAATGCAGCAGGATGTGATTCAATCACTTCAGATATATTTAGAGGGAAAGGAATTAAAAGCCGCCAATGAAGAGGAAATCGACGGCATTCGTGAATCTGTCCGTGCACTTGCTGCGAGTGTATCGAAGAAATCTGAACAAATCGACAAGTTAATTCAAGAGAACTCGACTTTAAAAACCAGAGTCTCGCAACTTGAAAACAAGATCGCTAAGCAGGAGGCCGATCTTCGCAGGAAAAATGCAATTGTTTTTGGCGTGCCGACTGAAAGCAACTTGAAAGCTGCCATCGACGACGTCCTGTTTGAAAAGCTGTCGCTTGAAAAGCGCCCGCAGGAGGAGATCATTGACAGCGCGTTCCGCATTGGCCGACCCGAAGGCGAAAAGCGGCCAATTTTAATCCGCTTCAAGTCCGACTCGGACAAGGCGCGGGTCATGCAACACGTGCACAAGCTGAAAGGCACCAACATCGGCGTTTCGCACTACCGAACGCCCGAGGAGCAGCAGCAGAGACGCGTTTTGGTTGGAGCGAGCAAAGCCGCCAGTCAGCACGGCCTGTCTGCAAAAATTCGGCGGCGGGGCATCGAGCTGGACGGAAAATTTGTGACTCTGGCAGAAGTTTGCGAGGAAGGGTGGCTGCAGAGGTTCCTATCAAAGGTGCCCCCTCAGAGTGAGGGTGAGCGAGAGAGAACTAAGAGGACGTCCAGCGCACTGTCGCTGGAGCCCCGTGCCGACGGGCCTGCAGCAGGTGTTTCCGCACCCGAAAGGAATGGTAGATGACGAAAGAAAGGGAACAAACGCGCAGGAAGGACTGCGTCAACAAGAAGTCTTGAGAGAGAAAATAATAAGTGAATTTAGTGCTTTGCAGTGTTGCTAAAAAGGTTTTTCTTTGACAATTAACATTTTGATTTTTGTTCTATTTGTGGAAAGCAATAATTGAGAAAATTCTATGCATTGTTTGTTCTCTAATTATGGTATATTTTATTATTTTTAATTTTCTAATATTGATTATATCTCGATTTGGGCAGAGATTGCCTCTAGTTTGCAACTAGAGTTAAAATAATATGGTAATAAAATAAATATATGTTAAGTGGGCGTGTTTTTTTTTATATTATTATTATTAATTCTATTTTTTTTTTTTTTTTGTAGTGTGTGGGGTAGTATGTTTGTGTTGTTAAAGTGTAATTTCAGTTTCATAATCTACGCAGAAATAAGATATAATATGTGGAAAAGTTCAATATTTCATCAAGCTCCTCAAATTTTAATTAACCAAAGAAATTATCTTTTTATTACTATTATAATTATTTATTCTACTCAGTCAATACGAAAATTTTAAATTTGAATAAAGAGAAGAAAGGGTGTCTAGCAGATGCCAAGACAATCTGGTTGTGTCTATTTAAGGTTCTTTGATATTATGCCGTTTTGAACAAAAAAAAAAAAAATTAAAAATTAAAAAAAAGTAAAAATTTATATAATCTTTCACCTTTTCCGCAAAATTTTTAAAAAATGTGGAAAATATTTCACGGTTTTTAAGCTTTTTGCCTCATTTTTAATAATTAAAAATGACGATTTTTTTGCCTTTAATCAATTGTTGTTAACGATTCGATACTTAAAATAATCCTAATTTGACGACCCTAAACAGTTTTAAACTCTCAATTAAGTTTCCAACTTTTCAAAAAGTCTTTGATTCATTTGTGTTAAAGATCTATTTTTTTTTTTAAATTTATTCATCAAATATAGCTAGCCAAATCAGAATTATAATTTTTTTTAGAATGTTTAGCTTATTTTGTTTATCCATTTAATTCCAATTTTGCCTTTTTTATCTTTTTATTTAATTTCTCGCTGCGAGGGGTTTATATTGAATTCAACTTTTTTTGGATAAAATCTCAGTTATTGCCGTTTTGTTCAACAAATCCATTTTTTTCAGTTCTTATTTGTTTGATTCCAAATTTTTTTTTTTTTTAAATATGATTTGAACTATTGCATGATTAAACCAAAAAATATTAATGATCCTTCAACTAAAATACAAAAAGCAATTTTCAGTGAACAAAACGCATGTATCTCTTAAATTTACTTCATGCTGCAGTTTTATAATTTAAAAAAAATCTTAATGTTTCAGAATGTTGACACGGCCCGCAACTTATTTTGGTATGCTTCTGCGGCGGAACCTGTCGCCAGCACGGAGGTTGATGACCACTGTGCAGCAGGAACCGCCGCGTATCCTTATCACCGGCAGCCTTGGACAGCTGGGAACAGAATTGGCCAGGCTGCTCCGCTCCAAGTATGGACGGGACAACGTCATAATGTCCGACATTGTCAAGCCGAGCAAAGAAATTCTCGAGAGCGGTAAAAAAATGCAATTCAATCATAAAACTTTAAATTCAAATCATGTTCAGCAATGTTCAGGATTTCCAAGCACTAATTTTGCGTTTCATTTATCATATTAAAAAAAAAAAAAATTATAGGGTTGAACTTTTGATAAAGATTAAAAATGTAATATTTTAATAAATTCTTATCTTTAAAAATTGGAATCCACGGCAGAAGTAGCTAATTTATTTCCACTTTTAATTGAAATTTACCTAAATTAAATTCAAAATGAAATATTTTAAAACATTGCTATTTTCCTGAAACTTCAAACTCATATTTTTTTATCGCTAATACTTCAGAAAATATTGTATACTTAAAATTTTTCATTATTTTTAGGCCCATACATTTTCACGGACATCCTCGACTTCAAGGGTTTGCAAGAAGCGGTGGTGATGCACCGCATCGACTGGCTGATCCACTTTTCAGCCCTGCTGAGCGCCGTCGGCGAGCAGAACGTGCCGCTGGCCGTGCGCGTCAACATCGAAGGCATGCACAACGTGATGGAACTGGCGAAGCAGTACAACCTCAAGATCTTTGTGCCCTCGACCATCGGCGCCTTCGGACCAGACTCGCCGCGCGACCCCACGCCCAACGTGTGCATCCAGCGACCCAAGACCATTTACGGCGTCAGCAAGGTCCACGCCGAGCTCATGGGCGAATATTACCATGAACGGTTCGGACTCGACTTCCGCTGCCTCCGTTTTCCAGGAATCATTTCCAGCGATAGCAACCCCGGCGGAGGCACCACAGGTAAGGAAAAGTTTAACATTTCAAAGTAATCATTTTTCTGTTAGTGCAAAATTATTTTATTTAATTTTTTAGATTATGCTGTGCAAATTTTCCACGACGCTCTCCGGTCAGGTCAGCATAATTGCTACCTTCGACCGGACACGCGGTTGCCCATGATGTACATCGAGGACTGTTTGCGCGCCCTTTGGGAAATCATGGTTGCTCCCGAAGAGAAACTGAAAACGCGCACATACAACGTCACGGCAATGAGCTTCAGCCCGGCCGAAATTGCCGAGGAGTTGCGAAAACACGTTCCCGGGCTTGAAGTCGAGTACAGACCTGACCAGCGCCAGAAAATTGGTAAAAAGAGAAAATTATTTAAATTTATTTTGATACAAACTGTAGAATCTATTTTATTTGGTGTAATTTATTGTTTTTAAATTTGTAGCCGACTCTTGGCCGATGGTGTTTGACGACTCGGAGGCGCGAAAGGATTGGGGCTGGTCCCACAAGTACGACTTGGCTGAGATGTGCCGTATTATGGTTTCGAATATTCGCAAGAGGCCAGTGTGACTTGCATAGCTGGCGGTTGCTGAGCAGGGGCGCATTTAGACTGTTTTACGTATTTGAGGACACTTCTGCCTGTAGCCGCACGTCCATTGTCACGCAGTCTGTTTGGAAGGCCGCATTTTATTTACTCGAACCAAATGAAGAAAGAAAGCGTCGTCTTCATAGAAAGGCCACGCAAATTTAATTTTTGTTTGTACAAATTTCTAAAATCTTGCCTGTTTGAAACACTAAAAAAGGTAAGAATGTTTCTAAAGAATAGATGATACTGGCATTGTTCTTTGTTGTTTAATTTAATAGAAACCCTTGAGATTTTAATAATTATCATAATATGTCATTTATTAATTTCATGGCTTTTAACACACTTTAATGTTATATTAAGAATAATTTGTTTATATCACAAGTGAAAAGGATGTGCGCAAAACAAGAATTGAAAATCACGCTCACATGTAAACCGCTCTAGGCCATCCACAAACACACGCATTCTTCCGGTTTTACGGCGCCTTTTTCTTTCATTGAAAAATTAAATACTGCACAATTTCCGTCAGTGGGCCAGCATTTGATTGTCTTTCAAATAATTAAAATTTTCTTCGCCAAACTGTTGGAAACTGCAGACAAGCCAATTGCCAACTGATTCCACTGTTTTTCATTTTTCGTTTTTTTAAGTCAGTCTATACCGCAAAAAAAAAAATCAACAAAAATAATGACTAAATCAAATTTCAGCTATAAAAATAGATTTTCCAGTGGAATCAGCTGCAAACTCAAGGTCCATTGGTGGCCCACTGCTGATTTACAAAAAATTGCAGCTGCCTCTTGTGGCTTGATATGACAATCTTAATGGCACCAAGTAAATTTTTAATGCATCACAATTTCAACTTTAGTAAACAGAAACGTTAACTGCGAGCTTGGAGAAAATTTTCTAGAAATCTTGAACTGGAAGAGATAAAATATTTGATTTTTGGCCTGGAGATGCATTGTTAAGTTTTCATCCAGCAGTGGGCCGAGTGAATTGACAGAAACAGCCACTTACTTTACTTATTCTTCATCGCCACATGTCTCTTGGTCACTCGGCCGCAGAATATTCCAACAAAGAAGATTGCGCCAAAAAATGCAAGGGAAACAACCAGGAAGTAGTGTTTATCTTTCGATTTAGCCACACTGTGGTACAGATCATGCATACTCTGCGGGGCAATGAGCTGAATAAAAAATTTTTTAATTAAAAACTTTAAAAAAAGGATCAAAGAACATACCATATCAGCGTTGAGGAACATGGCCATTCTGCCAAGCAACATGCTCTTGCACTTTGGTTCCAAGACTCTCCGTGTGTCTTGCAGGTACGACTGAAGACATTCAATCTCTAAAAACAAAAGAGGGTTATGATTTGACGGCAACAGTATATATTTTTCCTACGTTTCCCAGCTCCAGCAATGACATCGGCACAGAACTTGTCCAAATCCACTTTGCATGCTTGGTGCAGCAAAGGGTCTGTGTGAATGTCGACTTTTTCATCTTCGACTAGCGCGGCAACTTCCAATTTACAAGCAGCGTTGTTGATTTTGTTTTTGCCGAGGAGCTGCTTCAAACACTCTTCAACAGACCCATCTTCTATGTCCTCGTCGGAAACTTCTCCACCCTCATCTCCATTTGAGCCCCCAGAAGGCAAACACTGACTGTCAATCTAAAATTTTTCATACATTTTTGTGCTCCTTTAGGTCGATTAAAAAATTTCACCTCTGATTTGCAAGAGTTGGCCAGAACTGGATTCAGTTTGAAGTTTAGCGCCGACTCTCGCATGATTTCAGTCATTTGGCGCTCACAGTTTGAGCTCAATTTTTGCTCTCGATACTGAGTCTTTAGGCATTTAACCACCTTGCCCTCAAGCTCGTGGTCAGCCGGCTCATTGGCTATTATTTTGTTGCAGAATTTACGAATGTCTGGCCGGCATGATTGCTGGAGGGCAGGGTTGAATCTGTAATCCTCACTCTGCTCCACCAATCGTCTATGAATAATTGCTCGGCACTTTGGATCCAAACCAGCCTCGTTTTTGAATTGCTGTTCAAAATAATCAAAGGAATAAAAACGCATACAAAATTTAAATGGAATAAAATACCTTTAAGCAGTCAAGGGCCTGAGACAAGGGCACGTCATGGCAAAAATGACCAATGGCATGCTGACAACCATTCAGCAGTGCGTAGTCGACAGAACTGTCCGTCAACTGCTGTCGTTCGACTTTGAAAATCGCCTTGTGGCACACTGGGGTCAAAACCTTTCGAGCCTTTTGAAGGCACTCCAAGACCTGAGGAATTTATAATTAGCACGAATTTGCAGAAAAACTTAATAATCACTTGTCCAGCGCCAGCAATTACATTCCCGCAGTGCTCTTCGATATCACTTTCACAAGCTGCTTTCAACCTTGGGTCGAATTCAACATTTTCATGCTGCTGGAGCAATTGTGCCCTCAACTGCTGTCTGCATTCTCTGCTGACAGTGTGTTTTTGATCCAAAAGAGTGGCATTCCTTACTATTTCACTCAGACACGTAATTACGTCAGCCCTAAATCAAAGAAGATATTTAAAAAAAATACCATGCCATTAGTCATTTAACTTTACTTTGTCAAAGACATAGTGCAGTATCTGGCAACGTAAGGTTTGCAGCTTTGCTTGAACTTGAATGTAAATTTGTAGTTCTTCATGGTGATCAGCTGGAAATGTTCCACAGCTGCCCTGCATTTGTAGTGCTCCTGTCTCACTTCTGGTTCGTTTTTATGCTTGATCAAGCATTCAATCAAGTTGCCCTCATCCTTGCCTTCTTTGAGCTCTTGCTGAAGAAAAAAATTACAAGTATGGTCAGAAATTTCAAATCAATTCAAACCTCGCAATGTTTCTTCAGGACTTCTGCACAATTTTCAGAAATGATGGGATTCAACTCGATGTGCTCCGATTGTTGCTCAGTTAAATTTGAAATAGCATCTTTGCACTTGGGCATCAATCTGATTTTTGAGTTTGTAAATAAAATAGATATATTTTCTAGTAAATTAATTTACTTGTCAAGGTTATCTTGAAGACACGCAGTCTCCTCTCCTCTGCCCGTTTTCAGGGGACACAAGTAGGCCAAGTCATCAAGACAATTATCCTGAACATCTGGCTCAAGATCAACACTTACGGCTCTCTGACGCATGACTCTCCGCAGCTCCTCCTCACAACTTGGCTTGAGCTATACATAAATTAATTAATTTAACGTCATTTATCGAAAGCAATTTATTATTTACAAATGAATTCATTGACAAAAAGTTACGTGTAAAATTAAGAAAAATTATGCACTCTTCATGGAGATATCTTTTTTTAATCAGTTTGTTTGAATTTTTCATGGAGCCAATTCAGTGTATAAATATTATTAACTGAATATAACAAGGACCTTAATTAGAACTGACCTTTACTGCTGCATTGTCATCCTGATTAGATAGTCGGTAAAGACAAGGCATAACTAGAGGTCCTCTTTGAGGATCCATATGACCTGGGTCATCGGACCAGGATTTCTTGGCATGGCAGTTTTTGATAGCGTCCTCTCTGCATTCTCTGTACAGAGGTGGATCAAGCTTGTAGTCTCGAGCGACGAAAAACTGGATTTGCAACAGGGCAGCTTCACAAGCAGCCCTCATATGTTTGGTCCCAATGCGTGACATCAAGCAAGTGATCACTCTGATGATAAATTTTGGTTAACAATTTTATTTTTAAATATTTTAAACAAGTACCTAGCATCTCCACCTCGAACATTTGAGCACTCTGCATCGACTACAGGCTGACATGCCTCTCTCAAAACAGGATCCACTCTCCAGTCTTCACCAGCGTCTGTCTCTTGAACCAACAACTCCAACTGCAGAAAAAACATCATCAATGACTTCGTGTTTGTTTAAAAAAAATCTCACAGCTCTCTGGCACTGAGGGCTGATCCTCTCCTTCTTCTTCTTGACCCTCGAGTGCTCCATCAAACAGTGGATTGTTTTGCCACCAGCTTCGATTCCGTTGTTACAGAATTTCGAAATGTCACCAGCACACCCAGACACTATTTCTGGGCTAAGCCTAAAGTCTTCCAGAAGAAGTTTTCTATGGTCCAGCATTTCTTGTTGACAATCGAGTGAAACTTTACTCCCTGCAATTAAACATGTTGCAATTATTAGCATTGATTTTAATATTACTTAATTTTATTACCATTATGCATTGCACCCTCAAGGCAAAGCAGAATTTGAGACAGTCTTATGTCTTTGTCGTCAGACACCTCTCTCCTGCAGTGATATGCTCTGATGTCGTCCTTGCAGGCTCGAGCAAGTCCTCGGCTTACTTTGAAGTCGGCGCTAATTAATTTCTGTCTTCTTGACAACTGTTCTGCACACTGCAATGATAAACAAATGACAATTGGATTTACAGCGGGCTTAAAATTAAGATAAGAAAAATAAGCAAAAAAAAGCCAAGGACGCAAAATTATAATCATAAAGCAAATATTTACTTTCTCAGTATTTCTGTTGCAATAATTTTGAGAAATTTAATTGAAAAGAAAATTTTTTTTCATATCATTTTGATCCATAAAAAATTATTCGAACAACATTTTAAGATCATTAATTTTTTTCTCTTTACGGAACTTTTATAAAAAAAAAAATAATTCTTACCATCCTACTCATGGCTCTATCTAGCCTGTGGTGCATCAGACACTTATACGCTTGAGTCGAACCACTTGGCACATTGGAGCAAAGTCTATTGAGGTCTGCAGCACAAGCCAAGAAGAGTTGCCTGTCCAGCTTGATGTCGTCAGACTGCTGTTCAGACACTTTTAAAACGTGCTTGTGGCAGTCGGGCTCCAAATCATCCAAGTGCTGCTGAAGACATGCCAAAGTTTTGCCCTGGGACAGCTGAAAGATTTTTTGTCAACAAAAGTAAATTACATAAAAGTTTGTATTTTTTATACAGATCCAGAAACAAGTCTCCCACATAGATGCTTGTCGATGTCGCTCTGGCATTTGTTCGTCAGCTTTGGCAAAAGCCTGTAGTCTGAAAAGGCGATGTAGCCTATTCTCTGGATGAACGCTTTGCAAGGAACGCTCTGAAGTTCATCCTTGTGTTCGAGCAGGCAGCCTAAGTTGTTGTCTGCATTATTGCACGTTGCCAACACGTCCTTGAGTTCAATTGCACAGGATCGGCTCGTTGCCTCCTTGATGCTCGAGTCCTCAAGCAGACTGACGGTGTGCGACCAAACGGCGTGTTGACACTGTTCGTTCAATTCGGATCCATCATTTGGCTGCAAAATGATATTTTGTGAATAAAAAGTTAGTTGATATGTCCAAAAGAACACCTACTTTGAAGGTCTGGATGCACTCCAGGACAGTCAGATCGTCGGTTCCAGGAGGAAGGGTGCCGCAGAGTCGCTTTATGTCCTCTAGACAACGCGGTTCGTCGATAAGTCGAACGCTGTTGTCCGAGCTCCGTTTGTTTAGAACGTGGCTGGACAGCCAAAAGGGTGTCCGCGATAGGGTTGGATTTTTAGTCTCACTCGTCAAACTGACGGCCACGGTCGATAAGGTCAGGGCCAACCTGAGCAGCAATTGCATTATGACTGCAACTGTCGGTGAAACGCAGCAAAATTAAAGAAAATTATCTTCTTTCAATCAACGCCCTTTGACCACACACCGGCTGCCATTACTAATATTTATTTCCTCTCACTTTAGCCAACGTAAAATATCAAATAATCAGATATTTTTGCATTTCTCAAATTATAATTAATGTTGGCTAACCTGTTAGTTTTGATTCAGAATGTTTTCCACGCAAAAGTGTTGCTTGCACATGCAATTCTGCGATTGCGAGAATTACGATTTATAGACTTAAGGGACTTTAGAAGTAAATTTTTGGATAAATTAACCGAAATCAACCTACACTAGATATTTAATTAAAAATTACTGCTCAATTTTTGGGTACGCAGAATTTCCCAAATCATACGTAGATTTTATGATGAAATTCTGCTATGAAAACATGATACAACTTTGCAATGAGAAAATATCTTCTGTCCACGTTTCTTAGGTTTTTGCCCAAAAGGTTTTGTAAGATGGATATTTTGTTATCAGAGTATTCAATTATTGTTATTTTCAGGAGACAGACGTTGACAAATAATATCTCATTCACCTGCGCAATGGCAAACAGCAAGTTCGAATATGTCCGCAACTTTGAGGCCGATGACAGGTGTTTACCAAACACATGGATCGTCGTCCGAATCGACGGAAGAGGTTTCCACAAGTTTTCAGAAAAACACGAATTTGTGAAACCTAATGACAAACGATCTCTGGACTTAATGTCAAAGGCGGCCAGCAGGGTCATGACTGAATTCAAGGAAATCTGCCTAGCGTATGGACAAAGTGACGAGTTCAGTTTTGTCTTCAAACGGGACACGGATTTGCACAAGAGAAGGGCGTCCAAGCTGATGACTTGCGTCTCTAGTCTCTTTAGCTCAGCATACGTTTTTCACTGGCCACAATTCTTCGACATCCCTCTGAAGTACCCTCCGTCTTTTGATGGCAGGGTCGTGCTTTACCCTACGACGCAGAACTTGAGGGACTACCTGAGCTGGCGACAGGCAGACTGCCACATTAATAATCTCTTCAACACAGTTTTTTGGGCTCTGGTCCTTAAAGGTGGACTTACAAACTCCGAGGTTTGCCTAAATTAATAATTTATTAATGAAAAATTATCTATCTTTGATTCATTTTTAGGCTGAGCAAAGATTGAGTGGGACCTTTTCGTCAGATAAAAATGAGATTCTGTTCTCAGAGTTTGGAATAAATTATAACAACGAACCTCAGCTATTTCGGAAAGGCAGTGTGCTAATTAGATGCAAACAAAAGAAAGGAGAAGAGGTCGAAGAAGGCAGGATAAATAAGGAAATAGTGATTCTGAATGAGGATATTATTAATGATTCTTTTTGGATCAAGCACAGTATCCTGGATTGAAACATAAATTATAGAAATAAATGAACATTATTATAGTGATTAGCAATTTCTATAATTATTTATGCCTTGTTAAGCCTAAAAGGAAAAACAATAAAACATTTTGTAAAAATTAATTTTTACCTTATTTTCGCTATGGTGTGAATTTGAACTTACTTCAAAGTGTTTCTAAACAGGGAAAACCTCTTAATATTAAACTAATATATATCTTTTTTTATTATTCTTTATATTCAGCATAGAAGTATTACAATATTTGTCAACAGTAAATTACGACATCAGCTTAAATGATTTACAGGAATTAGGCTTGAAAAATTACAAAACAAAAACTGCAGCCAATGCACATAAAATTCTCTTTTGAGATAAAAAGTGTGCAGTCCATCGTAGAATTAAGACCTTTTTGAGGTTTGCTTGTTTTGTTTTGGTTGGTGAGAACAGCCAGAGGAAACAGTTACATCTGAGGTAGCTCTTCTATCGGCGTGGCGAACTTGAAGTCTTCGGGGAAGAGCTGGGCAGCCATCGGGTACATCAGTTTGTACGACTGCCTGATGGTGACGTCGGCAACACCGGCAATATCTCCGATCTCCTTCTGACTCCTCTTGTCAGCAGACGCCTTAAAAAAACGATTAAAACATAATTTAAACTCTTGGATACCGATCATACCTGCGAAGCCATGTAAATGGCCGCTGCCGCCACTGAAATAGGTGAACGTCCAGGCACAATGTCCAATTCCACTGCCTTCCTAGCAATGTGGGTTGCAGCTTTTTGTACCATGTTGGGCAATGCTGGTGAAGGAAAGTTATTTATCAGATGGAATTATTTTGTTTCAGGAATGGTAAACATACACAAGTTGGAGCAGAATCGGGACATGAAGTCGCCCGTGGTGATCAAATCTACACTCGTCTCCAGTGCCTTCAGGATGAGTTTGAAGCAGCGCCCGATTTCTTTCTTTGAGATCTTGCTAACAGCACAAATTTCCTGGAGAAGACAAATTCGATAAAAGAAAAAGATAATTTTCTTTTTCAAAAGAACTGTGCAAAAATTTAAGAGAAAATAAATTTTTTTTTCGAAATTTGTTCAAAGCTCCAGATTTTTCTATTTCATATTTTTTCATCCCATATAATTACATAATTTACAAATTTCGTAACATATATACCTTGAATGTGCGAGGAACTCCCTCTTGTCTGCAGGCAATGTACAAGCAGGCTGAGGCAATTGCGTCGTTTGACCTGCCCTTCAGGTTTTTCCCATCGTGGACCTGCTTGAACAAATTGTTTGCTCTGTCCACAATGGTTTTGGCCAGATTGATTCTGTCAGCCATGCCATTGATTTCACGGAAGGCATTTATCAAAGCTCTGTCTGAACTACTCATCTGAAAACCAAACAATTTAATTAATTCGCACAATTGAATACTTTGTCTTAAACTGACAGTTCTTCTGTTTTGATATTTGGAAACGCCAAAGGTGTCAAACGACGCATCTCCTCTTCCAGGTCCAATCACAGTAGACAAATCTGATCCATTCAGCAGGGGATTTTCCGGACCACCGACACGAGACGGGTCAGTCCCAGACTTTTCATTCGAGAATGTACGCCATTCGGAGCCAACGTCGATGACCCTGGAATTTTTTTAAATTTCAAGTGGGACACGCAGGGCAGGCCGTATCTTAAAAAAATTATTTTGAAGGTTTTAAACAAACCTGTCACCGACAACTAGGCCACAATCAGAGCAAATTTGGTCTCCAGCGCGATAATCCTCGATCAACGGTGCGTCCGGATGAGCGTAACAGCAGACTCTGTTGGTTTCCATTCTGCAAAAACAAACACCGTCGTGTATAATTATTTCAGCAACCACCAAACAACTTTCTCGATGCTGCCGCAAACAAAAATTGCCTGTTTCCCCTTTCAAGTCTGAAATTGAAGCTTTTTTCGAGAAATCTTGTCCAATACCCAGAAACTAAAATGCTTAATTGTCAACTGATTCTTTTGATAATCAAAAGCGTTGCACGACAAAAGTCAAAATTGAGGAAAATAATTAAAAACAAATAATAACAGTACTGCCTACCTTGACGAAGAAGCCATTACTAAACTAAACACTAAAATCAAATGACAATCGTCAATCGTGGCCTGATGTTGGCGCGAAAAGTCTGGGGCGTTTAAAGTTTGAAAGAGCCTAGAATTTCGCAATGCAAAAAACTATATATTTATGCAACTGCAAAGTCAACGCTAGTCATTTTGTACTTAATTAAATTTAATACCGACCCTCCACAATAAGATAATTAGCCCTTTGATCTATGATTAACATTAAGATTTCACACTTTGAAGACTTGAAAAATTGAAAACTTATTTTTACATAAATTATTTGAATTTTTCATTATAATAAATTAAAAATAGTAATAACCGGTACTCCCGAGAAATTTTTTCGGGAACGGGAATTCCCTGGGAGATATTTGACACAGAAGTTTCCGGGAGTGGGTGGGAAAACGAGAATTTTCCTGGGGATGGGACTCCAGGGAGAAAAATTTACTCCCGATGGACTCATCACTCACTAAAGCACCACGATGACCACGGTAATATCGAGTGCGACAAGCTGCCTCTGTAGGTTCATCCTAAATTTTATTTATTAAAAGTCGATGCCGAGAAAATCTCTCTGATTGGCTCACAAAATGTCCAAGAAGGTGAAAAACTGCGCAACAAGAGGATCGCACACAAGAGAGGAATCAACTTCTCTATAGTTTGACTACTTTAAAATGAAAAGAATATTGCCAGAGACATTTACATTTTTTTTTTATTAACTAGGGAGACTGAAACAAGACAGTACAAAAATTTTTAGCAAAGGCAATTATTTATTGATTAAATTCATTGCATCATTACGATTTATATTAAACAAAAAGAAAGAGTAGAAGGAAGTAAAAACATAATAAAATTATGTAGAAATTAGTGTGTGCTCAATAATACATGTAAGTCCTTATTGATTAAATGTGTGCTCCTAAGATGCATTTTTCTAATTATTACAAAAGACAATTATTCTTACAAATTTCATCCTTTAAACAGAATTATTGTAATTGTAGTCACAAGATTAGTCTCCTTGTAACAAACCACTTGTGTATCCCAACAAAATCAAATTTAAAATTGTTCTATAATAAGACAAGAACAAGCATACAGCATCACCTCTGCGCTAACAAAACAGTAATTAATTAACATTGGTCGTATTATTAATTATAGATCTGTGCATTCTGTGCTTCGCACTTTAATCATATATAATTATGATTGTGGCAGGAAGAGATAATAATTTGAAAATATTAGTTCGTGAAAATCTCTAATGGGCGCTTTGTTAAGTCGTCTCCATAACATGGGCGTAAATCTATTGGTCGGAACAGGCACGGAATACTTAAGCTGAGTGAGATTTAATGATCAATATATATAGTCTTTGAGAATTTCAAAGAAGGCCTCCTCGTTGTTGTACATCTATAAAATATTTCACTTTTCTCGGCACAAATTGTATGGATATGGATGGGTGTGGATAGGAAATTATTCATTTTTTACTTCTGCAAACTCTCTATCACAGCTCGTGAAGCTCCCTTCAATTTTTTTAACACGGCTTTTGATCAACAACTGGCTATTGGGACGAGTGGTTAGTTGGTCGGGATCTGCGTGTTTGGCTTAAAATTAACACCGAATCTACATACAACATCCACATCAAAGACAACAAGAATTTTTAAGCAGAGGTGACATGAATACAAACTTAATCGAGCCATTCTCTTTGTCATACAATCCAAAACCTTTTTACGTCTGATTAGTGAGAATTTCTCTTTCTTCCATCAAATTTCAGTCCTTTCACTAGTTCAAAATATGAATTTAAATTGTCGTTGAATACCTTTTTAAAGGTGTTGGGTATCAAAATGCACATATTTCATTAACGAGATTTTCGCTTCTTGAATCCTGGAACAGAAAAAGAAAGGAATTATTAATTTACCATTCTAGAATTCTTGCAACTGATAACATTTTTAACTTTAAAACTTAAAACAGTTGAAATACATCAAAAATTACCTTTCGAGCCCTTCTTCTTGCTGGGCGTTTTTGAGCCTCTCTTCTTTGCCCTCTTTGGAGTTACCTCTCCTTCGAGACCCCTGAAGTCGGACCCGAAGTTAATGAGTTCGTCGGCCAAGCTGCCCATGGTAGGCAACTTCCTCTTCTTGCGCTTCTCCTTGGCCACCGGCAGACGAGTGAAGTACGTCTCCTCGTACTCCTGCCGCTCCAAGTCCTCCTTGGACGGACCGGAAGGTCCTGCCCCTGAGTCGACGCGGGACCCCAGCTCTGTAGGCGCGTCCAAATACTCCTCCCGCAACTCCCGCACCATCGAGCTACTCAGGGCGCGACGCTTGGCCCTTTCAAGCAACTTCTCCTGACGACTGGCTGCAGTCTCATCCCCTTCGTAGTGCATGGGTGCCAATTTCGGAGGCACATACACTGATTTCCTTTCCCGTTCACCCTCTTCGTCCTCACTACTGTCGGAATCACCTTCCAACTGCAAAGTTTATAAAAATGAGTTTTTTCTTCCATTATGCCATGACAATTCCTATTTACCTTGCTAACCATGTTGTCGGGGTTTGCCCTGAATGAACTAGCATCTGAGCATTCGCCAGTGACTGCTGTTTTGACCAGTTTGTCTATTTGGTACTTGAGCCGTCGGTCGATCGGTCTCAATCTTTCTAACACAGTTCTCAGTTCCACCAATCGATCTGCAGAGACAATAAACATATTTTTAACAGTTTTCAAGAATGAAATCAATTAAAAACCACTAATGCCTTTATTTAAATTAATTTAAAACTCACCAATGCTTGGATCGTTGAAAATTGACACTCCAGAGCTCTTCCTCAACACCACATAAGATAAATTTATCAAATAGCTCAGCAGCGTGTGGTACTTGACCTCGAGGAAGCTCAATCCCTGCATGTTGACAAACATTAGCATATAATTTTTTCTGACTGCTTTTGCAAAACTCCTTACCTTGGCCGTAGAAATTTCCCCTCTTTTGACTCTGAGCAACATGCTATCCACCAGCTTGGACACTTTGTCGGCACTCTCGCCCATTTCGGCGAGCAACTGGAGGGCTTGAGGCAAGTCCTGCTGGCTCACGGCCACGGCGTCGTCTCCGGCCTGAAACACAATTCATTTAGTCTCTAATTCTGAATCGCCCTGGCGCCGAATTCTGCCTTCTCGTAAGGACTATTACCTGAACCATGATTTAAGGGTGCTCTCGACTTCGCTCTGCGGGTCACAAGCTCATTCTGCGACCCTTTAATTTGGATGCACGTGTTAGTGTGTGCACTTTTTAAAGAGCAGCTGCCATTTTTTCATTTCACTGCTGCTCACTGCGAGGAGTCAATGCCTCCCCTCTCCCCCATCAGCGTTTTGTTGTTGTACAATTGAAAAGAAATGAAAGGGGCGCAAGGGGAGGCACCGTGGGAATCTTGATGTGTGGGAATGGTGTGGAGTTGACTTATAGTGGAAAATTTTAGCCAAAAACTTTCATGAATATATACACCGAAAAGCAAAATTTACAATATTCTATAAAGTGCTCAATGATAAGAAATATAAGCGGCTGGAAAAGTGCAAAAAGCTTTATATTTTAAAACTTTTACCACGTCTTTAAGCGGGCCCATTAGCTCAGTTGGTTAGAGCGTCGTGCTAATAACGCGAAGGTCGTGGGTTCGATCCCCCCATGGGCCAGTCTTTTTGCCAAATTTCCATGAGTTATAAAACATGCAGATAAGTTAGCGAATGGACAAAACGGCACCACCACTAGCAAGAATTTTGCTAAAACTTCCGAGGCCAAAAAGACCCCATCCGCCGCAGTGAGCCTCGGTTGACTGTTTTTGTTCTTATTATAACGAAATTATTAATTTTTTTCTTCGAATCTAACAAAATTATTGTCAGCCTTTGTTTTTTCTTTTGGTTTTTTTTTCGTATTTGTATATAAACCACTTATTGATCTGTAAATTTGAAGGTGTTTAAAATTTATTGAGCATACAATGTAACAAAACAATTACAATAAACCATTGAAAACAATTTATAACATAAAAAATAAGTCACAGGTCAAGAGAGGCATTTAAAAATATTTACAAATGCACTGCATACTATAATATGCAATATTTTGTTAATAGCTAACAACAATATATCACCATTCCATTTGTTCAAAGCCCTCAGTTTATGTTTTAAGTACTTCAGATCTTCTTCATATTACTCATTAACAAATTCGTGTGCAGTTACTAACATCAACTCTTTAGAAGTGAACTTGTGGTGGAATCAAATGCGTAAAATTTCTAAAATGCTGAACTTTGTATATTCCTTAACTGAAATTCGATGTGGAGTCGCACTCGATGGGGCATGGGAACCAGATCACTATTCCTGAATATGGAGCAGTCTCTTGTTTGTCATAACCATTTTTTACAAACGAACTTTGCCCATGTTGATTTGTTCATACACCTCATCAGTAATTAATTCATACTTTCCGCTACTGGCCAAGTAATAGACAGGATCTTTTTTCGGCTCAAATCCTTCTTTTTGCAGATCAGTTTTCTTCAATTTAAAGGTTCCTGAAATTAAAAATATGTGTTATTTTTTTAGATTCAATAATATTTTCCCTATGTACCTGTTAAGTCCAATTCGGATAAAAGTCGCACAAATATGGGTCTAGCATAACTAGGGAGGGACGCTTTCAACCCTTCAGCAAACTTTTCCAAATCAATTGGTGCATCTTTTCCTTGGTGAATAGCAACCATTCCTGCTCTTCCCTCGGCTCCGGGAACTTCAACTCCATAAGCAATGGCGTCTCTGTAGCTGACGAGGTTGCTGATAACGGCTTCGACTTCAGACGTGGACACATTCTCACCCTTCCATCTGAAAGTAGAATTTGGGAATAAATTTTAATAAACAAATTTCGCAATTTAACTAAAACTCTAAATAAAAATTATTCTCATTTGAAGAGGATAAAAAAAGTATTTACCTATAGGTGTCTCCTGTCCTATCTTTAAAAGAAAGATAACCAAACTCGTCCATTTCTAGAATATCGCCAGAGAGGAAAGCAGAGTCTCCAAGTTTGAAAACATCCCTGACGATTTTCTTTTCAGACGCGCTTTTGTCGACGTAGCCAAGAAAAGCTCGAATTGGATCATTAGGCACAATTTTGCCAATAAAAACTCCAGGTTCACCTGCAAAATTAATCAAATTCAAGAATTATTGAATTTTTCTTTCAATATATGTATATACCTGGCTTGCAGGGAATGCAGAGTCCTTGAGCGTCACGAATGACGTCTCCAGTTTCCGGGTCCACTCTGATGATGGAAATAGGGTAGACAGACGGTATGATGCGGGACACAAAACCAATTGCGCCTACGGTGTTGTCAGGATTGACTGAAATTCAAAGATGGAAAAATTTATTATTGAACATAATTAAGGAATAGACTGAAAAAAACCTACTTATATTGGCGTTTCCTTCAGTAGCTCCGTAGAATTCAGAAATCCTTGCAATGTTGAACCTCTCGGTGAAAGGAATCCAAATTTGAGGTCGAAGACCATTTCCGTACATCATTCTAACGGGGTGGGTCGTGTCTTGAGGGCTAGGCGGGACGGCCAGCAAGTAACGACACATTTCTCCAATATACTGGCCAACCTGAGGGGAAATTTAAATCATCTCGCTGTAAAAAGAAGAGAGACAGAAACGTACAGTGCACTCGTATTTTGCACAGTCCTTGAAGTAGGCAGAGGCGGAAAATTTTCCCCTGATTGCCACGGAGCTGCCGTAAACCAACGCCTGGCCAATCGCAGTCACTCCTCCTGCGGTGTGGTACAAGGGCAGGGTTACATAGAGACGGTCGTTAGAGGTGACGCCGGCCAACCAATGGATTCCACCAACCATGAAAATAAATCTGATATTTTAAAAATTAATTATTCAAAGTGCTCATTTCTATTTTTGAATCTCACCTCGAATGTGTAATGATAGCAGCCTTGGGCATTCCAGTGGTGCCCGACGTGTAAATGTAGACTAGGGGGTCCTGGAATCCGGCCTTTTTGTGTCCATCGGGCAACGAGAGTGGCAGAGTTGGCTCGTGTTCGGCCATCAGCTCCTCAAGCTCAACTTCGCCAAGTCGAGGACCCTTGATGGGGTCCATTCGAATCAAGGAAATTCCACGGGGCAGCCCGTCGCTTCCCAAATCGGCAAGAGCTGCGCACATTTTTTGTTTTTCCAAAAGTTTAAAATGCATTCAATAAAACGGACCTTCAGCAAAATCAGACGAGTAGATGAGCGCCTTGGCGTTTGAGATGCCGATGGAGTGCTTCAGAACCTGCTTGCGGAGGTTGGTATTGATGAGGGCGGCGATCACGCCGATTCTGCACATGCCGAGCCACAGGGCGACATACTCGGGACGGTTGTTGGCCAGGATGGCGACGACATCGCCGTGTTTATAGCCCCTCGCAACGAGCAATTTGCTTATCTTTATGCTGTAATCTTCCACCTAAGGAAAGGGAAATCGTGAGAAATTGAAAATTAAATGATAAATATTTTATTTACTTTCGATTTGTATCAATTTCCTTATTGAAAAGTATTTTAATTAACAAAGACGAAAATGTATGGTATTTTAATTATACCTGTTTGAAAGTCCATTTCTGATCCTCGAAGACTAAGCACACTTTGTTGGGGTGTTTGAGCACCTGCTGGTTGAAGATGTCGGCCACGCTTCGGTTAGCCTTTGCGTGACTCCTCATTTCCATTTTCAGCCTCAGATAAAGGAACAGAGCCCTTGAAGGATGCAAAAAAATCTCAGTTAGATTGGTCGGGTTTCCCCGAGCACGCCAGTGAATTTTATATAAGAAAAAATATGTAAATTTATCCGATTCAATGTTTTATTTTCATTTAAATCACATTTTTTTCAGCTATTTTTTTAAAATTTCTTTAAATAAATACAAAGTAATCTAATCTTTATTTTTATTTTGATTCAACCATTTAACAAATAATAAAATCAGCTTTATAAAAATTGATTATTTAATGCTTTCCGTTAAATTACAATTTGTTTTGTGCACATATGAAATATCAGCGGCGCAACAAACTCACTTGCTGAGAACCAAAAATAAAATTTATACGCGCTCCGCCGTGCATCCGAATGACTTGGTATATTTTTGCAAGAAGTGCAAAGTAATCGGAGCCCCGCGTCGCCAGCACCAGCTTTGCTTTTTTGGCGTTGGCTGCAATTTTTTTTGCTCATGTCCTTGGCAGAGAAAAAAAATACCAAAGGTACTAGAGGCGCGTACCAATCAATGATGGTTTATTTATTTCCATTGCAATTTATTTCGCAGTGGAAAATTTAGTTTTTTATTATGATAACAGAAAAGAGCAAAACAGGTTTTTAGGAGGGAATATAAATAAATAATAAAAATGCTAGGCAGAGGCGAGCAAGACTCTCGACGAGAGCGAGGCACACACACGCACTTTCTCTTTGGTCGATAATAATTATTACACGGCAATAGCAGAAAATATGCAGCGGCGAGAAATTTTTGGCTTTACGACAGCTTTTATCGCTATAGAATCTCCCCCAATAAAAGTTTACAGAGAACAATAATATTTTGGCTGAATAATAAAATGCATACATTTTATTTTTTATCATTAAAATTAAAAACACGAGAAAAAAAGCGTAAATAATAATTGAATTGAATGAATTTTAAATAAAATTGTGAAAAGTGAATTTAGAAATTATTTTCAATAATTTTTTTCAATGATAAGGAAGTGTAAAAATAAGGATCATAACAAAGGATTTGATTAATCCACTGCCACAATCGATAAAAGAGTTGTCGAAAAAGTGCGGCCAGCGAGTTTCCACTTTGTTAGAAAAGAAAGTTTTCTTCTTGTTAACAAAAAATTCAGACTCACCAAATAAATAAAATAAAAGGTACAGCTTTCTAAAACCATTGAATTGCCAAAGTTTAATTTTCAATATTTCACCAAAGCAGGTGCCAGGTTCATAAAATTAAATTGTGTAAAAAGTGCAGACTCACGTCATGTCCCTGGGCGCCGTCCGGATGGCCACGTACGCCCACTTGAGGCCACCGGCGGCCACGAACCACGCGACGCCGGCCACGATGGCCAGCTGCAGCACGAAGAGCCATCCGAGCACGAGGGCCACGGCGACGGCCAGGGCGCCGATGATGCCAGCCAGGGCTGCCATGGCCGCCCAGTTCTGCAGCGACCGTCGCAACTGCACCTTGGAGGCCAGCGAGTGTCCAGCTCTGCTAGAGGAGGAGGGGTCGCTGCTGCTTCCGTTGGCGCCCTTGCCGCGGCGCTGCTCGCCGATCTCGAGGTCCACCTCCTGCGCAAACACGAGAAGAGAAACCATTCAAAACGAGTCGAACGTAGGCAGCCCGCCGTGCATCCATGTGCAGCGGGTTGCAGCATTGTAGATAAAGCAAAGAAAATTTGACATTTTCTCGATTTTCTTGAATGAATTAATCGAGAAAAGGGCTTTAACGGAGATTAAAAATGGAAATGAACAAACTACAACATTTAAATATTAAAATTACTCATTTGCAGCAGAGTTTTAAAGATAGAATTATAAAAAGAAAATAAAAAATTAGAAGAAAATTATTTATAAAAAATTAAATCAGCACGCAAAATTGTAGCTCCCTATAAACACAAAACAATCAAATCTGAGCTTCCCCTGACCCATCTACTAATCCAGAGATATCCCCATATTATTTTTTTTCACCGATCCTTTCCAGTTTTCATTCTCTCATCATCCTGTGAATATGCCATAAATAGGGATGCTGGCAAAAAATGATGATTTTAATAAAGCTAAACAGAATAATAAAATTATAAAATTAAATAAATTATGCTTTGTCTTGGCCTGAGTGCCTAAAAAAATATTTTTTCAATAACGCAAAAAATTATGAAACAAAGCGCAATTTATTTTGATCAAAATTTTTATATTGGTATTGAATGGCATTGACTGCAACAATATTTCAGTATGATATAATTTTCTTGTCAGCTATCTTTTTTTGCAAGCAAAACTCTGTACAAAACTTGATGCCATTTTAGTTCCTTGTCGGTAGTTTAACATGAGACGGAACAAAAGCCACGTCGTGACTTGGCAAATGCTTTTGATTCCAGAGATAAAAAGACGTCTCGGTGACTTTTCGCGACGCAGCTAGAAATTATCAATCGAGGAAATGAACTTGGTGTGACGATGATGACTTAACCAACCAAGGCATCTATCTGGAAAATCCAATAATTAAACCGTGCAACACTTGGGAAAACGATTTATGATTCAATGGTTTAGAAATAATAATTGAAATTTTTCCGCAATCCACTTCTGAGAATAAGATGCATTTTTTTTTCTATGCCCGCAAGAAATGCAAATATAAATAGAGAAAGATAAAACTGAACCTCAGCTGCACGCGTTTGCGGCTTTTGGTGGGAATTTCCCAAGCATATTACAGAGAGTCAAACAAAAAATTATAAAGGACTGTGAACGAAAAACATTTGCCACGGTTGCATCCTCCAATGATCGTAACAGGTTGGCGCAAAGTAGGCCTCAAGAAAAATTAGCTTGCATTTGGGCTTGAGTGCTGCGTTGATGAAATAACTGAGGCGTGTCTAGCGCGAATAAATTCTCTGCTTTCAGGGTTTTGCAGATCTCAATTCAACCCACATACATGAAGAGCTTTAGAATTTTAAACACGGTCTATTCATGCTCTGAATAATAACTTATTTCAGACCAAAAATTTATGATATACAATGGAATCATTAAAAAAGTGGCAAAATTAAAATATGTGATCACTTTTGCTTCTAGAATTAATTTCAATATTTGAAATATCCAATTGAATTAGGCTAAATCACGAAAGAAATAAAATAAAAACACGTTAGATAAAAAAGAAAACATCTAACTGCTTATCTAATCAATAAAAAAATCAATTAATCTAATTCGTTATCAAAATAATTTTTTTAAACATCAAATTTAAAAATTAAAAATTAAAAAAACGTAAATATACGCAAAGAAAATTGCCAAATTTAAAATGAACCGAATAATGATTTCTGATTTTATTTTGCAAGTTGAGAAGCCAAAGCACTCTCGTTGTGAGAACTTGATAAGCCAATTTTTACGGCTGATCGAACTTGAGAAATTTCCGCGTGAATGTACCAAACTACTTTTCTTGCACATTTCCTATATTCACTTTCAAAGGAAAAGAGAAAATAAAAATAATGCGCTTATAGAATGAAAAAAATCCGATCAAAACAAGTCGTCGAAGGCAAAAGGTGAAAGTCATTTGCTTGTAGCGCGGTAATGTAGAGATCGTATTTGCTTCCACTTTTGATTTTTATAACTGAAACGTTTCAATTACAAGAATTTTGAGATCAATTAACTTCCATATAAAATTTAACAATTTGCGTGAAGTGAAATTCCGTGCACTGACACAACTTAATTTTTGCGCCAAAGATTTGTGGAGAGGATGTTGGATGTTAACCTACATAAGCAGCGACACTGTTTTTATTGCAAGCACTTGATCGACGAGGCGAGGCCTAAAACGGCGCGCCGAGTGAGCGATCTTGTCTCTCATGCACTTATAATTTATCACATACGTGCGTTTCTTGCACAACGGGAAAGAAGGAAGCGATTTTTTCAATTGCAGATGACAAGAGTTTTGTAGCCGCTCGACTTGTTATGCATTTGCAGGTTGGCGCGAAATTAATTTTGCTAATAGACATTCCCTTCATTGTTATTATTTTCAAAGTCAGGAATTTTTTTCCGATTTACGCTATGATAAAATAAGACGATTATTTAAAACGTAAATATAAAAAATAATTTCTCAAACAATAAAATAAATTTTAACAACAGTAGTGCTTATTAAATTATTCTCTCTAAAAAAATGTTTTCAATTTTGCTAATATTAACTTTGTATTTTTTCTTGCTCAGATCATGAAATTCGGTCGCAGACCGAGACCAAAACTGATAGAGTCGTCTGTTTTTTGTTTTAAAATAAATCTTAATGGATTAAAGCTTTTCCGTGAAACCTCCAATTGCCAATTTCGTTTCTCAAAATGCTTCAATTTTGTTAATTTTATTTTGATTACTTTAAACCCGCAGAAAACTGCGAAAGCAGTGCTCATATATGAAACTGAAAATCAGATTTTTTTTGCCAAAAATTTAAATCCCAAATAAAATTCAATTTTACATGAAAATAAAAAATATGAGTTCTATCGGGTTCTATTTTAGAGCAAAAAGGATCATGAATGTATAAATTTGTTGCCGGATAAAAATTTGGGACACTTTTCTTGGCACAAAATGTTCCGGAGCACAGCAGGACGGTGAGTTGCATTTAATTTTAACCAGTGCCAGGCGCCTAATAATGACAATCATTCAACCGCGGGAGCCAAAATTATCCACCCAAGGCTAAAATTCTCTCACAGGTCAACGGCTCCTTTGCAAAGCAATCCAATATAAAATCAGTACACATCATCGCCGCTAATTTCTTCTCTATATTATTAAAAAAAACTCTTTGGAATCACATGCACGCACTCATGCCCGTCTCAAATGTGTATTTTTCCTGCATCGCATGAGTGAATTCACCCAGGAGCCAAGAAAAATATAATGAATTTTTAATTTTTATCCTTGACAGTCCGTATAATTAATGATAGTCAACATGTTCATTGGTACATTGGTAATAATTATAATTGCATAAGACCTGCATGAAAAATTGAAGGAAGGTGAACATTTTATTAAATAAAATTACGTAATTATTGCAGGATTGCCCTGCAAGAAGTTCCGCAATACAAATTTAAGGATGCAGCTGTAAATGTGGTTAATTTTTAATCTTGGTTGGTACTAAGGCTGAGAATCCTGTTCTCCAACAATGCTATTTTAGTATTTCAATCCCGTTGCACGCAGCAAAACTTTTTATTTACGCGGCTCCCTTCCAAAAATCCAAAAGCCAAATTGCGTGCGGTTTTACGCTAGTCTCAAGTTTGCTCAAGAAATTAAGAGAGCGCGGCGGCGAAAAAAAAATATTTCGTTACAGAATCATCAAATGAAAAAAGTAATCATTTGTCCTTACCTGAAGGTCTGAATCTTCTTTTTTGTTGTTATTGCTTGCAACTTTACTCATTGCACCTGAAAAAAAAAATATATATAAAATCATAAATTGTGTTGGTTATTAACATTTGAAATAAAATTTATTGAATGATATTGACCACCAAATAATGAGAGGGAAAACGTCTTCGTTTTCAAGTAATTATGTCTTGACGCCGGCGATCACTTTCTATTTTAACGAAGAGAGACAAAACCACCACGAATACACGCGGCGGTGAAATTCCTCTTGCTTGTAAGTGCAAAAGGAATATTTTGGCAGCGTGGCTTTTCTTTCCAATGGAGTCTCCGTTTAGATATTATAAAGCGCCCAAAGCAATTTGTGACGAGAAAATATTTAATTTCACAATGGTGAAGCCTCAAGTGAAATGTGAGAGGGGGCCATTAATATTTGATTTCTTTTATAGAAACAGTACATTAAAATTTTCATTTATAGAATATATCTGCTAGGAAAATAATCATGGACTGAATTCAGCAAAGTCGTTCTTGAAAATTAAATATTGATAGAGGTCTCAATAAAAGGCGTGTAAAAGTCAACGCCAATAGTGCAAAGGTGCAACAGATTTTGAAAGAAGAAAGGAATTTCATTGGTGCTTCACAAAAGTGTTTGCAGTCAACTATAAAAAAAATGACGAGGACTTTTTTTAAGTTACATAACTCATTTTAAATATTTGGCTCACTTGACGATTGAAAAAAAAATGATTAAATCTTAAAATAATTTTAATGCAAATTTTTAATTTTGCATTAAATTTGACAGACTTTGATGCTAATTAATTGAAAACATAAATTAAGTCAAATGAAAAGATTTATGATGTAAAAAAATCAAGTTTTAATTTTAGTAGGAATTTGCAACTTCTTTTTAAACATAAAAAACTCCTCTCCTGCAGTAAAATAACCGCGCGCAGTCACCCCCATCGCATCAAATGGTGTGCAATCTTTGATCACACATAATTTCCTTGCGGGCGTTTTAATCGGAGTCCCGTGAGTTTGATTGATAAATTTCACGCCACCCGCATTCTGTTAAGCTGATTGAAATGCAAATGCTCGCGTCGCCCCCGAAAGACAATGAGAGCCATGTGACTTACCGGAGGTCGTGACTGGGTCGGCGGCTTCTAATGCGAGGGCATAATTATTATCACAATAATAAGCGCCGCTCGCGGAGAACGCTAAATGTGTGTCGCGCCGCGCTCGACTTAATTCAGACTGACTTCATATGTACGAATCGACGAACTCTCTCTTCACACTCACTCCGGCAATGCCGAGTGAACTTCGCGTCGGAGAGAGGAGGCGGCGGCGTGTGATACTTTGGGTTATTATTCGTTCTCCTCTACCTGTTCATCACCTGCGCGTTACCCCTTTCGAATGCAAGCACCCAATTTTTTCCAGACGCTTAACTGGATCTCCTTCTCTTCCGAGCTAAAAACTGTAGTACTCTGGGAGAAAGAACAGCACTGCTAATAACAATGATAAACGCAATAATTACGCCGGCTCTGCTGTTTTTTCTAAAATGTTGCAAAGTCACTGAAATTAAATTCCTGCTTGAAAACTTAACTATAGGAAGAATATTTCTTCAGCAAACAAATTATTTGCAAGTCTTTTTTTTTAATTTTACACAAAAATACAAACAGGACGAAAAAAAATGGAAAAAAATTTAATTAATAATATACATTATTTTTTTACACAATTTTTTTAATTAAATGATTTATACCTAGAAAATCTGTAGGGAGTTTGCAGTTTGGAACCGCCTTACATTTATTCAAACTCATGCCAATTTTCCGAAACAATTACTTTCTGTGTCGGCCAAGTTCATAAAAGACGTTGCAAATCTTTCAGCTGCAACACTATGGGACCAACTTTTATTTGGCTGGTGGCGCTCGGCTGCTCCTTAGTTCTTTTGACCTCGGCCAGGCCAGCGGTCAACGGAACTACTACCAAAGTGCAGGAAAAACAAGCGGCAAATGCGACGGGCAAGGTAAATAAATATAATAATATACACGAGATAGGTGATTAATTTTTTGAGAAAAGATCAAACTGCCGATTAAGAAGCAGGACAAAGAGGAGGCGCGTTTCCTCTACGGCTACTATGGAGGACTTTATAACAATGGAAACAACAACCTCTTTTTTCCGGGAAACACATTTGGGAACAGAACTGTGAGCTAATAAATTTTATTAATAAAATCGGCGCTTACAATTTTTTTTCAACAGCTTCAATTCAATGTGCTTCCCCTTGGATCTGTACTTTACGGCTGGCTAACGGGTGCATATCCATACATTCTTGGCTAAATATTTAAAATGTTGAATATTTTCCTTGATTTAAATTTACAAACAGATTTGCAAGATTCCAAAATAAACTTTTTAACGAGTTGTATATTGACTTAAAATGTTGTAATGGTTGAAATATTTATTTTTATTTATTTAAATATAGTGAAAAATTTAGATGAAAATAAAATGAAATTAAAATATTATTTTTTATATCAAATTTTTTAGTTTTATTGAATAAAAATACCAAACACTTTTTGTGCCGGCGCTGCCTCATCCGTCATCTTTGCACGCATTTTTACCGCGCCATAATTTCAAAAGGTGATCTACGCGTGCGCTCAGAGACTTGGCCTTGGCCAGCAGCTGGCGAGGCGAATTTCGACGTGACTGAAGTTAGCGATAGCGATAGCGATGCTAGCTACAGAAAAAAGCAGGGTGCCAACCTAAGAAATTTGGTAGTTGATATAAACACAATAATAATAGAAATAGAGTGAAACCAACCTCTCAGAAACGCAGCAGGCGGCTTAAAATGTTTCTTAATGACCCATATATCAGTTCCCGATGTAAAAAACAATTGCATTCCCATACCGGAATTAAATTAAAAAATAAATTATTTTCACCATGCACTTTGTGCGTGAAAAATCAAAGTTTTCTAAATTTAACGAAAACCCACCCTCTCACGGGGTTCAAATTCACCGTACTGACGTAAAAAATGACGAGCAAGAAGAATCCGGGATAAAAAACTTTTGCATCTCAACCCTTCAACCCCTAATTTAAAATTTTAAATTTTTGAGGGGTGGTTTACGTCAAAACCCACCCTCTAAGTAACAAGTTATGTGGCTTAAAATGTTCCTCTTTGACCCTGTTATCAGTTTCAAATGTAAAAAACATTTGCATCCCCATACCGGAATTAAATTAAAAAATAAAAGATTTTCACCCTGCACTTTGTGCGCGAAAAAATAAAATATTCTAAATTAAACTAAAACCCACCCTCTTACGAGGTTCATATTCACCATTCTGACGTAAAAAATGACAAGAAACAAGATTTCGAGCTGAAAAACTTTTGCATGTCACCCCTTCATCCCCTATTTTCGAAATTTAAAATTTGAGGGGTGGTTTCGGTCAAAACCCACCCTCTCAGTAACAAGTTATGTGGCTTAAAATGTTTCTCTTTGACCCTGTTATCAGTTTTCAATGTAAAAAACATTTGCATCCTCATACCGGAATTAAATTAAAAAATAAAAGATTTTCACCCTGCACTTTGTGCGCGAAAAAATAAAATATTCTAAATTAAACTAAAACCCACCCTCTTACGAGGTTCATATTCACCATTCTGACGTAAAAAATGACAAGAAACAAGATTTTGAGCTGAAAAACTTTTGCATGTTACCCCTTCATCCCCTAATTTCAATTTTAAAATTTTGAGGGGTGGTTTCGGTCAAAACCCACCCTCTCAGTAACAAGTTATGTGGCTTAAAGTGTTTCTCTTTGACCCTGTTATCAGTTTTCTATGTAAAAAACATTTGCATCCTCATACCGGAATTAAATTAAAAAATAAAAGATTTTCATCCTGCACTTTGTGCGCGAAAAAATAAAATATTCTAAATTAAACTAAAACCCACCCTCTTACGAGGTTCATATTCACCATTCTGACGTAAAGAATGACAAGAAACAAGATTTCTAGCTTAAAAACTTTTGCATGTTACCCCTTCATCCCCTAATTTCAATTTTAAAATTTTGAGGGGTGGTTTCGGTCAAAACCCACCCTCTCAGTAACAAGTTATGTGGCTTAAAATGTTACTCTTTGACCCTGTTATCAGTTTCAAATGTAAAAAACATTTGCATCCCCATACCGGAATTAAATTAAAAAATAAAAGATTTTCACCCTCCACTTTATCCGTGAAAAATCGATGTTATCTAAATTTAAATAAAACCCACCCTTTCACGGGGTTCATATTCACTATACTGACGTAAAAAATGACGAGAAACAAGATTTTGAGCTGAAAAACTTTTGCATGTCACCCCTTCATCCCCTAATTTCAATTTTAAAATTTTGAGGGGTGGTTTCGGTCAAAACCCACCCTCTCAGTAACAAGTTATGTTGCTTAAAGTGTTTCTCGTTGACCCTGTTATCAGTTTTCAATGTAAAAAACATTTGCATCCCCATAGCGGAATTAAATTATAAAATAAAAGATTTTCACCCTCCACTTTATCCGTGAAAAATCAATGTTATCTAAATTTAAATAAAACCCACCCTCTCACGGGGTTCATATTCATAATACTGACGTAAAAAATGACGAGAAACAAGATTTTGAGCTGAAAATCTTTTGCATGTCACCCCTTCATCCCCTATTTTCAATTTTAAAATTTTGAGGGGTGGTTTCGGTCAAAACCCACCCTCTCAGTAACAAGTTATGTGGCTTAAAGTGTTTCTCTTTGACCCTGTTATCAGTTTTCAATGTAAAAAACATTTGCATCCCCATACCGGAATTAAATTAAAAAATAAAAGATTTTCACCCTGCACTTTGTGCGCGAAAAATTAAAATATTCTAAATTAAACTAAAACCCACCCTCTCACGGGGTTCATATTCACAATTCTGACGTAAAAAATTACAAGAAACAAGATTTCGAGCTGAAAAACTTTTGCATGTCACCCCTTCATCCCCTAAATACAATTTTAAAATTTTAAGGGGTGGTTTCGGTAAAAACCCACCCTCTCAGTAACAAGTTATGAGGCTTAAAATGTTCCTCTTTGACCCTGTTATCAGTTTTCGATGTAAAAAACATTTGCATCCCCATACCGGAATTAAATTATAAAATAAAAGATTTTCACCCTCCACTTTATCCGTGAAAAATCAATGTTATCTAAATTTAAATAAAACCCACCCTCTCACGGGGTTCATATTCATAATACTGACGTAAAAAATGACGAGAAACAAGATTTTGAGCTGAAAAACTTTTGCATGTCACCCCTTCATCCCCTAATTACAATTTTAAAATTTTAAGGGGTGGTTTCGGTCAAAACCCACCCTCTCAGTAACAAGTTATGTGGCTTAAAATGTTCTTCTTTGACCCTGTTATCAGTTTCCGCTTTAAAAAACATTTGCATTCCTATACCGGAATTAAATTAAAAAATAAAATATTTTCACCCTGCATTTTGTGCATGAAAAATTAAAATTTAAGTTATGTGGCTCAAAATTTTCCTCTTTTACCCTTCTATCAGTTTGTCCGTCATATCAAACATTTGCATCCCCATACGGGAATTTTGAAATAAATTTTAAATACATTTTAACCAATTATCGTTTTGAGGTAGAACTTCTTTACGGAGGGTGGGTTCGTGGTGATTATAAAGACTTTTTCCATGATAGTATTGGTGATCTTCAAGCTATTAATTGTTTTAGAAAAAAAAATTATCTTTCTGTACGTGTTTCGGCTGCTGGCTGCTGCCATAATTCATGAGCTGTGAAATTTTTTTGAATACAATTACTACACAAAATAAATTTTTCATCAATATAGTAATTTGTTGTAAACGCTTTTTATATCCATTTTTTACAAAAATTTGAATTATAAAATAATTTTGAAGCTCATGAATTATGTTTGCAGGCGCATCATAAACATATTGTTGTATTGTCATATTATTTTTGGCTAACATTAAGCAACTCGAAAAACACAATCCGACTTAAATTCAAATTATTTATCCGCGCCTTCTCAATTTTTTTCGCGAGGAAACAACAATCAAACCCTTTTCTCCTCAAATATTTTGTTTTATATTAGGCCTCATCCCCAAATGATATTATAATAATATTAATCAATTTTTTCCTCGTGATTTTTTTTCAAATTTTTGGGTTAGAATAATGAAAAAAAGAAATTATGATATTCTTATATGTTTCACGGAAAAATCAATCAACCAATTTCAAACCACAACGGTCCATTATTCATATAATTTTCAACCAAAATGAGAATTGCAGCCCAATTTCTTCTTTTTTTTTTTCATTATTGAAATCAACGCACATATCTGTTCAGCCATATTTCTAGATTTTTCTACGAAAAATCTGTTGCGTGGGCCCCATTTATTATTCCTTTTTTTTTATTAATATTAAGCAATCTCTACAAGTCTACAGGTTGAAAAATTTTCACTTTTTTTACTTTTAAATATTTAAATAACTGTAGAATGCACTCTAGGGTGAGATGGTATTTAATGGAATTTATGAATGATATAAATTTCTTTCAGGTTAAGAACGAATAATTTTGTATACGTACATACATATTTTACTCTTGTTAAGATAAGTTTTTCTTGAACAGTTTCAGTAAAACCTTTTGCAGAAAAAATATTTAATAATTATTTATTTTGGTTGTTTAACAGTCCATTTTTGAAAGTTGATTAGTAAAAAATTAATACACGAACGAGGCCGTTTAAAAAAAAAGAATGCTATTTTAAGCAATAACAATAATTTACAGATTGATACAATAATTTCAGGTGTGGGGATGCAATAGATATTCTCTACAGAAACTGAAACAGGGGTCAAACTGTAACATTTTGAGTCAGTTTTTGGTTGCCGCAGAGGGTGGGTTCTTGACGAAACAACTATAAAAAATTTTTGGAATAAGCAGCGAAAGAGGTGAGATGAAATAATTTTTTTATCTCAGATTCTTCTTTCTCGTCATTTTTTATTATGACAAACTTGTGAATATGAATTCTATAAGAGGATGGGCTTCACTAAGATTTAAAAAAAAAATTCAAAAGTGAAAATCTATAAATTTTTCTTACATTCAGTAAGAGGGATGCATTTGTTATTCCCCACGAAAACTGATAAAAGAGTCAAAGAGTAACATTGAAGGTCGTAGTTTTGGTGCCTAAAAGGGTGGGTTATTGCCGAAACCACCCCTCAAAATTTTAAAATTGAAATTAGGGGATGAAGGGGTGACATGCAAAAGTTTTTCAGCTAAAAATCTTGTTTCTTGTCATTTTTTACGTCAGAATGGTGAATATGAACCCCGTGAGAGGGTGGGTTTTATTTAAATTTAGATAACATTGAATTTTCACGGATAAAGTGGAGGGTGAAAATCTTTTATTTTTTAATTTAATTCCGGTATGGGGATGCAAATGTTTTTTACATTGAAAACTGATAACAGGGTCAAAGAGAAACACTTTAAGCCACATAACTTGTTACTGAGAGGTTGGGTTTTGACCGAAACCACCCCTCAAAATTTTAAAATTGTAATTAGGGGATGAAGGGGTGACATGCAAAAAATTTTCAGCTCAAAATCTTGTTTCTCGTCATTTTTTACGTCAGTATTATGAATATGAACCCCGTGAGAGGGTGGGTTTTATTTAAATTTAGATAACATTGATTTTTCACGGATAAAGTGGAGGGTGAAAATCTTTTATTTTATAATTTAATTCCGGTATGGGGATGCAAATGTTTTTTACATCGAAAACTGATAACAGGGTCAAAGAGGAACATTTTAAGCCTCATAACTTGTTACTGAGAGGGTGGGTTTTGACCGAAACCACCCCTTAAAATTTTAAAATTGTATTTAGGGGATGAAGGGGTGACATGCAAAAGTTTTTCAGCTCGAAATCTTGTTTCTTGTAATTTTTTACGTCAGAATTGTGAATATGAACCCCGTGAGAGGGTGGGTTTTAGTTTAATTTAGAATATTTTAATTTTTCGCGCACAAAGTGCAGGGTGAAAATCTTTTATTTTTTAATTTAATTCCGGTATGGGGATTCAAATGTTTTTTAAATCGAAAACTGATAACAGGGTCAAAGAGGAACATTTTAAGCCACATAACTTGTTACTGAGAGGGTGGGTTTTGACCGAAACCACCCCTCAAAATTTTAAAATTGAAAATAGGGGATGAAGGGGTGACATGCAAAAGATTTTCAGCTCAAAATCTTGTTTCTCGTCATTTTTTACGTCAGTATTATGAATATGAACCCCGTGAGAGGGTGGGTTTTATTTAAATTTAGATAACATTGATTTTTCACGGATAAAGTGGAGGGTGAAAATCTTTTATTTTATAATTTAATTCCGGTATGGGGATGCAAATGTTTTTTACATTGAAAACTGATAACAGGGTCAACGAGAAACACTTTAAGCAACATAACTTGTTACTGAGAGGTTGGGTTTTGACCGAAACCACCCCTCAAATTTTAAATTTCGAAAATAGGGGATGAAGGGGTGACATGCAAAAGTTTTTCAGCTCGAAATCTTGTTTCTCGTCATTTTTTACATCAGTATGGTGAATATGAACCCCGTGAGAGGGTGGGTTTTATTTTAATTTAGATATCATTGATTTTTCACGGATAAAGTGGAGGGTGAAAATCTTTTATTTTTTAATTTAATTCCGGTATTGGGATGCAAACGTTTTTTGCATTGAAAACTGATAACAGGGTCAAAAAGAAACACTTTAAGCCACATAACTTGTTACTGAGAGGGTGGGTTTTGACCGAAACCACCCCTCAAAATTTTAAAATTGAAATTAGGGGATGAAGGGGTGACATGCAAAAGATTTTTAGCTTGAAATCTTGTTTCTTGTCATTTTTTACGTCAGTATGGTGAATATGAACCTCGTAAGAGGGTGGGTTTTAGTTTAATTTAGAATATATTAATTTTTCGCGCACAAAGTGCAGGGTGAAAATCTTTTATTTTTTTATTTAATTCCGGTATGGGGATGCAAATGTTTTTTACGTCGAAAAATGATAACAGGGTCAAAGAGGAACATTTTAAGCCACATAACTTGTTACTGAGAGGGTGGGTTTTGACCGAAACTACCCCTTAAAAATTTAAAATTGTAATTAGGGGATGAAGGGATGACATGCAAAAGTTTTTCAGCTCAAAATCTTGTTTCTCGTCATTTTTTACGTCAGTATTATGAATATGAACCCCGTGAAAGGGTGGGTTTTATTTAAATTTAGATAACATTGATTTTTCACGGATAAAGTGGAGGGTGAAAATCTTTTATTTTTTAATTTAATTCCGGTATGGGGATGCAAATGTTTTTTACATTTGAAACTGATAACAGGGTCAAAGAGGAACATTTTAAGCCAAATAACTTGTTACTGAGAGGGTGGGTTTTGACCGAAACCACCCCTTAAAATTTTAAAATTGAAAATAGGGGATGAAGGGGTGACATGCAAAAGTTTTTCAGCTCGAAATCTTGTTTCTCGTCATTTTTTACGTCAGTATGGTGAATATGAACCTCGTAAGAGGGTGGGTTTTAGTTTAATTTAGAATATATTAATTTTTCGCGCACAAAGTGCAGGGTGAAAATCTTTTATTTTTTTATTTAATTCCGGTATGGGGATGCAAATGTTTTTTACATCGAAAACTGATAACAGGGTCAAAGAGGAACATTTTAAGCCACATAACTTGTTACTGAGAGGGTGGGTTTTGACCGAAACTACCCCTTAAAAATTTAAAATTGTAATTAGGGGATGAAGGGATGACATGCAAAAGTTTTTCAGCTCAAAATCTTGTTTCTCGTCATTTTTTACGTCAGTATTATGAATATGAACCCCGTGAGAGGGTGGGTTTTATTTAAATTTAGATAACATTGATTTTTCACGGATAAAGTGAAGGGTGAAAATCTTTTATTTTTTAATTTAATTCCGGTATGGGGATGCAAATGTTTTTTACATTTGAAACTGATAACAGGGTCAAAGAGGAACATTTTAAGCCAAATAACTTGTTACTGAGAGGGTGGGTTTTGACCGAAACCACCCCTCAAAATTTTAAAATTGAAAATAGGGGATGAAGGGGTGACATGCAAAAGTTTTTCAGCTCGAAATCTTGTTTCTCGTCATTTTTTACGTCAGTATGGTGAATATGAACCCCGTGAGAAGGTGGGTTTTAGTTATATTTAGAAAACTTTGATTTTTCACGGATAAAGTGCAGAGTGAAAATCTGTTATTTTTTAATTTAATTCCGGTATGGGGATGCAAATGTTTTTTACGTCGAAAAATGATAACAGGGTCAAAGAAGAACATTTTAAGCCACATAACTTGTTACTGAGAGGGTGGGTTTTGACCTAAACTATTAATATTGTGTTTGAATCAACCTCCAAATTTCTTAGGTTGGCACCCTGCTTTTTTCCGTCGCTGCTAACGCTATCGCTATCGCTAACTTCAGTCAGGTGAATTTCGCGTGTTGTTTACTCCGCGAAGCCCACGAAAAGATCATAAACAATTATACAGTACCGCAGCGTGTACCATTGATAATGTCGCGTTTGTGGGTGTTTATGGGTAGGAGCTTGGACAAAAGCTTCTGCTGCACCCTTTTCCACAGAAAGTTCGCCCTTCCGAATAGCACAGGAGGATTTCAAAGGAATTACGTAACACCGGCTAAAGATAAAATAGGTAAAATTATTTTATTATTAGTTAAATTGCTCATCTTTTTTTTAAAACACTGGCCTCGGGGCTGGAGTCTTATTAATTGCCCCTCTTATGATCCTTCATCAAAATTTGCAGACAAGAAAAATCTACTTGAGGGATGCAGACCCTTGTACTTGGACGCACAAGCCACAACACCAATGGTAAGAGGAAACAAATTTGCATATAATGTTATGATAGCTAAACGCATTCAACTAAAAATATGAATGATTTCTTACCCAGGATCCAAGAGTTTTGGATGCGATGCTGCCTTACTTGACTAGTTACTATGGCAATCCACATTCCCGCACACATGCTTACGGATGGGAAAGTGAAGATGCCATGGAGATCGCAAGAAAAGTGTGTTATATAAGTTTTACAAAAAAAATAACTATAATAATTGAAATTTTATTGTAGCAAGTGGCGGATTTGATTGGCGCTAGTGATCCTCGCGAAATTATTTTCACTTCTGGGGCTACAGAGTCCAACAATGTGTCCGTCAAGGGTGTTGCCAGGTTTTACAGTTCGAGGAAAAAACACGTCATCACATCAGCAACAGTAAATAAAGTCAGAAGGACTGATTTTTAAATAAAGCGTATAAAATTTCAGGAGCACAAATGTGTTTTGGACTCTTGCCGAGTGTTGGAGTCGGAGGGATTCAAGGTTACTTACCTGCCTGTCGGTCAGGGTGGGTTGATTGACCTGAAGCAGCTTGAAAGCGAGATCACTCCCGACACTTCTCTAGTTTCCATCATGACGGTGAACAACGAGATCGGCGTCATTCAGCCTGTCGAGGAAATAGGTTTGAAAATTTCATCTATCACTTCACGGTCGAGCTCATTTTCAATTTTTCAGGGGCGCTTTGCAGGTCCAAGAAGGTGTTCTTCCACACGGACGCAGCTCAGGCTGTAGGAAAAATTCCTCTTGACGTTAACAAAATGAACATTGACCTGATGTCCATCAGTGGCCACAAAATTTATGGTCCTAAAGGTAGCTGAATTTAAATATGCCATATTTTCTAATTAAAATTGAATTTTACCAAAGGTGTTGGTGCTCTTTACGTGAGGCGCAGACCAAGGGTGCGTCTAGAGCCACTTCAAAGCGGCGGAGGCCAAGAGAGAGGAATGCGAAGCGGCACCGTCCCAACTCCACTAGTGGTCGGTCTTGGTGCTGCCTGTGCTCTTGCTCAACGAGAGATGGAGGTTTGAAAACAATTCTGGATATTTAAAACTCAACATAATCTTGTTTTTTTGCAGTATGACCACGAGAGAATGACCAAACTTTCAAACAGACTGCTTGAGAAAATTTATGCTAAACTGCCGCAAGTTGTGAGAAATGGTGACCCGGTGAGGACATACCCCGGTTGCATTAACTTGTCTTTTGCTTATGTTGAAGGTAATGAAATTAATTAATAAGTCTCTGTCAAATAATCTGGAGGGTCTTTACAGGCGAATCACTACTGATGGCCCTAAAGGACGTGGCCCTGTCAAGTGGCAGCGCTTGCACATCAGCGTCGTTAGAACCTTCTTACGTTCTGCGTGCAATTGGTGCAGACGAAGACCTGGCACATTCCTCTATCAGGTAATGAATTATTATGGTTTTAAATGTTTTCGACTAATTAAATTTAATATGAAGATTTGGCTTTGGGAGATTCACAACAGAGGAGGAAGTGGACTACACAGCTGAACGGTGCATCGAGCAAGTTACGAGACTGAGGGAAATGAGGTAAATTATGATCAAGAAGCTGCAATTTTTTTTTTTTTTAATTTGAGCATTGTTTAGCCCTTTGTGGGAGATGTTCCAAGATGGAGTCGATCTGAAGAGCATCAAGTGGAGTCAGCATTGAAACACTTCAGACTTTCAAAAAATCCATTCATCATATAATAATATATTTTAAGTTGAAAACTAATGCAAACGATTAAATTGTCTTTAGAAGAAAATTAAAAAATTTATTTGGAAGCTTAATTTTTGCTTCAACTATTTTAAAGAAAAATTTAATACAAAGAAATCCAACATGTCAAAGCGTGAAAAGACTAAACTAACAATAAGGAAGGGCAAACAAAAACTGAATTATTTTGTGTTCATTAATCATAGTATATGATTACATTGATGGTGAGACACAATAATTGAATAATATTTTAAGTACCCAAAATCTGAGCCTCCTCTTCTGCTGTGGGGTGCACACTCACAGTCAGACGAGGAAACAGGCTTATGTATTGGGCTTGAATAAGATTGAAATGGAGAGACAAAGATTCCAGAGCGTTGGAAGTGAAAATCACAAGATTTTGCAAGTTAGGAGAACGTTCGAGCAGTTTTAGAAGACTATTCATGTCTGCTGGGCTATTTGGATTGATTTTCTCCAGTTTGACTTGTTTGAGATTGAAATTTTTGACAAATTTCCCTCGTGAAGAAAGATTCATGGCCTTTGCAAAACTGGACAGTTTGTTGTTTGCACAGTACTCAAAACACTCTAACACAGGCAGCTTAATGATGGCAGCCAAAAATCCTGGTGGAAAAGTGTCCCAGCCAACACAAATGATGCAGCTCTTCAGGCTTTTGAAATTCAGGATGTTTGATCTCGGAGTTTCAAAAATCCAATCACCCTCAATTTTAAGGTGAACCAAGTTCAGTCCAACACATCTTGTCAGTCGATCTAAGTCAATAGTGACAGCTGTTGATACTTTGTCATGGATCAATTCCAGATGAGTTAGTTGGTGGCCTATATTTCTGAGAAACCGATCAATATTCAAGGGGACTGCTGACCTGATAGTTAATTTCTGGATCAGTTCAAATTGATCAAACTGACGCAGATTGACAGGGTGAATAGCAACTAGCTCTCGAACCTATGTATGGAAAAATTATATTGAAAAGTGTGTGCAACAAAAAGCAGGAAAAAAATACGTTTGGAAGTTTGCAAGGAGGGTAGGGAACATGGTCCAAAATCTCAATTTTGGTGAATTTGAGATCAGTGGTGCAGCCGTATAATTCCTTAAATTCCTGCAGCATTCCTGAAAAGCGCTGGGCATCACAGGTGCAAAGCACCTCCAATTTGGGCGAGTTGAACAAAACGGTTGCCAGGTACTGGTAGTCGGATTTTGTGTCTTCCTTTTTGGGTGTTGTACACAAAGACAAATGTGTGAGTTGCTTCAGTTTTGACAGACTCTTGACGCCTTCCAGAGAAACTCCATCAAATCCAATGAAAATTTTCCTAGTATTTTGTTTCGTTTAAGTTTAGAAAAAAAATTTATATTTCTATTATAATTCTCACTTTAGCTGAGGATGTTCTTCAGCCAGCTGATCCAATGCTGAATCGGTCAAAAAGTACTTGCTAGTGATGAGAATTTGCAGGTGTGGAAAACCAGAGACTTTGTTTGCAGAAAACGGCACTCGCTTTGCAGTCGGCGCGTGCAGAGTTAACTTTTTGATCAGAGGCGACTTTAGTCTCAAAAGCCCCAGCAGTTGATCCTCTTCATGGTGCTTCACATAACTCAAATCAAACTCTTCGGTGTTGCTGTGAAGCAAGCAGGTAAAATCATGGAAGGAGAGTTCACCTCGTAGGCGCTTGCACTGCGTAAATAGATGAGTGAGGAAAGTAGACTTTTCTTCTTCTCCTTTAAGCGTTCGAAAAAAATAAAAATTTTAAAATCAAAATTTGGATGACTTTAATTGATTTTTCAACAGAGGAGTATAAATAAACTGAACTTACCAAGTCCTAACGCAGCAACACCAAGAGTTAGATTAACAGATCCTCCGTTATCCATAGCCCTATCCAATTGCTCTAAAAGAACTTTAAGTAAAAACGACATCAAAGGTTTTTCTATCTTTGATCTACGTTGGTAAATCCTGCAATCAAATGAAAAAAGTGGTAAAAGTTTTAGCTTGAGGACGTACCATATATAATATCTCGGCGCGGACCTCTCTTGAGGCAAAACTTGTTTTTCAGATGTGTTGCCGTTTCTTCACATTTTGAATTTACTCTTTTTAATTTGACTTGTGAAGAATAAATAACAACGATAATCAAAAGAAAATTTTAATTGAAAAATGTAAGAAAATTCATAAAATTATTCCATAATTATCAATAATAAAATTATCATTATGAGTTGTTGATTAGTGGATAAATGGAGAAATGTATATGACTGTGTACCTTTTCAATAACTTTCAGTCTTAAAAAATTTAGCGGTTCCTCTAATACTTTAGTTTCTCTTTTAAATCGTTTGCCAACAAAAATTATCTCTTAATTTTTTTTAAATTTTATGCATTGTTTTTCTTAACTTCAATTTCCTTTTGCATGATATATAACTCCCCTTTATTTTTTTTAGTTAAATATATTGTTACTTCATTGGAATAATTTGTTCCTTATATTCACTCAAAGTTACAAACTAAATAGCTCATTCATTTTTGGTATACATGAAAACGCCTGCGGAAACCAGATTTATGTGACCAGCGCAACAGGAGTGGGTCTCCCTCCTGAAGCATGCGCGCAGGCTGGACTTTGTTTACATTTTGGAGCATGATAAGCTTATTCCAGTGACAAATAAATTTATTGTATTAGTCTGCGTATAGAGAGTTTGGACTGCCTTCTATTGGAGAACAGTCATCAAGATAGATTATTTAAACTTGATGATGAAGTAAGTTTTATAATATCCCGCGTCGGATTTATTAAAATTCCAAATTTCCAGGACCGGCGTTTGCTCCTGCGTTTGCACAGTGTTTATTTTCCTCTTCCCCCTGCTTGTGACTGAAACTAAGGCTGATAGCGTAGACCCTTCCAAGTGCCAAGTTTATGGGCCAGGACTGATACCCAATGTTGTGCTGCCAGCGAGATACTTTTTCATAGAGACGCACGACTCCAAAGGGAAAAGGTGACAAATATATTTTCATATTCGAACGAATTATTATTATTAAAAATAACATTGTAATTTAATTTTCAGAATTCACGAATCTCCAAATGGAAAGTTTGAAATCAAATTTGATGGAGACTGCAAACTGTGGCAGGAAGTGCTGGACGTCAGAGACGGTTCCCTCATTGTCCGCTACAAGTTGTACAAATCTTGCCAACACATGACAATAAATGTTTCCTACAACGGGAAGCCCGTCGCTAAATCGCCTTACAAGCTCCACGGTAAAACTTAATTTAGTTTCAAATTAATCAGGCTAAATGTCTTATATCTAAGGACCCTTCCACTCCGAGACATGCAACTGTCCAGAGGACGACTTTGACTCATGGATGAGAGACTTTGGTTGTCCCCAGCGCACAGATCAACAAATCCTGGATGATCTCGACATGTTCCCAGCTCTCAACTACTCCGAGTTTAGGGCTGCAGCCTGGGAAAGGTTTGACCGGCCAAATAGCATGAGTGTGTGCAACTACGTTGTTAAAAACAATGAAGTATAATTTTATCTTCAAGTCGCAGGAAAAGATAATTCACTAATTTAACTTCAAGGTTCATCGGAAATGTCTAGGCGCTCACGTGGGCTTTAAGATGTTTTGGGACAACATTTTGCTTTCTATGGCAAGGAAAGTGAAGCTGCCTGATCTTGAGCTTATTGTAAATTTGGGTGACTGGCCGTTGGTGAGGCTGGAGGAGCTGAAAGTGCCTATGCTCTCTTGGTGCGGCTCAGATGAAACCATAGACATTGTTGTCCCAACCTATGAACTGACCGAGGCTACTTTGGAGTGCATGGGAAGGTAATTTGGGATTTATAAGTTTTTTTTATTTAATTAGAATAAAAGAAAAATTGGCATTTAAATAATAAAAAGATATTTATAAAATATTTTTTTAACTGGAAATTAACAGATTATTTAATAATCATTAGGGTGACGATTGACATGCTGTCCGTTCAGGGAAACACACCAATGCCCTGGGAACAAAGAAAGCCAGTGGCCTTTTGGCGCGGAAGAGACTCGAGCCGAGAACGACTGGACCTTATCAAAATCGCTCGGGAACATCATGATCTGATCAACGCTTCACTGACAAACTTTTTCTTCTTCAGAGACTTGGAAGACATTTACGGACCAAAAGTCAAACACGTTTCGTTTTTTGACTTTTTCGAGGTAATTTTTTTCAAAAATAATTTTCCATTCAAATAATGGAAGAATGATTTTACTTGGTTCTTTAGTACAAGTATCAGCTGAATTTGGACGGGACAGTGGCAGCCTACCGATGTCCCTTTTTGCTTGCCGGGGGCTCAACCGTTTTCAAGCAGGACTCGCCCTACTACGAACACTTCTATGGGAAACTGCACCCTTGGACTCATTATGTGCCACTTGCTAAAAATCTGAGCGACGTGGAGGACCGACTTAAGTGGGCCCAGGAGCACGACGACGAGGCGCACAAAATAGCCAAGCAGGGCCAAATGTTCACCCAGGAAAACTTGATGCCCAAGGACATTTTCTGCTACTACGCCATGCTGTTTAGAGTGAGTCACATATTCCACGCACATTTCAACAAAACACATTATTTACACTTTTCATTCCAGGAAATGAGAGACCGTTTAGTCAGCAAGGTCAAGGTTCAAAAGGGAATGGAAAAAGTTCCACAGCCCGAGAGTGACTGCGAGTGTCTGCAGAGGAAAGAAGAGCCAAAGGACGAACTGTGAACTCGGACTAAACGTCATTGCAAAACTATTCGATATAGTCATGTTTAATGAAGCAAAATTCTCTAATCATTCCATTCCATAGCTTTGATAATTCATTAAATTTCATTCCTTCCGGGAATTATTATTTTTCTAAAATAAAATCAAAGTGTTCATTTGAAGTAAATTGTCCTGATTATTCAAATAAAATATTTCCATACCAGAAAAATATATAATAAAATACTTAATTTATGTATAAGATATGAAGGCTATTTAAAAAAATATTATTTGCAACAAAAAAAAAGATCCGAAGTGTATAAAATAAAGCTCTGAACCAACCTCTTACTATTCATAGCCAAAAATCTCTCGAACAAACATTAAATTACAAAATGATACTAAAGAAAATTGTGCATGAAATTTGATAATTGGAAATTTATAAAATTGTGTGGCATGATTTTGGAAAAAAGTTTTGAGATTTCGCGCCATAGATATGTTTACAAACAGGAGCGGTAAATTTAAAGATTGTATTGACGGACAGGGACGTGGACTCATGACGCGGGTCGTGCTTGTGGGGTTGCTCCTCTGCGTACCCCTGCAGCTATGGCTGGCGTGGGACCTCAGAGACCCTGACCGAACCCTGAAGGAACAACTGGTCCACTTTAAGCGTTTGCTTGTTGACGGCGTTGACTGGTGGCGTCGATGGTATTTCCGGTCTTTGAACAGCGTTCGCAGTAATGTCCATCGACACATCAACTATTAAGATTTCTCTTAAAGAGATTTTGTCGTTTCAGGTTTGTGGCGGAAAACTAGTCGGTACAATTTGTACCATGAAGAGTGTCCGGCAAAGGAAGTGGAGATGTACCGGATGTCTAAAGGCTTCTTCGGCCAGTCGCCTGACGTTCGACCCTACAGACCGGACTACCTGAAGCTGAGGATAGGACAGGTGGTCCGAGTGGATAATTTCGAGAATCCTGGCGTTATCATATCATGGGACCTCTATGCAAGGGTAACAATTTTCATTTGAAGAACGCTTTTGGCAGCAAGAAAAAATAATAATAATTTGTTCGAGTAGAAAATTTAAATGTCTCGCTTTTTTCTCGTGTAAAAAAATTGATGATCTGAATTGATCTGGTTCTGATATAATTTTCATAAATAAAACGTCATATATATTTTTCAGGCTCCTGAAGACTGGCTGGCTGAGAAGTATGGAAAGAATTTGGCAAGTTTTTTTTAACTCAAAAATTTCCAGGCAATTCTGATAAACTATTTTCCTTTTCCAGGAATTACGAAAAGAGCCCCATTACCGAGTGCTGCTAGGACAGCCCAACTCAAAAGAAGTCTATGTTCCTCAGAGGCAAATAAATGTATTAAAAGCGACGCAGGTGAGACACCCAAAGGTGTCCGAAATCTTCCATGGCTTCGACGGCGCGCAATACATTCCCAAAGAGCGGCTGAAGAAAAATTTCCCTCTAGACTAATTTGCTCACAATTAACTTTCTTGAATCGAAAGTTTCTAATTATATGTTAAAGTGGCTAAAATTAATTGTTGTTTGTTGCAGTTCCACATAATAAATAATTGTCCACAGCTTGTCCTTTGCACTCTTAACTGCAATCTGTATATTGAGCTTGGCATTAGTGTGAATGTAAATTTTAAATAAAATTTCATTTAAAAAAAAAACCACCCCAAATTCATATTCTTATTTGCTGGTAAGAATATTAGGATTTTTTTTATAGAGAGTAAAATTAATGAATCTATTTTTTAAGTGACTTTTTTTAAAATTTAAATATGCAAAAATTTGACGTGAACCGTTTACATTTTGATAGAGCTAGGCCATAAAATTATGATAGTAATAATTAGACTGATTTAGACATTACAAGACATAAACCTAATTTCCTAATACTTTAATTAATTTGGTACATATGATTTAATTGGTAATACATAATCATAATTCAACATTATTTCTCTTATCAGTTAACATATTTGTAAAACAAACTAGCACCGCTAATTAAATATTTTCCAATCATTTTATAAATTTAATCATGATGCGGGAGATGATTAATTTTTTACTTTTCGAGCAACACTTAATTTGAGACTGTGTCAAACAAACTGATACAATTACATACAAGCCTATACGTCATCGAAGATGAAATGGTTGCGTGGGAAACAATAGAATTTCATACCAAATTTACGTTTCTTAATAAAGTTTGAGACAGAATGTATTTGGATATGTATATTTGTACGTACCTTCAAATTTTTTCCCATCCGAGCAGAAGCTTTTTTTACAGTGGACCCTGACACACAGGGTTGAAACAGTCCACGTCCCAGCTAGAACATAAAAATACTGATAATTATTTTCTTATCCGAAATTATGTTTTAAGTTTTAATTTGCTGGAGAGAGCGGAAAAAATTGCGATTATTTATGTAATAATGTAATTTATTTTTAATTAATATTCAATTAAGCTGCACTATAACATAAACCTACATGAGCGGAAAGAATGAATAAAATTCTAAACTTTCTTGGACTCTGCGACGCACTTTTCTGTTGTTATTTGGTTAATTATCGCTCAGCAAGAATCACAAACACTCGGAAAACGCAGACAATTATTTTGCCCGCAACCAGCAACGTTATTTGTCCATCTCCACCTAAACACCAAATCCACCCGATCTTGTCTTCTTCGGTGTGTCGCGACCTTGAACGATATTCGTTCTCTTTTTGTGCAAGGAACATGAAACTTCTGCCACTGTTCATCGCTGGTCTACTCATCTTTCCCCTCTCTCAAAACACACCCGCAGAGGCGCAGACGCCGCAGACGGCAAAGAGAAGAGAATTTCGAGAAGGAGAGAAAAGTGAACAAGTAACAACAAAGTCGAAAGCGAGTGGAAAACGCATTTTATTGCACAGCGGCGGACGGCGGACGGATTCCTGCTCATTTCATTGGATTCAAAGCGTCGAAGCCACGGCCGCGTCCATTATTTTAGGAAGATGTCCTCCCGGTACATAAAATATGATCGCTGTTCAATTTATTGCGGAGAATAAAGCGAACTTTTGATAGTTGTTCGCCAATCAACCACTAATTAATATACTTTTGAAACCAGTTTATCTTCAGACATTGAATATCAGTGATAAAACAGTTTCTAATTTAAAGTTTCTTCAAGAATTCATCAAAATGTACGTATTCATATTTTTCCTGGGCTTACATTTATTAAACACACTGCGCAAAAGCCGCAAAAACTTTTATCCTAATTAATTCGGTAATTTACAAAGCTGTCTGTATTTTTCATTAGGTATTCTGCCAAGAAATCTGATGAAACCTCCAGGGTGTATGTTAGTAAAGTACCTGCAGAAGTCAGTGAGGTTTGTAATAAAAATTATGTATTATGTTATTTTAAGTGCATTCACATTTTTTTAAATGTCACAGTTTTTTTTTAAATCTAATACGTCTTATGCTTTATATGTATCAATGTATTTAATTAAATAATTATTATTTCAGCTTGGTTTATTCAATGCTGCGACAAAACTTGTTGGGGCGCCGCCACTTCACTGCTACCAACATCAACCCCAGCAGCAAGAGTCCAGCAACGAATGTCTTGATTATTCAACATGGGCTATCCTGGAGTTTACTGATCAAAGGTAGCCCAAGCCATTAAATGCGCTATAAGTGCCAGAGCATAGCATACATTTTGAATATTTTTTAGTCTGCTATTGGTGTATAGTTTGCCCAGTTCTATGCCGACAATGCTCATGGACCCCATTTTTTTTTATCTCATCTGGACCTAATATTTATGAAAATCGAGAATAATGTACATGGTCAGGAGAATATTAGTAAATCGTAAATCAGGCGCCAGAGTTGCAAAAGGCGTGAAAAGTTGAATTATATGTTACATCGTTACTTGTCCTTTTGAATTTTGTATTTTTTGTTTCCAGTTTAGCGGACGAGTTTCTGCTGAAATCAAAAAAGTATACAGTCTTGGAAATTGATTCCGAGCTAGGCCATAAGAAACTGGATCGCTTTGAAGCAAGCAACAAAAAACATCTGTCGTATTCTGGACCTGCTAATTTTCAGGAAGTTTCTGGCTTTAATAGTGCTACGAAGCAGCTTGACGGAAGGTAAAAATTAAAAACTTATATTAAAATGCCAATTTATAAGCGCTTATAGGATGAGCTGATTGTTGTAATATTATTTTTACTGCTTTAAGTGATGAAACCCCAAAGACAGTTGATACAGTTGTTGGACGATGCTACAAACTGCCTCCAAGTGGCATCACCTGTGCTGATGCTGATGGAACCAATCGCTATATCCAAGGACCCTTGATGAATGGTTTGATTCAATACACGAGAGGTGCTGAATTTGGCCGAGATGAATCTGTAGATGCGTTTGGCGACTATTTGAGTAAGTTTATATTTCTGCTCGTGCGTGCAATATTTTCATTTGAATTTTTGTCAGGACATGTTGAGTGACTATTGCTGGCATAAAATTATTTTGCATAACTTTTCATGATTTTTGATGCTTTTGATTTTACTAAGTTCACTAATGACCCCCATATGAGAAGTAATGAAGGTTTTTCTTGCTCCTGTAAAATTCATTTTTGGGCAATTTTTTAAATGACGGTACGAAAATGCAAATGGGAAAATTGAACAAGCAGCAATATCCATTTTATCCAGGAATTTGTAATAGGAAATTATTCAATGTATAATTTATTCTTCAAAATATTATCTAAGTATACTGAAATAATAAATAATCACAATCAAGAAGAAGTTGAATATTTTTTGAATATGATTGATTTTTTTTTAATTAGGAGGATACTATGATGACTTCAATGATGTCCTCAAATGGAATTTAAAGGGTGAAGTTGAGGTTGACAGTCAGTTGCTAGAAAGAAAGAAGTTGGAAAGGTATATTGTCAGCGTCTCTAATTTTAATTTCATTCTAAAAAAAATTTAATTTCAGTTCCGATGGCACTCAAAAATACTCTCAACAAGTTAACTACTGCTGTCCAGAATGTAGGCTGCGAGTCGTCGTGTATTTTGTAACATAAATCAAGGTGGATTTTTTCTTTTTTAGCCACCTTGGATTCAATGAGCAAAAGTGCTTTGCTTGCCACCAGCGAGAGTGGCTGTTTTGGTTTGTGCTGGATTTGTCAGCAAGTGACTCCCACTTGTTGCTCCAATTGTGGAAAACGATTCTGCAGTCTCTTCTGCTACAATTTGTTTTCCGAGCATTCTCATGGTAATTGCGACAAGAGGAGGTATGTGGAAAAAAAATATATTGCTTATTTGCAAAAATGAATTGATTCGTAAAAATATTTATGTCCTTTCTTACAGCAAAGCAGCAGTGGCTAGTTGGTGGACTAGAAAACTTGCAAAGATTTTCAACATTTCACCTACAAATCAAAGCAAAATGGTTTCCTCTATTTATAAAATTAAATTGTGTATTTAAACAATTAATTTTACAGGATGCTCACGAGAAGCCCGTTGGTGAACCCTTACAAAGCTGGTCTGTATTGCGCCATTCCTTAAATGCATGCGCATCAGTAGATCGTATTTCTGCATGCCATTCCACAAAAGAGAACATTATTAGTGAGATTTTACCTCGTAGGCATGTGCCAGCCTTATATGCGAGCAATTCAAACTTGCCTGCTTGCAACCAAAACACTAAGTTGAGCTTTATCTCGCGCAAGATAAGAGATAAACCACGTGATACAAAAAATTTGATCTCCATCAACACTGGAGATCTGGATTACCGCCTTTTTAATGGGCAGCCAATACAAGTTATAATTCACTCCCAGCGTGCGCCAGTCGTGCCTTCTAAAACTGATAAAACACCCTGTAATTTAATCAAAGTGCCGACAACGCTAAACATGATCAATCCATCCCATAGAAAAGCTGATTCAATCGAGTCCCAACATAGCTTTAGTACACCATTTATTGATCATAAGAGGCAATATTTCTCCAAACATTTGTTTGAGAACAAAGGTGTCAACAAATACAAACTATACACAGATTTGGCTCCCCCAGCGCGGAACATTTCTTCACCTAATCTACAATCAATTCTTCGCAAAAATTCGAAAACTCCCCACAACAAGCATGTGCACTTTGAATAAGCCACACATATTATTTCCACAAATGTATATAATGCTGATATATTAATTAATTGCCATTCTGCATGGTTCCCCCTTTTTTTAACAGATTCAAAATGCATGCCTTGGAAATAAAAAAAATCTTAAGGAGGATTAATTCTAATTAATTTAATGCTTTTTATTTTTATTGTTCACTTAATGCAGTTTGCAATTATCTAATAATTAAAGGTAAATTATATATAACAATGTATACTTCCTTAAACACAAATAATGATATACATTCCTGCTTTATTTAGTGAAACAACTGTGAAGGAAAATGTTCAAGTCTTTGAGTGCACTGTAGATGAGATTTTCAAAGAGTTTGGAGAACCAGTGGCTTTTATCTGCACCTTGCACCCAAACAATAAGAGCGACCTTTCAATTTGCCATAAATTTTCCGTGTCCTCATGCTTTGAGCAAAATCTTGAAAGGCAAGTCTTAATCATTAAAAATATAAGCAATTTTAGCAAACGTCAATTAAATAACATTTTTATTCTTAGAACCCAGTTTGTTGGTACGGTCTATATGACGCACATCCCAGAGCAAAATTGTTGGTGGGACCATATTGTGGTATGTATCTGAAAATTAATATGATTTTTAGCTTTATTTATATTTTGAGATACGTTATTTTTCATTTCTTATTCCAAAGTTATAGTTATTGAAGTAAAATTATTGTGTCAGTTATTTACTTAATTGTTCCGTCAAAAATAAAAACGATTCACATGTATTGTTGCAGGTTCACAAGACTTTGTTAATAAGTTGCATGGAAATAACAAACAATAGAAAACTGCTTGGCAATGTGTTGATTGGACCAAATACTGTTTTCCAAGTAAAACTTGAGCCATGGTGCGTGCCCAACATTACACGAGAGCTGGCGGCTCGGCTTCCCATTACAAGTGGTCAAAGCGAAGAAGTGACTCTTTCGGACATCTGCTGCTCCAATATGCTTTATTTAGGTTTGACAGACAACTTCATCCAACACCTTCAGCTGAGCTTGGACATTGACTGCTTTGCTTCAAATTCAGGTAAATTTGAATGCCCGAACCAAAAATATAAATTTAATATTTCATATTCAAATTACTCGGTGTGGTTTTGACAATTTATTGATCACAAGACGACACCCAAAATTCAATAAGTTAAATCATAAAAGTTTTACCGTATGCAATGAATGAATTAAATTAAACTAATCTCTTTTTTTCTTAGAGGGTAGGCAGAATAGTTAGAGAAAAGAGATTATGGGGTTTGTTTTGAAATAACTTATATCTGAGCTTATAATTTAAGTAATTTAATATTTCCGTCTAAAAGCACTATTTAGATTTATTGTTGGGATCATTTAATTGTGCGTGGTAAATATGTTTTGAAGCAATTCAAGAATTAAAAAAGTAATTTAATGCAAATTTTGTTGCTTAAAAAACTTGATCGACTGATAAAGTATCAAGTTTTGGGAAGTTAATAAAGAAGGAAAGTAATCTGTGAGCAAGCGACTTCTGACATTACACTCTATACAAGTTAAATAATTTAGAATTAAGTAGTTAAAGTAGGGCGTAAGTAATACAAACTACCGGTTTCTTGTCATCACACTTTAGGGAGAGCAAAGGGATGCGGACGGCCGGCCGGCCGGCGAGGGTGGAGCCTATACCATATTGCGAGCAGTGTTGAAAGGGTTGGTAGAAGATTTTTGTGCTTGGTGGGGGGCCGATTACTAATGCTGAAAAAAATTATATAGCTTTTCTGGTCTTTAGGATTTTTACATGGCGACAATACACGTTACAGATCGCGACACGTTTCTGAATATCTGGTCATGGGCTTTTTCTACCAGCTTATATATTAGCTTGGCGGGCAATCTCATCTTGCCTGACTTAAAAAGGGCGCTGTTTTTTTAATTTAATTATTATTATTATTTTTTTTTTCATAAATGAAGGGGTCCAAAATTAATAGCATGTTGAAAACTGAATAACGCGTTTGCTGCTTTTTAAGGAGAGACTGCTAGGTATGCAGATATATCCGCAAATCAAATAATATTTTATTTTTTAGGCCACGCTATTTTTTAAATAGAGACAGAGTGTCAACATAGAATATAAATCTATACACAATTATAGCTACTGAAACTGACTAATTACTAATTGACGATCATAAATTTCATAAAAAAAATTGACTTATCAGAATTTTGAAATAGTACGTTTTTTTATTTTCATAATTTTTTATATAAAATTTATTTTTAATTAAATTCCTGCGACATCAACGCTCATAATTAATAAATAATATAAATATTTTAAAATTAGTACAATAATCACAATAATATCAGCGACAGCAACCAGCCCAACAGCGGTGAGCGGCGGCGTAGCATACCTTGTATAGGAAGTTGAGCCATATCTACCTTGCTTTTTTAATATGCCGCCCGGTCTCTGTACGGGCTGCTCACGCGGGGATGGTTTCATCCAATTTTTTGAGTGACGGCGTTGGGCGTTGGTGACGGCTTTTGGAAATAAAGAGTTTTTTGTGCTTGGTTACGAGAGATCTTTTCAAAGCGAGTTTGTGCGCTTGCTCAAATTCTTTGTGTACCTATCAAGGTCCCTATATATATGAGCTTAAACGCGTGAGACAGGTTCATTCTACAGCTCGACTTCGAGGAGGACGGACTGCCTTCCCCTGTGCTCTGGTAAGCTAATCCTCAAATTTTAATAATTTTTGTCAGTCTTCATCCACCCTCTGACCAGAGCAGACGTGTTTGTTAGTTCCTCTGTATTTCGAAGCCAAATTTTCTTAACTTAGTATTTTTTCTTTCAGGCTCACCTCTACGAGTCCACCCACTAACACCCGCAACAGCACAGACAGTTTTTCTTGTCTACATATGAATTTGCTGCTTGCGCATTTTCATTCAACACTCCTCAGCCCTCTACAGCAACTGAGCAACTCAGTAGTTATTGTGCCACCAAAGAGAGAGGACCTCTGCTACACTCCACACAACATACATTTTACTAGGTACTTGGGATTTTTCTTAACAATTTTCCCTCCTTTAAGACTGATTCAGTGAACTTTTATCGCGAACATTTAATAATTTTTACTCTGTTTGCCGCTGCTTTAAAGTTTTTTTGCCTTTAAAAAGTGCACCGATTGGTAGTATCGAACCCGGGCCTTTATTTTTACTTCTACCATTTTAACTCAGTGAGCTACGTTTACTTGTTGTTAGAGGCCATAAAAACTTGCCTATTTAATAATAATTCTTTCGCGTTTGCGTACAACGCACTGCTAGAGCAGCACTACAAAAAGAACATTCATACACCACCTAGCGGTGGGAAGCACAAGCATACATTAATTTTTTTTCTATTTGAAGTCAGCACACGCGTTTCGCGCATTGCTTGCACCTCCTTAAATACATTGCGACTGATCTGCGGAGTGGATTTCTCCTTTTATTTATTTTGCGTTTTGACGTTCATTATCAGAATTTAAAATCCTTCAGTCTTCAAAATTATTAAATAGTGCTTTTATTTTGTTTCTAGATTCGCTTCATTTTAAACCATGGCCTCCGTCGAGATGATCGACATACCATCCTCGCAAGAGTTGAGTGAAAATTTCACCGAGAGTGGCCCGAGTACAAGCTCACCAATATCCCATGTGCTTGCAAATCTTGACAACAACCAACTTCAAAATGGGACTGTTGGTGATGACAACAAGAAATGGAATAAATTTCTCACGGCCCTTCAGTGGAAATTGCGCTTCCAAGGATTTGAGAATGCCAGCGAAGTATTCGACTTGCAAGCTCTTAAAAAAGGATTTTCTCTGGGTGACGTTCCCCAAGCTTTTGGCGATTTGTGCAAGGATGGAAAAAGAGCTAGCACTAAATTTGACAGCGAATTCTACATGATTTATAAAATTTACTGCTTAGCCCAAACTTTTGGAAATGTCAAATTCCAAATCTTGATTGAAAAATTTATGGGAATTGTAGAAGAGAAAAAAAGCAATCCAAGTTCAACATATTTAAATTTGTACGACTCCATCAATGATTTTGACGAATGGCACTCGTGTGGCTCTGTTACGTTAAAAAACTTTCTCGTTTTCTGCGTCAACTTTTCTGATCAAGCACCACCTCCAGACAATTTCTTTGGAATTGTTCCCCTTCGTACTTTTTTGAGAGGTAGCGGAAAAATATACTTCTTGAACCCAAAAGAAAATGAAAAAGAAAGGGTAGTCAAGAAAGCCAAAGAAGGGGGTGTCAGGGTCACGGATATTACAAATAAAAGAAAAGTTAAGAAACTCAACCGAAAGCACTGCTACCCTCTCTTACACAAAAAAGTACTGGCAGAGGTTGAAAATGGAAACTTCCATTTTTTAGATCTTGAACATGGGGTAGCAATGTTGACGACTGGAATTCGCCACTACAAAGGCCACAAATTTTATACTAAGGCTCATAAAATGTACTGTGTGATCTGATATAATTGAGGGAAGGAGGTTGCAATATTAATTTTTGCAAACTGCGGAAACCTTGATTTTTTTTAGATTATCAGAACATTATTTTGCCCTGCTTTTATGATAAGAGCAATATTTTTGCTGTTCGGCACAAAATCACAACAAAAACTTAAGTATGGAATATGCATGCATTTGTATTGATAGAATTATTTCTACTGTTCGTAGATTTCATTTTATTCTTTCAAATTGTTTGAATTGAAATATGCATGCATTTGTATTTGTATTGATAAATTGATATAATTATTTTTACTGTTCGTAGATTTCATGTTATTCTTTCAAATTGTTAACAACCTGTGTCGGTGTTATTTACTGTAATACTTGGTAGTTTTATGTGCATTATAATTTAGTGTTAAAGTATGATCTTAATTGTAATCTCTCCAAGGAGAACAATAAAAAATTAATCTTTTCAATCTTGTAATCCCAGTTGTTTAATTTTTCTGAATTACTGCCTACCAAACTCTTAAATTAAATAATATACCACCAGTAGGAAATATTTTTATTTTGTTGACAGTATTTCATGTATTTTTTTTAACTATATTATCATTAATTATAATTTTAGATCCATTTGAGGTCTTACCATCAGTTGGAAGCTTTGTCATTGTGCGCTGTAAGGTGGGCAACTGGCAGCACCACAGGGCACAGGTCAAAATGCACACTTCAGTTGAATCTTGTTTAGTGCATCTTGTAGATACAGGCAGGAAAGAGCTAGTGACGCTCAAGAGGATTTTCCCCATCCCTGATGCTATGCTTAATGTAAATAACATATTTATAAAATTTTTGCATGCCAACTGCGCTTGTGACCTGCAGAGGTGCAGAGAGCATAAGAGTTAATTATTTTATTTGCATGCCTGGCAAAAGCAAGCACAGCAATCCATTTTTTTTTTTAATTTTAAATATTTTTTGCAGATGCCAGCAAGGTGCAAATTGGTAGAGTTGGATGGTGTTGAAGACATCCCTATGTCCCAAGAGGCGATGCTCTATCTACATGATCTAATCAGCAGAGGAGCCAAACTGACTCACAAAATCACTGAGAGTGGAAAATCTATCCTCGAAGAGGCTGAGACTGGACGCCATGTTAATGGGAATTTGAAAAAAAAACTTAGGCATTCATGGCAAAATCCTGAAGATCATTCTTTATTGGCTGATGGTATGATATATATTGAATAATTTATTTCACGAAAAGTTGCATTCGATTTCCAAATAAATTTTATTTGATTACAGCTCAACTTCTTTCATTCATCCCAGAGACAGAATTTTTGCCTGAAGGAGAACTCTTGCGTCTCACAATTTTGCAATTTAAACAGAGCAAGCTGTGTGGCACGTTATTAACATGCTGCAAAACTGAGAGCCCTCTCTTCAACACTGTTGTTCGCTTGCTTCCTGAAATGGCCCAGAACTATGTTGACTCCCTCCACATCAATTGCTATGTGCCTCAAAGCAAACTATGTCTAGCTCAGCATGATGGTAACAATTATTATTATTTTTTTTTCATGATGTATTTAATTTATTTAAAACTTTGAAAAATTTGAGATTATTTACTGAAATTGACATATAAATTTAACAATTTAGGATTCATGGGTGGTAAATTAAGTGATGCAGGCTGATTTTCTTGAAAACTAAATGTTATGAAATTTATCAAATATTTTATTTCCAGATAACTTGTGGTACAGAGCTTATATCACAAGTAGTACAGAAGACTCTGTAAATTTGATCTTCTTTGATTTTGGAGATTGCGTAAAAAACATTCCGTTCACAAAGATTAGGAGACTTCCCTACGAGTTTCTAGAGATTCCTTCCCTAGGCACATATGCAACTGTGGCAGGTTAAAATTTAACCATTTTAATAAAATACCACTATATTAATGCTGATAACATTTTTAGGTATGGAATCAAGTGTCCTCTCCAACAACGTAAGATTGGCGTCAAGAGCAAAGGAGCTTCTTCGGCCTGGAGTCATTTTAGAAGGTATTGTCTTGTACAACGAGGATAACTCGGCACTCTTAGTAGTGCCCCATCTCTTGAGGTCTTTGGCCGAAGAAGGACTGCTTCTTGCCAGCACAACGAGGGATATCATGAATGTCTTGAGCACCTCCAGTTTCAATGCTTGCAAGCTCGCTGTCAAATCACTAAGCAAAGTTTTTGAGACTGCCCAAAATGCCACTGAAATTCTTGATGTTAATCAAAACCTGACGTCAAGTGACCTTCTAAAAGCAAATGTGTTTTTGGAGAAAGTATTGCTGGATGAGGTTTTAGAAGAAGAGGTGTCCGAGTGTGCCAAAAACGTTTTGGAAGAATTCCATTTGTCTCGCAAAAGATTACTGCAATGCTTCAGGATGAATTACTATTGGTACCTGGAAGAATGGACTACTATAAATGAGATGAAACAAAAAATACAACCTACTCCTGAAGTTGATAGGGCTAATGATGAATCTTCCAACTCTCCAATTGCAGGTAAAATTTACAAAATCTACAATATCTATTTTTTGCAACTAATAAATATCTATAATAACTACAAAAAAATTAAAGGAATTAAAAAATTATTTTCTTTTAAACACTTTTTTGTTTTGTTTCAGATATTCCCGCAGTTGATTCGCTGTTGGATGATATTTTTGGACTTTTAAAATGACACGAGAAGCATTTTTCTTAAATTGAGATTTTATATTTCAATATGATATAGGACATTACATTTATTTAAACATTATTCACGAAACCTCTAGCGTTAGCTTTCAATTTATGTAAATTTTGTTCACCGATCTAACTTTTGAGAACATTATTTTATTATTGTAAAATTATTTTCTCATTGGAGAAAAAAATGTGGAATTCCTGCCCTTCAAATTTTCCAATCATACAGAATTAATTCAAATTAATAATATATATTAATTATATTCACATGCTAACAAAGTTAGCACCAGCAATTGAAGCAATTCTTATAACATAAGCTAACTTATCATGTGAATATCACCCCAATGTATTTGCACATGCTCTTCCCGCGTTAAAAGTTAAAAAAAACTTATTGGCTAATCATCAGTGTCATTAATGTGAAGGGTGACACGCCTTCTCCCAGCTTGTCGGCCATGTTGATTTGTAAAGTCTGCCGAAAAACGAGACGCTGACGAGTTTGTTTTTTAAACAAAACTGTTGTTGATTTCGAATATTTTGGCTTCACATGCTGCTGGTATGAGTTTTTATTATCGTTAATTATTACAGAAATAACATGTAACCAACGGATTTTATCGCAAAATTTAACATTAAAAGTTGAAATATTGGACGTGTCTTCACATGGTAATTTTTGCAACTTGAATTTTGTATGTTCATGCGAGTTGAACCGCAGTTTCAGAAAATTTGTAGAAAGACTGCCAATTACTCGGTTGCAGTATTTTGAAATCTTACAACCTCCGAGTGCGCAAAACTTTCATTTCTGTGTCTGTATCATAGGCAACTTTGTAAAAAATAAATTTCCAAGGCTTGCAATTAATTATTTATTTACTAATTTTTCTGTTGTACACCCTCAATTTTACTTAATTGCTTTATCTGACTGATTCATTTAATTTTCAGCTATGCTAGGCAACGAAAGGTCGTCCGGAAGTTACAAGAGCTCGCGCAGCATGAAGCGCAGCTCGGACAGAGACACTCCGCCGTTGAGCAGCAAGAGGTCACGGTCCATCGGCCGCTACGATGACAGCAGTGACGAGCGCGTGAGCCCCGACCGCGAGAGACGGAGGGGTCGAACTCCACATGAAAGTCCACCTCGTGGTGGGCGCTACCCTGAAAGGGATGATTATCGTGGTGGTGGGTCACGGACATACTCTTATAAAGTGTTGTGCGTGACGTCCCTTCATCCCAAGGCCAGTGACGAGGTCATAAAAGATACGCTGTACCGCGAGTACAAGAAGTATGGAGACATCAGTGTGCGGATTTCACACGACCCAGACGAGCGGGTTGGCTATGTGGTCTTCCGGAGCTACGAGGACGCCCGGGAGGCAAAGCACGCCAAACCCCGAATCATAATTTTCGACAAAGCGGCCGTAGTGGAGCCTGTTTATGACAGAGGAAATTCTGGAGGCGGCGGTGGTGGGGGCGGCGGTGGCGAGTACCGCCGTCCAAGGAGCGTCACTCCGGAGTATGATCGGAACTACTATAGACAGAGGTCGCCGGGAATGGTGGACAGCAGACACCGCGCCAATTACGACTACGGTCCTCCACCGATGAGGGGTGAATTCCGCAGAGATCCTGCCCCTCACGACTACATGTCCTCGCACACCAGACACCCTCCCCCGCAGGGTCCAGCACACCACTATGGCGCTCCCAGAGGTGGCCCTGGAATGTACAGCAAGGGTGGCAGCTACGACAAGCATGAAAACAAGAAGGACAAGTTTCCAAATTACCTCCACCATCAACTGCCAGAGGATGACCCTCTGGCCACCAGGACTTTGTTTGCCGGGAACCTGGAGGTAAACATATCCGACGAGGAGCTGAGACGCATATTTGGACGGTACGGCATCGTCGAAGACATCGATATCAAGAGGCCGCCACCTGGAACAGGTGAAAATTTACTGGGCAAATAAGAATTTTTTTAAAAATCTTTCATAAACTCTAATTAACCATGAGATCAGCTTCTGAGGTCAGGTTTTTATTAACTTTATTGATTGTATCAGAAGGCCTAGTACATAGTACATCATACATAATGTTAAAAAATTATTCATTAAAATCATAACTAGAGGAACTATCAGGCTATCACAATCTTTTTCAAGCTTCCTATATTATTTAATCTTAAAGGTGAAAATGAGCATTTTGTATCATAGCAAGGCCTTAATTATCTTAAAGAGCATTTTATTTACTATCAAAGCAATGTTCATTGTTTTAGGCATTCTCTTCCCAAATTGACCATGCATTATGCATTCTATATTATAAATAACAGATGTTTTTTTTTTTTTAATTTGTTGTCATTGTGTTTTGACTTAACCATCATTTTTACAGGAAACGCCTACGCGTTTGTCCGCTTCCAGAACTTGGACATGGCACACCGATCCAAGGTGGAGTTGTCGGGACAGTACATCGGCAAGTTCCAGTGCAAGATTGGCTACGGAAAAGTGACACCAACCACTCGCATCTGGGTGGGCGGTCTCGGTCCATGGACTTCTCTGCCACAGTTGGAGCGCGAGTTTGACCGCTTCGGAGCAATCAAGAAGATCGACTACGTCAAGGGTGACAGCTGCGCCTACATCCAGTATGATTCGATGGACGCTGCCCAGGCAGCCGTCAAAGAGATGCGTGGCTTCCCTCTCGGAGGTCCCGACCGGCGTCTGCGGATTGATTTTGCAGACGTACAGGGCGCTGCCCCTGCCTTTCCATACAGCAAGGGCAGGGAGTTTAGTGGTGGCAGTGGCGGGTACGAGGGCAACTTCGAAGGCGGATGGGAGGAAGGCAATGGCTTCAACTACGGGAGTGGAGGCGGCGGTGGAGGTTCATCCAGGGGCTACCGTGGAGGCTCTGGCAGTGCGGCCGGTGGGGACCGAAGTTCCGGACGCTCTTTTCGTGGCCGTGGAGGCGGCTACCGAGGCTACGGTCAACCTGGCTTTGATGAGGAATGGAAGGGTGGACCTGATGATGGGAGGAGATCACACACGCCCGAACCTGGTGAGGATCGGTCTCCACGCCCGACTTCAAGAACAAGAAGGTCATCAAGGTCACTATCTCCTGAGGCTCGAAATGGCAGTGGACCTCTTGGGTCGGCACGGACGTTGCCAGAGTTGGCGCGCAAGTGCGAGGTTAATTGGAGTGGTGGGCTAGTGTTGAAGAATTCCCTCTTCCCGGCCAAGTTCCATTTGACGGACGGAGAAACGGACATTGTGGACATCCTGATCAAGGACCAGGCTGGACGCAACCAGCTGCGAATCACTCAGCGACTTCGACTGGACCCCCCAAAGTTGGAAGATGTGTCCAAGAGGATGGTGACTGCTGGTGCGCATGGCGTCTTCTTGGGGCTGCCTGCGTCCACATCGAGCATCACTCCGGAGGATGCAAGTGTTCAGGCGCGTCCGGTGCGCAACCTGGTTGCCTACTTGAAGCAGAAGGAGGCCGCCGGCGTAATTTCGTTGACCAATAAGGACAATGAGACCACCGGCGTTCTATACGCGTTCCCGCCGTGCAAGTTTTCAGCTGAACTGTTGAAACGAACCGCCCCTGCTTTGTCCGAAGAAGGCCTCAAGGAGGACCACTTGGTTGTGGTAGTGGTAAGGGGCGCATCTAATTAATCTTTGTTATCTCTTTCAGCAGTTCATGGTCAGCACGGAAATTTTATTAGTTAGCTTTTAATTAAATTGGGCTAAGCATTAGCTAATGCAATCCTTTCTTTTTTTGAAGTAATGATATTATTTTGGCAAAGCTAATTATAATTTGGGGACAGTGAAGCCAATTTATTTTTCTTTTCATTGAAAATGTAAAAATTTATGATTTTGTTCAAGATTTTTGGCCTAATCGTTTGACCTTAAAAATGGATCCCCATTTTTTTTATTTCCCGTTTTTGATTTATTAGTGTAGAATTTAAGTTCTTAATAATCCTTGGTTTGCTGATAAAGATGTTAATGTTCTGGATAAATGCCATACGAGCAAGCATTATACTGTTTCTGTCAATGTGAAGGTGTACTTTGCCCAGTGCTTCTTTATCTATAGTTGTCGTGTCGAACAACAGGAGCACATCGGCGCCAACACAACATAATGGTTCGTGTTCTCTAGAGCAGTGTATCGTCATCATAAATTAAAGCTTACCACTATCAGTGCTGAGAAATAAATTCAAAAAATGTGTCATTGTGCCACCCACCTGTTTAATCCTAATAAGTTTCTTCGTGTGAGTCCGGCGGTGTTTTCTTAGTCAGTCGAGTGCAGTTCGTTGCTTTTCTCATTGTTTATAGTTAGCAGTGCCAGTCACAGAAATTTCAAAGTGAATCCGTGGTTTATAATTATTTGCTTTCCCGCAATGAGTTCAAATTGGTGAATTTGCTGGTGCGCTCAAAACGAAAATTGTGATCGATGCCACTTCTCGCTCTAGAGTCTCAAATCTGCGCTTCCAACGCCCTCCCAGTCACGCATCTCCTTCAAGGGGTCCCTGAAAGAAGTAGTGCTTCTATGTCTGATTAGTGAATTCAGTTATGGGTGGTTATTTCTTTTTATTTGATTAGAAAAAAAAAATGAAAAGTTCAGTGCACGAGAGCTTCAGTGGTGCAGCAACTACTGAATGAGATTTAGTGCTTAATTTGGGTGTTGTGAGAGTGGCGGAGGTTCTCAAAAGTAATTTCAAAGTTCTTGAAGAAAATCCGGCGGTGCTCAAATATGTGCCAAGTTTTAGTGGGTTTTTTTATAGTTCTAAAGATATAAGTGCAAAAAAGTGGGGTTCAAAAATTGCACCATGATGGTATTTAAAAAAGTGCTTTATTTTCAGTTTCCAGTTTAAATGCTGTGAAAGTTTTCTATAAAAGTGCATCACTTCAGTGGTTGTTTTTTTTATTGTTGTTAAAGGTGATGAAACCAACAAAAGTGCAGTTATGAATGAGTAATTTTTGAAAAGGCACAAAGTGTGGTTTGGTGTGAGAAAGCACTATCAACGAGAAGTGAGAAAAGGGAAAAAATGTGAATGTTCATTTGGGGATTTTTGGCACATTTATTTTGACTTTCGCAAATCTGAATGAGAGTTTCTTTTTTAATTTTAACTACTTTTCCATCTTCACCCTATCAATCGTTTTAATTTTATCCTGCGTCAAATAAAAAAATAGCACAAAACGGCAAAATTGGGATTTTAATTTTAAAATAAAAACGGAGGTGACAAAGTATGTTGAAGAAAATGAAACTACACACTGGACGTTCTTTTTGTTTTGAATTAAATAGTTAAATAATTATTGTCTTCAATAGTGCGAAAACAAATTTTATTTGAAAATTACGTTTTTTAATCTAAAACAGTCACCATGAAAAATGAAAAAAAAAAAAAAAAGTTATTAATAATATGTAATTTTTTAATTTTGGTCTTTTTTATGATAAAAAAATATTTTGCATAATATAATTGAGGTTGCAAGCAGTCTCAAGCCTATAGTCTCAAACTTTTTAAGGTTTGAGAAAAACGCTGTTTGGTTGGCATTCAAACTGCGCTTACTGCAGTCTTCAGCAGCTGACTGCAGTAACTTCTTTACTTGATTTGTATTTTTGTTTTTCTTCAAACGACTTTCTTCAAATTCGTCAACATTTCGGAGCCCAAGGAGCCTGAAACCCTTACAGAGAGCCTTCTTGGAGCAGGTATTTATAGAAACCGCTGGTTACCATTGATCGTGTCGCTTTATTTTGAATTTATGAACAGTTTTTCAGAAGAAGAAATGATGAGGCATTCAAATTGAAAATCACAATATTTTTTTTTGTTTTTGCCAGGATTTTAATAGCTCAATGTTTTTACTGTTACACAAATAGGAGAGAATGAATAATAAATAATTAATAATTTAATGCGGATAATTATACCATTAACAAATTATTAAAATATAATATACAATATCAATATGTACATATATTCTTGCAGATTTTGTTCCGACTGAAAAGTTGGAGCTGAAAAAGCGGCATGGTGCTATCATTGGGGACCTGACCCTGGAAGTGAGCATCATGAGGAAGTATTACCGTCTCATACTGTTAATCTTCCTCTTCGTGAGCACAATATGCCTGCTCTTCTATTGGCACGAGTACAACCGACTGCGCTACGTGCTTGAGGTGCTCAACTTCTTTGGCCAGCCCCCTGAAGTGTCCGTCACGTCCGACTGTCTGCTCAACACGTCGCTCTTTTCTGCTGAGAACGTCACCATCCCTGACAACATCACCCCTGTCTGGCACCGGCTCGGCAATGATCTCTTTGTATTTTCCGCTTTCTGGGAAGTGATTGGCAAAAAGGAGCACGTTAAGGTTATTGGTGTGGCCAGATATGCTGCCACTCTGAAGCTCGGCTGCAGACTTTGGTACGAAGGTCAAGAATTTTCGGCTGAAGGTCGCATCAGTCACTCTGTCATCAGCATGAAGGTTTTTTATTTTACTATATTTATGTACAAATTTAATTAAAAAACAAAAAATAAAATTCACTTTCAGGTTAGTCATGCCCTGGACGACCCTGACAAAGTCAATCCCTACTTCATCCTCTGCACTCCAGAGGTGACCCTGGATGCACCCCCTTACGCCGTTGAGTTGTTTTCTGAAGACCAGCAACCGCGTCCAAGCCCCGTAATCCTTCCCGTTCTCTCTCTGGACGCCAGTCAAGAGTCTTCGAGCAACGCCACAGTTGTCTGCGTTGCTCCCAGTGGTCGCAGAATCACTCCATCCGAGGTTGCAGAATTTGTTTCCTTTCACCAGATCCTCGGAGTGGGGCAGTATGTGATTTACGATGACGGATTGCTTACGCCAACAGCCCTGGATATCCTTAAAGACAAAAATCTTGGCTACAAAGCTGCTCTCCTGCCCTGGAACTTCCCCTTTGCTGCACCTGAAGCAGCCTCAACTGTTTTGAAGTAATGATATAATATAAAAAAATCAAAATTGCATTATGATCAATTTGAAAGAATAGAATAGTGATTTTTTTATTATTACAATATTTAATATAACTGTCAAAACAAGTTGGCATGTATGTATAAGTAATTAAATTATTTTTTCGTTGAAGATGGGACTGTCTTCTGCGGTCACTCAGCGTGCATCCAGTGGGGGTCATTCAGTTGCAGTGGAACCAACTGGCTGTACCTCGTTACCATCACACACTATCGGCAATGATACGGGACTTTGATGCTCGGATGTCAACTGCCCAGTTTGTCCTCACTGCTCTTCATTTTTGCTTTGAATACCCCGAGGAAAAATCAGCAGTTCCATTTAAAGCTCTCCGAAGATTTTACCATGCAGACCTGAAGGTGATTGTCTAATGCCGTAAATTTTTCATGGTTTTTTTTTTAATCAAGTGTAAAAAATTATACGTTTTATTCTTAATGGTATACAATTATTTCAATTTTCAGATCAATGAAGATCCGCAGTTGGTTCTGCAGAGACCTAGTCTGGTTGTTCAAGGACTGAAGACACAGCAGCGAATTTCACCTGGAATTATTGCCATCCACACCTACAAGCAGTGCAGCGAGGCGGCGAATAAGCCAGCACCACCAAAAAAATATGACAACTCTATTGCCAAGTTCAAAAACGAATTGCAGGACTCGAGGCTGTTAAAGTTGTGGAGCAGACACAGAAGTTTGTGACTTTTGCCTCCACTTCTTAACTTTTCTATTTAATATCCTCTTAAACTTTCTCATTCTATTAAATTATACCGGAGACGTCAAATTTACATCAAGTTTAATACAGGTAAGCCTATGCTTAGAAGTAATTAAAGTAAAAAACAGAATGAAAGGCGAGTTATTTACAATTAATAATGCATTATGCACCACACATGGATCGATTCTTCCACAGCTTGTTGCCTTTATCAATATCTGTAGATCGAAAAGAACACCTAGTGATCAGTAGCCTTTTGTAACTTACCTCTAGATTAGCTACTCCATGTTTACTAGAGCTTTAAAGTTTCTAGCTTAGATTATCCAGGTTAAAAATTGTAACTTCAAGAATGTAGACAATAAGAGTTTCAGATTTTACTATTCACAATTGTATTGCAATAACAATACTAATTATATGATAGCCTTACATATAAAAATTACACTTATCAAGCAGAAAAAACTTCTGCTTTTCCTGGCCATAAAATAGCTCACGAGTGATCACCTGCAAAGAATTTGTGATTTAAGTGTGCAATATACTTTTCATTATTTTCTCTTTTTAGATGTTGAATGGAAAAAAGCTTTATTAAAGCAGTATGCTTTTCAAAAGTGCCGATAGGTGTTTTTATGAGTGTTGTTTATGTTGAAGACTGATATAATTTTATTGTTGATTGAATTTACAAAACTTTTAGAATTAAATATATTGTTTTAAATCAAGCTCAAGCACTCTTTGTAAAATATTAAATTGTTATACTGTTCCAATTCAAGAAAACTCACATTCTTGTAAATAAATTAAAATTTGCAGTATTTGCACTAAGCAAAATATTGTTAATATTCAAATCAGTTGTACTTGATAATAAACTTTTCTAGCTACAAGTACTTGGTTGTTGTTTTTGTGTATGAAACTTCGATTCCTAATTAGAAATTAAATTATTTTATTGACCAAATACATTAAGAGACAATTAAATGCCATCACTTGTGAGGCAGAGGTTGAAAAAGAAATTTTCAAAGCAACCCAATTTGCTTGTAATTTTTGACAGGGATACTTGTTAAATTGCAGCAAACGCTTTTTGCCGCAAGCATGTAACAATCATTCTCGTAACGAGACACGGAATGCATTATGGAAATTATAAGACTTTAGCTCCAATGATGAATTTGTTAACTGTATGAACGCTTTGGGATAACAGGTTGTTCAGTTTGCAAACAGACGTAATTCAGTTGAGTCGCAAAAGTACAGCAGCATTCAACAAACCAGCTTCCTTCAGAGTTTTGGAGTCATCCGTCAGTTCAGCACTTGGGAAAGTTGTGCGCAAGTAGAACGTCTGCTGCTGCAAATTGGGCCTGGCACTGCAAACGCATTTTGAATTTAGAATACATAGTTTTTAATCCGGATATAGACGTACATGGTGATAAACCTCCTGAGGTCGCTGACTGTGTGAGTATGATTCAGGTTGGCCAGGAGTCGAGAACCGTCCATCAGCCGCACCTGCACAGTTGTGGTTGGCTGGGTTGAGTCTACGCTAACAGCAGTCTTAGCAGCATCTTCGTTTGACTCTTTGTCTTTCTCCGTCATTGGCTGGGTGGCTCCAATCGCCACAGGAGCAGGACTGCCCAAGACGTGCCCTTTGCCAGCAAAGGCAAAAACTTTCTTCTTGGGTTGAAGGAACTCTTCCATATGGTGGTCCTCAAGGTCCACGTTCACCTCTCTACCCCTGGCTTGGTTCACCAACTCAGGAGGCACTTCTCTGTAGAATTAATAATTTTAATGAATTATCTTAAATTTTAAGAGGAAGTATTTTCATTTTTCTCAATAAAAAAAATTGCAAATATTTTGTTTTGATCAACGAATAAAACTTCTCACCCATTTTTGATTGACTCTAGAAACTCTCTGTTGTTTTCGTATTCCCTCAAAGGACCATCATCAATGCTGAAGCCCGTCTTCCACATCTTGATGGTGATCTGCAGTGGAGAAGTTCTGTCCTCGTTTGAAGTTGAAGGGATCACAACTTTAAAAAATAAATTTTAATTGAAGTTATTGTCCATATATTAAAGGTAACCAACCCTCTGATTCAGTAGCAGTTTGGCCAAGTCTGTAGCCAGTTCCACCAAAGGCCCCAGATTTCTTGCTAGAAGATGCCTGTCGCGGGTCAACTTCTTCTCCACCATGCCTAAAATTGAGTTTGAACTTATGATTCACCAAATCAGTTAGTCGAATCTCACTCTCGGACAGATTTGAAGATGTCCTTGACAAAATCTCCCTTCTTCTTTGCTGGTCCCAGAATCTGTTGACCACTGTGTTCAGAACCACCTGCATAGAAAGCCTGTCCTTCCTCATCTGAGCTTCCTTCAGAATTTTCAAGAGTCCTCAGAGTTTGGATTCTATGCAACAAGATAATAAAAATATTCTGTTAATAACGACGCATAAATTTAAGACATTTATTAGAAATATAATTATAATGTTTAATTAAATTTGAGTATACCTAGAAGTTGAAGAAGATGAAGATTTTTTCTCGGTCTTTTTGGATGTTTCTTCTGGTTCGACTTTCACCTGTGCAGGAGGCCGCGGAGGTGCTGGGACTTCTCGGACAATCTCTGGCTCATCGTCAACCATATCAGCTCCACCATTCTCAAAAAAGTTTGAAATAGCCATCTATAAAATTATGAAAATTAAATATCATAACACAAGCAAAAAAAAACCGTTTCGTTGTTGTTTGAATTTAAATACAGGTAAAATAGATTCTTTTTAGAGTCGTTATAACTCCCGATTTTAAATTAAAACCCAACGAAGTCCACGAATCAACCCTTAATCGTAAAATTCTTCTTGGAAATACAATACCTGAACATCCCAACTGCAAGACTCGAGGAAGAATTTCGCACGGTCTGCACTGGCGTTGGTCAGCTCCATGAACTCGGCAGTCATGCGTTCTTGATCTGCCATCGTGAGAGTTGTCAAATTAACTGCTAGTGCACCTCTGCAGACCGTAAGTGCAATTTAATTGCGATCAAAAAGCCGACAGAAATAGCCCTGTCACGATGCCTAACTATCCACAAAGAATCTGCACGTCTGGTTCTTGTGCGAAAGATAAGCAGGTTGACAAACTGAATTGACTATGTTTGGGTTATAAAATCTCAACTTATTTTATATTCACGCCAAATTTATGGAGCCTTGATGCAGTTATTTTAATAGATAGATTAAAAAAATACAAAAATATATACACAGTAAAATGTCAAGTCTTCTTGGTAAGACAAATTTATGAAAGATATAACTCTTGTTGGATATAATCATGAAATGTTGGGCAGCCTGCTTAAAAATGCATTTTGATTGGTTCCTTGCGTGCTGCAGGCTAAAAGTTTGAAACGTTTGAAAATTTTATTAAAGAATGGCGCTGCAAAAACACCACAAAAAATAAAATTATAAATTTAACCAAGAGAAGTAATTTTAAGAAGAAAATTACTTACATTTAGAAATTGTGAGTTAAATTTAAATTCGAATTATTTTTAATTTCAAAATGCTTAGGAAGGAAAAAGAAATTAAAAAAGAAATGAAAACATAGAAAGATGGAAAAAAAATACCACATTACTTATATTTTTAAAGAATATTTATATTATATCATACTTGTCAACTTGTGTCTACATTTTATAAAATACAAACTTATTATTGTTAGATGACACACAACTTCCATAAAAAAATGATATTGATGATGAAACTTTCATCTTTTTTTTTTTAAAAAGATGATTTTTTAATTTTTTCATTACAAAACTCTCTTTCATTTCATTGTTTTCACTAAAACCAATAAAATTTGTGGGCGTCCGTCAACCTGATTACGAGCTATTTTTCTTTTTAAATCATGCATTTGTTAAAATATTGTAAGAAAATAAAAAAAGCAAAATTAATAAGAGACATTTCAGTCTTTGGGCATTCTTCTTAAAACCTCTCGAATTCTGTCAACCACCATCTCATTGTCACCAGTGCACATTTCTGCAACGTAAGGTGCACATAAGGTCACAGCACCGCCCACAACTAGAATTCCGCCTTTGAGTTCTTCAACATTAATCCTGTGTGTTTTAAACCACTGTTTGACAGCCTCTATGCCACCTGAAGGACCTCTCGGAACGTTAGTAGAAGGTAACAGGTTGGAAACATCTTCAGCGTTAACACCAGGGCAATCTTGAATTAAGGTGACGGCATGTCCCATCAAGATCTGCAGTCGTCCAGATTCCCTCTCAAGTAATATGACGCTGTTTTAAAGGAAATAAAAGATCTTTTTTTAATTGTGTTTGTTCAAAATAAAATAAATTTTAATTCACCTCCTTGAAACTGGATCAATTGTAAAAACAGTGCCCTCAAAAACTGTTTTGTTACTCAGGGAAACCTGAACAACTTTTCCCAAGTGCTGGTACAGATCCAGCACCTTGTCCTTCTCATAAATGGAATGCATTGAAATCAATCTCACGCAAACAGAAATTTTAACGTCTGAAACTGAAAAAAAAACAGCATTAATACAAGAAGTATTATACATAATTTAAAATAGACATTAAAAAAATTTAGGGTCGATGTATTAAAATTTTTAAGAGGGATTTTGATTTATGTATACTTTGCAAAATCAAATGTGATTGGACGTAATGTATGTATATAATTAATTATACAATACATAATTAAATAAAATTTTATCAAATATAGAGAGTAAGTTGAATGGAAATGAAGAAATGGATCTTCTATCTTTTCCTCGTTGAAAAATTGTTTTCATTAACAATAAATGGCTCCTAGTGCTCCCACCAGTTTAAGTTACGGTCTGCGAAAAGTACGAAATTGCAAAAAATACAAAAATCACAAATATAATTGGGAAAATTGAAAGAAAAAAAAACACCAAATTTTTAACATAAAGAGAGTTGAATGTTTGAATGAACACATAATATTATTGCACCTTTATATTATAGTACCTTTCAATATTCTTCACCAGGATCGCATTGGAATTTGGCAATAAAATGTTGCACTTTTATTAAACGTACAGTTCAAGCCGCTTGTTTTGGTTTGGAAAACCGAGAATTGCATTGTTTTGGTTTTCGCTGATGTCTTCTCTGAAGGGGGCGTGGTGGTCCACGCCTCCCATTTTTACCCTTTAAGTTTTGTTGACACTCAACGATTGCAAATAATTTCATTTGGTCTTGAGATTTATTAAAATGCTCAGATTCCTGGTAAGCAAAAATGTAAATAAATTGCGTTCATTTTTCCTGAAGCTTTATTTTAGATTCATAACATTTGTGTGTGGAACTTTTGTGCTTGATTTTGACACCTCATTGGCGTTCTGAATTTTTTTGCAGTTGATCTCATTAATTTTTTTACATTTCAATGGTTGTTTTAATTTTCATAACACCCGAAATTGAAATCTCTGTAACCCTCATTACGCACTGGCGCGTGTCTTTTGATCCACACACCCTGTCTGTGGCATGCATGAGTCTTCGCATTCCTATTTTTACTTCAAATCCGTTGGTGTTGCTCAACGCTAAAAATAGTCACTTGCTTCTATGGCGGCCCTTGATGAAGGCTGTGAGCCCGATTGATCCTCCGAGTAGTTGATAATTTTCTAGTCGAGTGCAATATGACGATTGTTACATTCCTTTACAATGCGCTTCTGTTCACATTCATCGTGGTGCATTTATTAGTAGGTGGAATTGTAAGCAAACTCTCCCTGCTCTCTTCAATTTGTCTTTGAGATGGACGGATGCCAGCAGCAGACGAGTGCTAAATATTAAAATCTCGTTTGTACCACACCCTTGTGAATGTTTGGCGTGCCTTCTTTCACTCACAGACACTTCAAAGTATTAAGCACAAATATTCATTCTGTTTCAGCTGACTTTCGGAGCAGGAGTTTATGCCGGAGTTTATATTAGCCAAAATTATGAGGTGAATTCTGCTTAAATTGGTGCGATGAAAGTCTAAATATTGAGAAATTTTACTTTAGGTTCCAAGAGTAGACGAACCAGCAAAATTATGGGAGAAAGTCAAAGGATGGGCGGATCAGCATAAAAAGGACAAATAAAGCAGTACTAGTTTTAAAATTATTGAAGGTAAAAACAAGCTATTTTTTTTATTTATTTACTTATTAATTTAATGAACAATTTCAGACCTTGAGAAATGCACAGCTAGCACCTCGAAAGAGCAGAGGACTTAAAATGATTAATTTAAAATTTCTATTATTTTAAAATACTGAAAAATGATTTTTGGTTCTTTATTTCAAACTTATGTTAAAATCTCTTTGAGATTCGAAAAAAATGTGTAATCAAGATAAGTGAGAATAAATGATAAATATTTGTATATTAAAATGTTCCCTTACTTGGTAGCTTGCAACCTTTAAAAACCAATGAAAGTAATTAAATGTGACAGTTAAATTTTTATTTTAATTAAAATATGAAGTTAAACAAAAGTTTTAATTATATCATTATAATTATGATGACCAGGGACTTACAAAAATGATACTCCACCACCCAGATACTCCAACCGTACTTGTGGCTCTACAAATGCAAGCCAGTCTGAGGAATGTGTAGGAAGGAGACCCATGCTCTGGCACTTGTAGAGGGCAAGAGCCACGTTGAGAATGTTGCCTATGAGGTACACGAATTTCTGGCCAATTACTTGATTTCCTTCGATCACTTTGAAAGCTGAAATAAAATATTTCATTGAAATTTAAACACCTTATTTATGATTTCAAGTGCAGCAACATATTTGAAAGTGTGTAATTTTTTAATTTCTTTGTACTTGTTTCTTAAATTTTTTTGCAAGGATGTGTTGCTTGCTAATTTTTTTAATTTAAATATACAATACCTTGTTGCATCGTAAACAGCGATTTAACCGGCCTTATGATCAGCATGCCAACCATCATGATAGGGAAAATTGAGATGGAACTTCCAGCCATGTACATCAAAAACAAATTCATCGGGACCTACAAGATTGCAATTAGCTTTTTAAGATATTATTATTTAATTTGTTAACAAATTTTTTTTTCAATCATCTGTGATAGTATATTATAAATTACAGTAAAAATTGTTTCTTAATTGAATCCAATAAAATGTACAAAGAAATTAGAATGAATGCTGACCTGCTTCAATGGTCCCAGAGCAAGGTCCCATGATTTTTTCAGGATTAGGTGACTTGAATCAGTTTCCTTGGAGGATTCTGCGTGGACCTGAACTGCTGAAGGGTTATAACCAGGGGGAGAAGGTAGACTGACGCTGCCTGCATTGTCGCTCTTAAATCTACAAAAATCGTGGTGAAAAAAGGATGAGAAAATTTTGATATACATAGGAATTTTTTATCTCTTAAATGAGAGGCGAACCTGGTCGAGGTGAGGTCAAGGGCCCACTTGGACCTTTTTTGAGATTTTGAAGCTCCACTAGACATGATTTATCTCACGTGATTCCGTAATTTTTTTAAGTTTAAGAATAATAAATTGAATATATGTAGTCGGAAATCACTGATTATTTTGTTACACGCCCCTTTAAAAAATGTTCCATGTTCCATGCGAAACCTTGTGAGCGGGTGGAGAACTACAACAATTTCCCCTATTCTCCTCCCTCCCCGCCCAGCAACACAGTAGCGACTAGCGACAGCTACGCAGAAAAAGAAAACGATTGTGCGGGAAGGGTAAAGCGTCGACTTTGCATTGGACTCTGCAAAGGGCTTGTCTTCGAAGGATCTTCACTGAAACCTGTCGTACTTTCAACTATTAAGTATGGAGGACAAAAGCTACAAGATCGTCCTAGGCTGTCTGGCCGTGATTCTGTCATTTGTCCAGCCAATGTCTTTTCTGCACCTCATAGCCATCGCTGTGGTCGCCCTTTGCGTTTGGTACCGCCGGAAAATTTTGGTTCTCCTGCGGACCCTGCCAAGGGATATTGGGTCAGTATTATGTAGAGATCATTAATTAATTTTTATGTAATAACTAATATTTAAAAAACATTAATATTCATAATCATCATTTTTGTTCAAAGATATTGCAATTACACTACATTATGTATAATGTGTTACTTTCGGTAATTTTTAAAAGCAACTGCATAAAAGCTTAATTTTTTCTGAACAATTTTCCACGTTTACAATCTTTAATTTATAATCAGGTTGTTTCAGATATGACGGGGATTATCTATTATTTCAACCTAGTTTTTTTTTTAAATAATAAAATATGCACGAGAAAATTAAGATTTTGATCGTTTATTAATAATTTTACAATTCAAAATAACAAAATTGGGAAAAAAATAGATAAGACCTCTGGTAAAACGCCTAACAAATTAAAGAGGTCCGGTGTGGTTAATTTTCATATTTTATGAAAGAAATAATTCAATTTATTAATGATTTTCACATTATGAAATAATATTTGATGAAAATTGGAATAATTCTAAGTAAGTAATAAAATGTGTAAAAAAATAGGCGAATTTCCTATAAAAAAATTTTTTTCTGAGAAAACAAAATTCACATTAAAAATAAATACAATAATTGTGTGAAAATTTCATTTCAATTTATGTCAAATATTTTTTATATTATACTGACAATGAAATTTGCATAAATTATTTATTTATCAGAATTCAATCAGAAATGAAATTGCATTTTCAAGCAGCCATGAAATTATAAGATGAAGCAACAAATTAATTATCATATAATATATATCTGTATCACATGATAAATATGCAAATTCTCCTCATGCCGCTAAATAATGCCATTTCAAAGGTCTTTTGTTGACTTGATTCTTTTGCTCGACGTGTTCTTGATGTGTGGTGTGAATAATCTTATGAGACTGACTCATATAATACGTAAGAGTGCGGTAAGATTGGTGAAGATTTCTTTATCCGTTGTTATTGTGGCAATGAAAGATGAACAGAAGGAATTTTCTGGCGGTTATAAATCATTTTACACTTCCCGAATATTTGGCAAGCATTTTAGTGGTCTAGCTGAATGTGTCAGGAATCCAGTGTCCTGCACACTTGACCAAACCACTGCCGCCGGGGCATAGACAGACGCCGCAATTCCGTCACAACCTGTGGCAGACTATCCTGCGTGTTCATTACTTCAAGGCTAAAAATAATAAAATAATTAAAAAAGATACATTCAATCTTCTAGTCAAAACTTCTGAACTTTAAACTTCCGCTTGTAGGTTAAAAAAAAGAATACTCATCATTTTATCTAGCCCACATGACCCTAAAGGCGAAGACAAAATGTATAGACAAAATCTTTATTTACTTTAAGAATGACAACTGCATTTGACAGGCACCATAAGTTTCATATACACTGATAAAAGTCAAAATTATGTTTCGTCTGCCGCAGTTATAAATTTTCCTGTAAATGATTTTTAATTAGCGTTATTATATATTCTGCGGGTAAACATTTCAACTTTGAAAATTAAAACAAAAATAATTTTTAAATAATTTTTTTCTTTTTACCCTTATTGTATTGCCTTGGATAGTTGTAAAGATAATAACAATTATATTAATTATTTGATGTGAGTTATGAAAGGAATTTTATGTGTTTGAGAGCCAAGTGTTTTTGCATCGCATTGGATAAAATTTTCTATCACAAGCTATTTCTTAAGCCGAGCGTTAAGTTGACGAGTAACGGAGTAACGTATAAATAATTTCATTGATTTACTATTTAAATTATTAGGTCCGTGTATAATTTATTTCTTCTTTCTTATGATTTAATATTACGCATTACATTAAACCAACAGCGAGAAGGCTCAAGAAAGGTGGCACTGATAAAGATTGCACCGACCGCACAACTTGTCAATTATACATTTTATATGCTTTATCACGACCGACATGACCTATGCGAACGCAAAAAAGTTCCACGTGAACTTGCATTATGCTGATTAAAAAAAAAAATTCAAATAAAAATCGAAGTCAAGAAGAAGAAAAATAATTGAAATAAAAAAATCCATATACCATTTAAAGTATAAATTTATACTAAGATTGATAAAAGAAATGACGGAATTAATGAAAGTAATAAATTAGTCTAAATCCCAGATTTTATCTCTCATGTTAGAAAGTAAGAAATACTTTTTTCCAACAGAAAAATTTTCATTTCTGATTTTCAATAATTATTTGTGTTAATTTCTAGTTAATGATATTTTTAATAGTATCTGAACTATTTCAGATTTTTAAAAGTTCTTCTTCGAGTCAAAATGGACAGTGAGAAATTTAAAAAGAAAAACTTCACCCCCGCATCGATGCTATCTGTCTTGGCGCGAAACAGACCAAATGACGCCGTGCTTCTCTACGATGAACACGTTTGGACATACAAACAGGCAATTTTTCGAATGAAAATTTTCAATTTCAAATAAACAAATGTGAATTATTTTTCAAAAGTTGGACGAATTTAGCTGGCAGATTGCTCAGTACTTTCACAAAATGGGCTTCAAGCAAGGAGACGTGGTGGCCCTTTTGAGCACCAATCGACCCGAGTACGCTGCTTTTTGGATCGGCCTTTCTCGGCTTGGGGTTGTCACGGCGCTTGTCAACACTTCACTCCGAAATATGGCTCTGGAGCACTCGCTCAATGTGGTCAACACAAAGGCAGTTGTTGTCAGTGCAGATCTCTGCGAGGGTATATAATTTTTTTTTTAAAATTTAAAAAAAAAAAAAATTATAATTATTGAGGATAATATAAAATAACGAAATTATAAATTTTAGGGATTTGTGAAATTAAAAAATTGATCCCGGGTGACTGCAAACTTTTTAAATTTTGCGGTGCAGACCAATCGTTTGACGGGGCCTGTGACGACTTTATTTTTCTTAATCCTCTTTTGGAAAGAGAGCCTTTGACCCCAATTGAGGGTTTGAGCCCTCCAAGTTATGATAGTGAATTACTCTACATTTACACTTCCGGCACCACTGGCCTTCCTAAAGCGGCTATTATGAAAACTTCAAGGTACGTTTTCCATTCAATTAATAATAAAAAATAAAATAGTAAAAATCTCGACTTCCATCAGATATCTCGGTGTTGTTCTGGCTGCCGTGCATTTGGGCCAATTGACAGCCAAAGATCGCATGTACACCCCACTTCCACTCTACCACTCTGCCGGAAGCATTGTTGGCGTCGGACCGGCCATCACCCATGGCCTTTCCTGTGTCCTTAGAGGAAAATTCTCAGCTTCGAAATACTGGGAAAATTGCGCAAAGTACAAGTGCACGGTAAGTCGGAATTAAGAATTTGTATTTATGTAAATTTGTTAAAAAAAAATCTTTTTCAAGGTGGCCCAATACATTGGTGAAATGTGTCGCTACCTGCTTGCTTCGCCTGCCACACAATTTGACAAAAAGCACCAGGTTGAAAAGATGTTCGGAAACGGTCTCAAGTCTAACATTTGGCAGAATTTTCTCGACCGATTTGCAGTACCTAAAGTTGTTGAATTTTACGGTTCTACAGAGGGGAATTGCAGCATTGGTAATATATTAGATGATGTGTAATTTTTTATTTTAAGACAGTTAATATATTCCAGTTAACTATGAAGGCAAAGTTGGCGCAGTTGGCTTTTTGCCAAACATCTTGCCCACCTTTGCCAGTCCTTTGGCTCTTGTGAAAGTCAATGAGCAAACAGGCGAGTTGATTCGAAGTGGTAAAGACAACTTGTGCATCAGATGTGAACCAGGTTGGATTTTCATTTAGAAATTTTTTATTTTAATATTAATATTAATTTTCCAAAGGAGAGCCTGGAATGATTATTGGAAAAATTAAAGATTCTGAAGCATCAAGGCAATACCATGGCTATGTTGACAAAAGCGATTCGGCCAAAAAAGTGGCGCACGACGTTTTTGAGAAAGGGGACAAATACTTCATGTCAGGTATTGATTTTTATTTTTTCCCCAAAAATTGTTACGATTAAATACACTCCTACAGGTGATATTTTGGTGTGTGACGAACTGGGCTATTTGTACTTTAAAGACAGAACTGGTGACACTTTCCGCTGGAAAGGAGAAAACGTCTCAACTGCCGAGGTTGAAAATGCCATTACATCTGCTGCGGGGCTTAGAGATGCCTGCGTCTATGGAGTGGAGGTTGTAAATTTTGTATATATTTATTTTTTGGAAATCATAGTTTGCACAGATTTTGGGCACTGACGGTCGAGCAGGTATGGCGACTATTGTTGACAGCGACTCTACCTTGGATTTGGACGCCCTGGCAAAATCCCTTGCTCGTTTAATTCCTTCCTATGCACAGCCAATATTTTTGAGAATTGCCAAGAATATTGACATGACATGTAATTAGTAAATTTTAATTCTAAAACAAATTATTTTATATTATTAATACTAATTTCCAGCAACTTTCAAACTGAAAAAAATTGAGCTGCAAAGAGACGCTTTTGACCCGGCCAAAGTTAATGGTGATGCTCTTTATATTCGCAAAGGAAAATTGGCTCATTACGAAAAGTTGACTCCTCAACTCTATCAAGATATTTTGTTGGGCAATATCAAATTTTAACCGACTTAATTGGTCAAAACCATTATTTAGGTTTAAAATTTTGTTTTCAACTTCATGTTCTTTTCGCCTAAGGTTTACATTTAAATTTCATGCTATATGATGCTATATTTTAAAATTTGTGTTGGAAATTTACATATATAGAAATAGAAAACTAATAGCAATATGCTTGTATAAACCTTAAATTGAATGCACAGAGAATGACCAATAAAATTTTATGTTCTATTATAAATAAAAAAATTAAATAAATAAAATAGAATTAAAATATATGCTGCTAATTATTATTATCTTTTAATATTTAATGATAAAAAATTACTTTTGCACTAAAATTTTTTCACTTTTGATAATCAAATAAAATATTTTGCAAATAAAAAGAACATTGATTTGCGTCAGTAACGAGAACAGTTAAAAAGAATTATTATGTTTAGTACCGCATTCATTATTCGCATTATTATTATAATCTGATCTGAATTCAAATATAAATTACTTTTTTATTGTTTATAAAGCTATTTTTGTCTTTGCTCCCTTTTATTTATATGAACCAAAACTGTCATAAAGACATTCAAATTATTATGGCGATGGCAGGCTAATTTATTTTAATTCAATTTAAAAAAAAGTAATAATAGCCAGGAAGCAGAAGAGAAAACCAGAGAAACGAGAAAAAAAAACTAAAAGAAGCAACAAGCGGCGGCATGGGATAAAAGCATTGAAAAGCGAGAGTGGGGAAGTCGGGCGATAAGTGTGGCGCCGAGGAAGGGGCGGTGGAAGAGGCGAGAGGGACCACCACATCCACATCAGTTGTTTACTGCGATTTAGCGGCACAAACGCGACGGAGAAAAGACGAGTCGCCGAGGAAAAACGCCTATTTCTCGCGCCGAAAACCGCCCTTTTTCCCTTGCCGTTCGGCCCGAAATGGAGGAAGCGAACTACAAGCTGCTGTTCGGCGTGCTGGGTGCGATTTTGGTGGTCGGGCCGTACGCGTCCTGGCTGCAAATTCTCTGTCTTTGTGCCATCGCGTTCTACCTGTGGAATGCCAAGAAGATCCTGATCATCCTGCGCACTTTGCCTCGAGACCTTGGGTGAGAAATGCTTCCTGAGCATGCCAAGAAATTTTGCAATACTTTAGAATTTCCACATTCATGCGACTTTTCTCGTAAAAATTTATTTCTAAACCATATTTACTGATTTTTATTACCTGAAATTTTAAATTTATTTTTCGTTTGGCGTTTTTATCAAATTTAATTATTTACTATTTTTCGAGGCATATCTCACGTGTGTGTTATGTAACAGCTAAATAATCAATATCCCCATGATATCTCAGTGGGGGATTTGTATAAGGGTAGTTCGCCTCGCTATCGCACCCATGAAAGCTAATAAAACGTGCTCCGCTCCCTTTTTAACCTGGGCTCGTAGTTCACGCAAAGCAAACACAAGCTGGTCACTCCCTAAAGTGATTTTTTTTTTATCAGCGCCATGCAGACAGTCTTGTGACTTTTTACTCGGCGTCTATGTTAATTACCTCTAATTTAATTTACCAATCAAGAAGTGAAAATTTTAATCATTGAATTGGATTCGGAAGCCTGCGAAACACAAGAAATTTTAATCCAATTTTCACCTCGATCTAAAATAATTAAATTAGAGCGAAATAACACATTTTTTCATTACCTCAAAAAAAAAATTTTGGTTGGTCAACACGGTCAACATATACTTAAATCTTAAATTCATTATCAACGAAACCAGTGTAATAAAAAATTAAAATATATTTTTATTTATAAATTTATTTATCAATTATTAATATTTAATAATTTTTTTATTCAAATGTTGAAATTTTTCGCAACAATTAGTGAAGTATTGCGTTGTTTCTAAATTAAAACGCATTTTAGAATTTATATTTTTATAATCTTGGTCGGGTGTGTGGGAATTTATTTCTGCGTTGATGAGCCAGATGCCCCAGTTTAAAGGCTGCGTCGCACTTAAATCGCGAGCCTGCGTTTTGCTCATCTACACAGTCATTGGCCTCTCTCTGCTGACAACAAATATACATACAATGACTCCTTGATTTGCTCCTTGGACCTTGTCATTGTTGCTCTCACGAAAAATAATTCAGCATTACTAATTTGATGCGCGCTCGTGATGACCTCGGGGGACAAAGTCGCGAGAGCAACAATCAGTGACGCCTAATTAACATTTTTTATTTTCGATTGAGACTATTTTCATTGACTTTGTCCTCTGTTCAAGCTAAAAAAGCATTGATTAATTATTTTAACTGCATTTTTGACATTTCGTTCGGCTTTAAAAAAAAACGGCCCGATAAAATTAGATGATAATTTTTCTACATTATTTAATTAATTTGTAGTTGTCACTTCTAAGTAAGGAGAGACGGTAAGAAAATTTAATTTATTGGATGAACTGAATAATTTTTTTTTCTCTCGAAATTGACCCGTCCAAAATTGAATTTTTTTCACCAAATCTTGTTCATATCACCCCAATTAGAAAAAAAATCAATAGGTCAGTCGACGTAAAAATTTACATTGATCTTGTGAGAAAAGGTTCAGAGGTTTTTTTTACAGTGTATAGATATCATAAGCTCCTCGTTAATATTTCATAATATATTTTTTGTTTTGAAAAAAAAATAACGATAATAAAGTATTTTGTATTGTTTTGCTCATGATATTTACCGTGTCGTGTCAACGCTGGGCAGCTGTATTTCTGGAGCCTGCAGTTAATTTATGTGCATGCTTGGCTTTGTGTTGTACTTTTAATAGGCGTTGCGTGACGCACTGTCTTATTCATTATTGACAACAAACATCTGCGTGCTCGCCATAGTTATTAGTCTATCCACGTGTAATGATAGCCTTGACAATAAAGTTTGTTAAATAAATGTCAAACAAAATGTTTCAGGTTTATCATCAAGCTGTACAGAATCATTCGCAAGAACAAACGACTGAAACGCAAAAATGGCACCCCCGCGTCGATGCTGTCGGATGTGGCCAGAAAATACCCCGAACGCCCTTGTCTCTTGTTCGAAGACCAAGTCTGGACCTTCAAGCAGGTAACAATGTGATTTATCAACAAATGAAAGTCGCTCATGGTTTCTGCTTTATTTTTTGCAAAGGTGAATGAGCTGAGCTGGCGAGTTGCTCAAGTTTTCCATGAATTGGGCCTGCGGCGTGGAGACGTGGTGGCCCTTGTGAGCACCAACCGGCCCGAATACGTGCCCATCTGGGTTGGCTTGTCTCGACTGGGCGTGATCACCGCCTTGGTCAACAATACTCTCAGGCACATGGCCTTGCAGCATTCGCTCAATGTGGTTAACGCCAAGGCTGTCATTGCTAGTGCAGACCTTTGTTCAGGTAAATCTAATTTGGAAAATATGACCTTCATCGGAATTCATTTTTGCACTTCTTTAATATTTATTTATTTTATTTAGAATATTTTTCAATACAATTAAATCAGATTAAACAAATGACTGCATAAATATAATTACAGCCGTAGCTGACGTCAAAGGAGAATTGACGTCGAGCCCAAAACTATTCAAATTTTGTGGGGCCGACCAGAAATTTGAGTTGGATGTTTCACTGCCGGGATTTGATTTGCTGAACAAACTTTTGGACAACGCACCCTGCACTCCTATCGACGGACTGAAACCTCCAGATTACAAAGATGAGCTAATTTACATCTACACCTCGGGCACCACCGGGCTTCCAAAAGCCGCAGTGCTCAGAAACTCAAGGTAATATTTCCCACATGAAAGTGAACTTGCCTCAAATTGTCTCTCAGATATCTGTTCGGTACTTTGGCCTCTGTTTACTTTGCTGGTCTAACTAAGAACGACAGAATCTACAACCCTCTTCCTCTCTACCATTCGGCTGGAGGTGTGGTCGGCATTGGCCCTGCCATCACCCATGGAGTATCGTGCGTCATCAAGCCAAAATTCTCGGCGTCAAAGTATTTTGAGGACTGCACTAAATATGAATGCACTGTAAGAATAAATACACAAACTTGATTTCCAATAACAAATTTGACTGAATTCAGGTTGGCCAGTACATTGGTGAGATGTGCAGATACTTGTTGGCGGCGCCCCCGTCGGAATATGACCAAAAACATAAAGTTCGTGTCATGCTTGGCAATGGACTTAAAATGAACATTTGGCAACAATTTGTCGACCGCTTCAACATCAGAGGAATTGTGGAGTTTTACGGAGCCACCGAAGGAAACACCAACATAGGTAATTTTCAATTTTGGCCTCCTTTCATTTGGATTTTAATTTATTATTTTTGCAGCTAATATTGATGGAACTGTCGGTGCTATTGGTTTCCAACCAAGACTACTTCCCGATTTTCTCAATCCAATGGGCCTTGTTAAAGTGAACGAAGTGACTGGAGAGGTACTGCGAGAGGGCCCTGACAATTTGTGCATTAGGTGTAAACCTGGCGAACCTGGCATGTTTGTCGGCAAAATCAAAGAAGGCGATGTGACTAGAGAATTCCACGGATATGTCGATAAACAAGCCTCAAGCAAGAAAGTGACCACAAATGTGTTCAAGAAGGGGGACAAATACTTTGTTTCAGGTAATTTATTTACTTATTTTTGTTTTAACAAATTTTAATCGGAGGAATTTTACAGGAGATATTTTGGTAATGGATGAGCTTGGTTACTTGTTTTTCAAAGACAGAACAGGAGACACTTTCCGCTGGAAAGGAGAAAATGTTTCCACAACTGAGGTGGAAAATGCCATCGTCAAAGCTGTCGGGTTAAGAGATGCTTGTGTTTATGGAGTTGAGGTAAGAGAAAATACTAATAATTCCTAAATTATCTTTTTAATTATAAATATTTTTTAGATTCCTAACACTGATGGAAAAGCTGGTATGGCCACAATTGTTGACTCTGATCATAGCTTGAACATAGATGAGCTTGGAAAGGCCTTGGCCAAATTTCTTCCTTCGTACGCTCAGCCAATGTTTATAAGACTAGCTAAGACAATCGACATGACAGGTATATTTGATTAAAACTTATTATGAAAATAAATTAAACACATTTTGTTTAGGTACTTTCAAGCTGAAGAAATTCAACCTGCAGAAGGATGGGTTTAATCCTGCAAACGTTGGCACTGACCTTATATATTTTCGAGTCAGCAAGGATGGCGATTTCAAAGAACTCACTCCAAGTTTGTACGAAGACATCATTGCAGGAAAAGTTCAGTGCTAGTTAGTGATGAACATAAAATGATAGAGCACGGGGACAGCTAATAGCAAGTTTTTGAATGCCGGTTTTGCTTTGCGACCCCTTCTGGGTGAGTTTTGTTTTATAAGACTGCGAAAGAAATAATGCCCCTCATGAAAAGGATATGTTTCACTGTCAAATTGTATTTTTTTTGCATCAGTTCTTTTGAATAAGAGACTGTTTTATATTTAGAATTACCTCAAAATGGACTGTTGCTTAAGCTACTTGCAGGATAAGTTTCTGCTATTTTATCCTGGCAGGCAGCTGAATATTATCATTTGCATTTCCTCAGCACAATCTCATTTTATTTAATGTCTAGAATCAACATTCACACATATAAAATAAAAAATTTTTGAAATCGATACCAAATTTGCCTGATGTCAAAATAATTTTAGAGCTTATGGGATCAAACAAATGTCTTGAATAAGCTAAAACAATGTGTGAATCAATAGGTCTGTTCACCGAAACACATCAAGTACTGTTGTTTTACCTCATATTTTTGTGCTATTTATAACCAATAAGAGGACTGAGACAATTAAACCAAAAACCTCAGCTTTTGTATCACAAAAATAAACACATATAAATTACTAAGTTTCTATTTTTTTTTCTTTTCTCTACTCAAATCATTTTCCCCTTTGAATATTGGCTGGTGGTGTTATGTAATCTTTACATTGGTGTTGTTTGAATTTCCCTCCCGTGTTGGTTTTTCCACCGTCATTTCCACCCTCACCCCTAGGGCAGCGCTTGCGCCTGTCCCGTTCTAGTGAGAGAGAGTGTGTTACCCTTGCATTTTGCAACAGCGTCTTTTCCGTCCTGCTTTCACGCGTGAAAAAATGCCTTGCTGGTGCTGCAAAGTAATATGAATGAAGACCAAATCCTTATCCTCCGAGGTAAGCGAGCCCTGCAAATTCTCCACCCTGGTTTCACCCCCTGCTTGACACCGCGCTTCTCAACCTGTTCTTCCTCAGCACACTCTTAAATTTTCACAGTAAATAATGATTTCATGTTGAATTTTTCCATTTCAAAAAGATAAGACTGAGCTCAAAATTTGATTCAGTTTTCGTCTTTGGTTGATGGGAAAATTGTACCTGGAATTCCCCAAGCAACCGCAACTTGTGTGCTATTCCCTCGTGCACTGCGGTATTCGGCAAGGGGTGGATCGATAAAAATCAAAGAAACACAGCACACAACGTGCACTCGAGGCGACGACGGCGGTCTCCGCTGCTTGTTCGTGCCGCTTTTGTATGCATCGATTCCCGAGACTCGGCCGTCGTCGTCGCTCCTGAAAAGAACATTAAGCACGTGTGGCCCATCATTATAATGCGTTTGCTCTTCCGTAGCTGGTGGTGGTGCTGCTGCTGGCGCTGGTGCCCCTGCCAGGCCCGCAAGACCCCCGCCCGCCCTGCCATAGAGACAGATCGTCCGTTGTGCGTAATATCGTTTCAAAGGTACCTCAATTTCAAATTAATATATTGGAAACTTTGAAATTTGATTCTGTCTAATTATAAGAAATGGGTGCCCATTCTGGCGAGGTATGGCCTGAAACTGCCTATCGAGTGCCCTTTCCACCCTTCGAGAGAGGTCTACTGGCCACGCCAAGAGTCCAAAATCAAACACCGAGCGACGCAATGGAGCTGCGGTCTGTGCGGCAAATCGTTCTACTCGGAGAAGTTCCTCGAAATGCACTTTGAAAATAGACACTCGGAGCACCTCAACACTGTGAGTGTGGTACGATTTAGGTGTCTGCATGATCGACGAGATGTTAAAAAATTTGCATATATTTCTCAGGAATGGAAATTCTAATTATGAAAATCTCTTTTAATTTTACAAGTATAGTTTTGAAAGCAAATTTGATGCAAAACTTAATTCTTTCATTTTTATATTCATTTAAATAATTAAATTATTATTTATTATTTTTACAGTGATTTTATTTACATGATATTTGTAAGAAAAATTAGTAAAACATTCATTTTGTCAGGCTGAGGATTCGGTGTGCCTGGCGGACTATTGCGACATAATGCGGTGCACAGTGTGGGAACATGGCATAAAGGGATCTCCGACCTCCAACACCGACGTGGAGTTGTGGGGTCGCGACCAGGCCAACTCGGCAGCGCTCGTCGTTTCTAAGACCGCTTTGCAACCGGTGCAGCAGCAAAAAGGCAAGTGAGGAAGCTTCACGATTAGACTCCCTGGTCAATGTTGCCGTCGTGCAGGTTGCATACTCGACAAAGCTGCAGGCATTCGCTAAAAATACAAAAAAAAACCTTATATGATTGCTACAAAAATCATAAAAATAACAGCAGGAAAATATTAAATTTACCCATAATAGCATTAATTGTTTAAAACAATTTTTTTCCAATTCCAACAAAAATTACAAATTGTCATACATAATTGTTAATATAGAAAAGCTTCTTAAATTTACTAATCAACTTTTTTGAATAAATTTTGCGTCAATTTTAGCCAAACGAGGGGAAGTAGTGGTAACACCAACAAGTGCTCCAAAAGCCGGGACGAATCCTGACTTAAAAGTAAACAGGTCGCAACACCGGCCAGTAACCAACCAGAACTGTAATAACTCGAGGTCTAAAAGATCGTCAGGTAGAAAATTATCTTTTTAACATAATGATCTGTGAACACTAACTGCTTTAATTAGACGCCGCAGGTGCCGATTGTTCTCGAATAAACACCCAAGACGAGCAGATCAAACGATTCAAAGCCGACTGCAGACCTGATCTGCTGAACGAGTTGAGGGACCAGTGCGAGAATTTAGTTTGGGACTGCATAGCAGGTCTACTCGCCAACCTCACCACGGAGGAGTTCAAAAGCATTGAAGGTTTTTGATCCAAGTACAAAGAAAGTTCAGCGCTGAAATTAACAAAAACCTTTCAGCCGACATGAACCGAGCGATCTGCTGGTATCTCACGTGCGACAGGTATTGGGAGAACTCGGCAAACGACCGCCGCAAATTCCCGTGGGCTTTGCTTCTCGTGCTGGTCACTGCCCTGGCTCTAGTAATTTGTTTCTGCTACTACTTGATTTGGCTGGTGTGCGAGTGAGTTGAAAATTTGGTTCCTATTTCAATTTAAATTAAAGAAGTTTGTGAAAAAAAATCTATTAATTTTTACTTTCGTTGCAATGAAAATTTATTTATTTATTTTATTTTCTCTATTTTAAGCTGGGAATATCGGGGGAACAAAGGTTCCTTGTCTGAACCGTCGTCACCGTTGATGCAGCACCAACAGGGGCCGCTGGGCCACCAGCACCACCACATGCATCACCAGCAAGCAATCCCAATGCCATATCACGGGGACGAGTTCTCGATGGACGGCGAGCCATACTATGTGGCCGAGAACCAAGGCGAGCATTATATCTACGTAACCTATCCACCTGAGTTAAAGAGGCGCCTCATGGAGAGGTTAGAGACTACTCACACCACATGAAATATGTCTATCCAATTACAGAGCACCCAACCAACCGCACCTCAATCTGTCTAGCTCTCTCATTAAGTCCTACAGTCATGGTAATTGTAGTCATATTGTTTTTCGTTGGCACTTTAAGTGTAGTTGTTCAATTCTTTAATTCAAACCCCAGAATCAACAAGTTCTGCCTTTATTGAAAATTAATTCAACCTCAACTTATGCTTTAATAATATTTTCTACATGACTATATTTGTTTCTTTGTATTTATATTATAAACACAACATCTTACTGAGAGATCACACTAAAAAATGAAGTTGACAATTTTATCTGCCATATATATTTTTTATTTATTTCAATCTTGATTATTGATTACGAAAAAACACAACACATACACATCTCATAAATCATCACTTCAAATTAATTGTTTTGCATGACTTTTGTAATTAAGTTTTATCATAAATAAGTCTCTAATTATCTCTAACGGCGATTACAAGCTCACTATCTACTTGGCATTGACTTTGTTTTTCAAAATTAAAAGGATCTAAATAATTTAAATGCAGCTAAACAATACCAGCGGCACAGTAGAGTAAACTTAGTTAAAACCCTTCGTCAGGGAATCAGGTCCTCTCCACACTGAACAACAGAAAATTCATAGACGAAACCAGAAACAAAATTTATATTAAAATAATAATCTGAACTTAAGTCAAAAATTTTAACTCTGGATTTTCTTATTTCAGCTGCTACAATCGTACGTCACGTATATGATTATGTGTTTGAGGGTGAGGACTGACTGGATTGATGACGAGTGATTGGTGCAGAAAATTTGCACTTTCACGCGTGTTTTGCACACACATTATACTCAGATTATTACTGTAGGCGCGGGATATGCCGGTAGCACCGCCCAAAGTAATCAGACTCGAATAGCTCGCACAAAATTTCCAAACAATTGTTTAAGAGATCACAAACTATTGGCAAAGATTCGTCCAAAATGTGAAACATGAAAAATGGCAGCTGCGTTGCTATGAGAAGTTTATTCAACAAGGTTTTTGCAACTTTGCCATTTTCAAGAGCAATGCACAAGGGCTTTGTGGAAAACAAAGTTATTTTTAATGTCGTGAGAATGAGAATTAAAAAAATTACAAAATACACACAGAAAGTGTGATTAATAAATTTAGCAGGATTTCAAATTGATGCTTCATTGAAAGTGAAAAGTTAAATTCTTCTTGGTTCGCACTTTCTGATCAGTAAAAAAAGTAAATTTATCAATTATAAAAAAGTTTGAAAGTATTTTTTTCTACCAAGCGTCAAGTTAAATCACGCAATAAAGTTTATTTAACTCTGCGCAGGCATGTTATGTTCATAGACAAAATACAAATCCCAATTGCAATCAATGTCCTTTTTAGCCGTCGTTAGAGCAACGCACTTTTAAAAAAAAACGCGTCAATTGTAAATAAAAATGAAGATGAAATAATTTCTACTGAAAAAAAAAACTATGATGATGAACAACTCTTTTATGTACTAAAACTAACTGACGAGAGGTTGTGAATTGAATTTTTCTAAGCTCGCTTTGAGATTTTCAGCTTTTCTATAACTTTGATCTGTCAAATCAAAAGTTGGTTTCCTTGTGAAATAATAAAATGTTGTAATATATAAATTTGCATTTTCAAATCGTTGCGTAATCGATTGTGAAAGTTTAAATACTGAATATGAATTCAGACATGAAATGTTTGTAAAAAAAAATGATACTGCATACATTTGAGAAATACGCAACACTCAACACGTTAAAAAAATATTGCCTGTCTCTGATTTTTTTTTTTTAATTGTAAATTTTTAACATGAAGAAAACGCTGTGTAGAGAGGATTGCAAAAAAGTTGTAGAATAATTCTTGATAAGACCAACTTCTGTGAGCTAATATTTCAATTCTATGACATTTTGCGTATCGCTGCAACGGTTCACTGATAATTTGCAAAAATAATGTTTAAGAGGCAAAAATCACACATCAAAAATAAAATGCCAAATCTTTTCTAAGACCTTCCGAATTTTATTTCATAAATCATAGCCATAATGAAAGAATGAAACATAAGAACACTATTTCTTTTTTACTTAATAATAATGTATTAAAAATATGTGGGACTTTGAATTTGTATTTTTCAGGTGAAGTATTGGCTTATTTTTAGTTCGCATGTCATCGTGCAGATGACCCAAGTGTTGTTATTTCATCCCCCTTTCCACGGCCCTTGCCAGGCTGGGGTAGTTGCGGATGTGGACAGGCGCAGGGGAGAACTCGCTTAATCAGAATAATGTGATGCAGTTAGCGTGCAAATTGATATTAGCATATTGGAATTATCATAATGCCTAATTATGTTGTAATGCGCCCATATTGAATAGGCAAATAAACCGTAATAAAATATAAACTTTTAATAATCATACTGGATTTGAAAGATAGACTGCATATTTTATATTTTCAACTGTTCGAAGAAGTTAAACATTTATTAACTCTTAAATTTAACTCCGATAAAATTTACAATTAAAAAAATCAACTCTCCGAAAGCAGAAAATAAATTTAATTACGTCACTCAGATTAGAGTTTGGAAAATTTGAATTGAAAAAAAATCCCACTACATGCATGCTATAAAATAGAGCCCCACATCAATTGGGCGCATTGTGTCGAATTCGCACTCAAATTCAAATTTTCCATAGTGTGATCATGGAGAACCTAGTCAAGAAAGCGATACAATTGCAATGTAAATATTTTTTTTGAATTAATATTAAAACAGTAAAGAAATATAATTCATTGAAAATTATTTTACAACACATTAGTACAAAAACTATCAACTATCCATGCACTGCTTGCACCGCATGCACCGCATGCACCGCATGCACCGCTTGCACCGCTTGCACCGCTTGCACCGCTTGCACCGCATGCACCGCTTGCACCGCATGCACTGCTTGCACTGCTTGAGGGTTGGAAGGGGTAGAATCTAAATTTTAAAAATTTTAAACCCTTATTTGCTTATATTACAAGTCAAATTGCAACTAAAATGAATTATAACACAAATTATGCTAAAAAACTACCCCTCCAATAGCAATTAAGGGATGATGGGGGTTAATATTGATGAAAACTAGGATGGCTGACCCTTTTTTCTTTTTTGGTCCAAGCATACATATTATGGATAGCAAAGTTTGATGTGAGTGCAATTTTTTTACTAATAAATAATTTTTATCAAAAATTGGTTGTTTAGGGGTTGAAAATATTAGAGGGTTAATAAAAATTCGTAGAGGGATGTTTTAGAAACAAACCCTCCAAATTTCAAATTTGTTTCTCAAAAAGTTACAGCTGGTTTAATGATTTACGATGAGTGGGTTACATTTGTACCCCACCTTTGAACTCGAGGCAAAAAATTCTTCAACAGGAATTCGTCATTGTAAATTAAATTCCTCTTACACAATCAAAACCTAGTCGCATATTATAAACAATAAGTGATTAATGAGATTTGGTATTATCCACTTTTAATTAAATTCGTAGTAGGTTGAATTAGTACATTTTAATTAAAATTTTTTTGTTATAATCGTTTAAAAATCATTTGGTCAATCTTTTTGCTTATTTTTAATGATGATGATGAATTCGCTGGAATATTATGTTGTTTCAAAAATTTGAATTTTGAAATTTAGCAAATCGAGGTAGATCACGTACGCGGTTTGACGTGACAGTTGAAGCGGCAGAGTGACAGGCGGCAGCGAACGAACGAGTCGGCTGCGCTCTCGAGTTGGTGTTGGGAAGCCGTCGGTGGCTGCGATGGGGTAATTAGGGCTGTGATTGCCTGTCTGTGTAACTGGCATGAGCTTCACACGTCAGCCGACGCGCCTTAACTATGCATGAGATATCTCGGCAGCTGACAGCGGGTGGTTAAAAAAGTTAAGACAGCAATCAGCCGAGTGCTCCATTATTGATACTCTGTGCGCTCTCGACCTCGGCAGCTTCTTCTTCGTCGTCTCTTTTGGGAACTAAATGGCGCGATATCACTTCGCACTTTTGCCACTCTGAGAGCTTTTCCGCTTCATTTTTAGATTAAATTTGCCCCGGCCAAAGTGCGTGCGTGTTTCGAGAATAATTTATCACCCGCCGCCGCCGACTAAACAAACGGAAAAGAAACCGAGATTGCCGCTGTCACTTACCCGCCTTTCAGCACCGCCGAGGGAAAAATAATTTAAAATCAGCATGATTGCGTCCGACCGGTGAAAATTTTAGCAAAACTCCATACAATTTCCGGAGCAAACAAGAAGTACAATTTCATTGTGTGCCCGAATTTTTGAACTTTCTCATTCATTTTTAGGAACAAAAGGGCTGCATATTTTGTGTTTCGGTAAAATGGAAAACAATGCTCAAAGAACGTGGCAGTTTGCACACTAGAACGTTCCCGTCCGCGGCGCGTGTGTGAAAGCGTTCAAGAGCGGCCCTTTTATTGTTACTTAAAAAGCGAAGTAGCCGAGCTAACGAAACGTAAAACAATACGTTCGCAGAGGGTAAACACGCCGGAATAGAAATGTATTCACGCTTGAAAGAAATAATTAAAAGTTCGTTGATGAGGGCCGAAACAAAACGCGCATTGAAAAGTTTTCTAATTTTCCTCCCTGTGAGGAAATTCAAAGGGCTATGACGGTTTTGAAAATTTGCTTTTAAATTTTGTTAAAGTACTAAATTAAAATATTAATTTTCTTATTATGGCTCAAAGTATACAAAATCTTCAAGTTGACTGACACAAAATTTTTGTTTACTGATCAAAAATATAAATTTGAGCTCCCAGAGACTGCAAATTATTTAAAATTCATGAAATATCAATTTGAAAAAATTTCTCCTGCAATGACAAACTTGACCTGGAAACTAGCAGTACACTTAATTAATGTTAAATTAGAATTATTTTTTATTTCTATGCTATTTCAATTGACTTGACAAATTGGAGAAGGAGATGTACTATTTGTCTAGCGCAATAAATTTTGATCTAATCTAATCAAATGGTTCCAATTTTATCCTTCGTAAAAATAAAACTTTCCACGGCACATATTATCAATACATTTAGAGTGTGATATCAAGTTCATATTTTTCATTTTTGTGTCAAATTCCATTGATCTGTGTTAGTAAAAAAGATTACACCAGTCTCATGATAAATAGAAAAACCAGAAAAACAAAAGGCGTGAATTCTAATTTTAATAAAAACAATAATTATTTTATGTAATTAGAACGCTCAACCATATAAAAAGATTTTGCGTTTGTATAAAATCACGAGTTAATATAAATAATTTTAAATATTATACATGGAAAATTATAAGTAAAATTAAATTTAAAAAAATTGAATTCTTTGCACAAGCGTCACGAAGCATTACAAATTCCTACTACATTAATAAATTAAAAATTATAATAAAAAATATTACACTCTATAAAAACCTTAGTGTCTTCAGTTATTTGTCAAAATAGATTTAGCGCCATTGAGCCAGTTTCAGAACCGTGTTCGGCGGAGAAAGTGGAGCGAGAAGAACCGCACGAAATAATTTAACGATAGTGAGAGCGCTTCTTGTATTGGCTTTGGGAGCGATGAATAAATCAGGGTCTGATTTCAAGATGAAATCCCGGCCGCGATGAATTCTTCACGCGCCACTCTGGCTTCCGTGGCCAATTCCTGATCAAAATTTTACAACGCAATTCGCACCTTTGAAATGGAGCCCGATCTCTCTGGATAAATCAAAACCAGTCCTATATCTAGAGAGGTTATTTTTCCTCCACTCCACTTCACCTCTCGCTCACATTTTTCTAGGTAGATATATTTTTGGCCAAGGAGTTGCAGGAATACCGAGTTAAATATTCAGTTTGAAGGCCGGGATTTGCTCTTGTCATATATTATTTTATTCCTTTTGTGACCCCTGCCCAGGATCAAACGGAAAAATTACAGAAATGGATACCTGCGCTGCTGATTTAGAATTCCTTTTCAACTTGCGCTGCACGCAAGAGACAATGGCAATTCGCCTCATTCACATAAGTTTTTTTCACTCTAAAACTCGGACAGTGAACGGCGACGTAACGATCAATGATTAGACACAGAAGAATTTCAAAAGATAATTTTTATAATGTTTTCGCCAGCCATTTTACAAATTCAATGATTATTTAGTTAATCAAGTAAAATTTCATTTTAAGAAAATGAAAATATATTTGAAAAAAAAAATGATTTAATGTTTACTTTAAAATAATTTGCTTGCAAAACTTATTTACTTTGAAGTAAGGGGTTGTTTTCAATTAAAACTTATTAAAATTTAAAATTTATTACTAAAATAACTTCTCTTCTTCACTTATGGGATTTAAAATTAACCATTGAAGTGTTCCTAAAATTTGGTCCTCTATCAAGGCAAGCTTGCGTATATTTATGCATTTGGTGTCAGAGTGAAATTAAATAATAAAATTATAATTTATTCCGATTTTAAACTATTAAGTAATTACATCATTTCACTTTTGAATACAATGTAAAACCAGATAAGCTCACTTTTGGCATCACAAATCATTCTGTGCTGGCTTTCATCTGTGAAGAGAAGACACGTACGTCAGAGTGGCGCACAGTTGAGCGCATTTTCTGCACATTGTCCCTCTCATTTGTATTTTCCTCTATCATGGCAATGTTTGCTCGGGCAATAATGCTGCTCGCGCAGATCAAAGGACAGAGGACGAGGTCCTCCCTGACTGGCAGCCAAGCAAGTCGAGCGTGAACAAAACACACATAGGGGCTTACAGGACGGTTTTTTTTGGACTTGGCCGCAAACCGCGTCCGAGAGATCTCAATCTCGGACCTGCACAAAGCGGATTATCCAATTTGAAAAAAGGTTCGGTTTTGCAAAATAAAAAGGAATGATTCGGGAGTTTGGGCGGCCGGGATGCTCCGAGGAGAGAAAGAGAGATGCAGCCGCCGAGCCCCCTTGCCTTTTGCAAACAACACGCGACACAAAGAATTATTTACATTGTTGTATTAAAAATGAGGGAAGCAGTGACCCGTGGTGGATTAAATTGGGAGTCGCTGCTGCATATTTCATGCTATTTGTTTTATACAAAAAGCTTTAAAGATTCGTCTCATGAAAGTTTCACCGCGGACACACAGAGAGTGGATGCCTGGTCGAGAGAGCACTCGACAGTGCCCTCACATGTGAATATAGTTTTCTGTTTGTTCTCGCAGCGAGCAACAGCATAATAATGCAACACAAAAATTGAAATCCGCCTCTCTCATCTTTCTGTCCAAACGGCAACAATGCAGTTGTTTCTCTGCGCTAGAAAATCAAATTTTATCCCTGCAAGAGAGGAGCAGAAATTTTCTTTATAATTTTTTTGCAGGAATTTCATCCAATTAATTAAAAACCTTCGCATACTAGCATATTTAATTTCTACCCTTCTCCACTAATCTTGCTCTCTAGCAATCATGAAAAAATTCTGAAAGGTTGCTAAATTTCAAGTATATCTTGTGAAAACACTATTTAAAAATTCCAAACCGATGCGTCTCAATCAAAAGAAAACCTAAATACGAGTGATTCGCGCGAAAAACGTGTGAGAATTGAGCAGCCAATCAGATCCATCAGTTTGTTCCAAAAACTACAGACTTTGGTCACATTGGCGCTGCGATCGCTGATTTTGCCAAGTTTTCTGCATCGCTGTGGGGCATTAGTGGCAAAATCAGCGATCGCAGCGCCAATGTGACCAAAGTCTGTAGTTTTTGAAACAAACTGATGAATCTGATTGGCCACTCAATTCTCACACGTTTTTAGCGCGAATCTCTCGTGTTTAGGTTTTCTTTTGATTGAGACGCAACGGTTTGGAATTTTCAAATAGTGTTTTCACAAGATATACTCGAAATTTAGCAATCTTTCAGAATAGAGAGCAATACACTTGACCGGAGAGGATCTTTAAGTATCAGGAATTAAATTTTCAATTCAAGAAGTTAATTTTTCCTGCAAAGGTGTTCTTATCTCAAACGAAACTTGCCATATCCATATTTTTCACCTGCTCCGTGTGCAAAATGAAAACCAGCAAGCGGACGTGAGTGCAGCATTGCCGTGTCGTTTAAGCGGCTTATTACTTTTTCTCCTTGAAGGCTTCTAATCCAGTTTCTTCAGTACATCGCGCCATTCTACTTTCAGCTAAAAGGATTTCCTCATAAAAGGGGCGAATGTAACGGTGCAAAAATATTTGTGCAGTGAATAAAAGTCTCCACGGCAGTTTTCGCAGAGCAAAAATGGCTCCACGAAAGCCGAGACGCCGGTGGAGCGGAAAAATAAAGAAAGCTAGGTCTGAAAAGCCGAAAGCGTGCAGCGTCCTTAAAAGGAGCCGCGCCTCAATCGGGGGTGGTTGGCCCGGAGGCGGCGGAGGCGGCATTTGATTCGGGAGAAGCGGGGCGTCTCAATCTTCGCGTGCAACAACGGCACAAGGGCCCCTCGGGGCGCAGTATAGTGACGTTAATATTGCATGAAATGCCTTTTGAAATACAACTGCACGAGGGCCCATTTAATGGAGAGAGAGACGCCGAGAAAGAGAGAAAACACACAACGCCAAAAGTCAATTTACCCGCCGCGACTCCTGTAACATAATTATCGCGAACAATCTGCCATGATAACGCTCGTCACGTAAACCACTTCTATTTTTGCTAGATTTTCTAAGTTTTATTTAAATTGATATATTGATGTTGAGTAATTTGAATGATGCAATAATGGTCAGGTCAAGATTGAAATCCTCCATTCCCCAGGGGTCGTTTATTGGGACATAAGAAAAGTGGTAAATGTGTGTTTTTGATGTCATTTTTATTTTTATTTTTTATTTTTTTTATTGTAGGGTCAGGCCAAGACAAAGTCTTATCGGCTTGTGCCCTTTATTGGTGGTACAGAAGGCACCACCCAATTTAATATTTTTTTTTTTTTTTTTTATTATTTTTGGGTTCAACTTTATTTAAAAAATGGTATTAAAGATCCACTCCGGTCGTTTGTATTGATCTTTATTCTGAAAGATTGCTAAATTTCGAGTATATCTTGTGAAAACACTATTTGAAAATTCCAAACCGTTGCGTCTCAATCAAAAGAAAACCTAAATACGAGTGATTCGCGCGAAAAACGTGTGAGAATTGAGTAGCCAATCAGATTCATCAGTTTGTTTCAAAAACTACAGACTTTGGTCACATTGGCGCTGCGATCGCTGATTTTGCCAGTGTTCTGCATCGCTGTGGGGCATTTTTTCAAATATTTGAATTTTGTTTATTAGGCTTTATTTCTTTCATTTATTTTGTTTTCATAGAAAATTATTAAAACAGTGTTAATTTCATTGACCTGGGGCCATCAGGACAACCATTGAGGGCCAAACTCACTTTCCTTTAAAACTTTTGAAACAATTAAAACCATTAATTGTAATTTTCAATACAAGATTCGCGTCTCACCCTTTTATCATTAAAATTCATACTTAAAGTTCTTTTAGTATTTTTCTATGACAGTAAATTAAATAATTAAAACCTTTAAATTAAAATGCCGCAATACACATAACATACTTTTAACAAATATATTTATTATACAAAAAATTATGTATCTGTCTTTCCCCTCGGTTCCGAAAGCTGCCTAGTTTGATATAATTGCGGTTGAATCGGCGGTGCGCAGCCGGAGGGCAAATCTAAGCAGACAAATCCACCTCTCGGAAGTGGCCTGCTGCACCGGCGAGCAGCAAGAACGGGGTGTGCGACTGTGTTCGGCTCCCCTGGCTTAATTTGATTATCGGCCAGCAGTGAAATTCCAAAGTCAAACAAGCGTGCGTCGGAGAGAGCTTCGGGGACTGTGTGGAATTAGAGCGCGATGAGGGCCGTGAGCGCGCAGTTTGCATCTGGCTGTTTGTCAGCGAGTGCATTTGGCCCACGGGCGTTTGCTCAAAGAGCCACCTCATCACCGGAGCTATTTATCCACCAGCAAGCCAGCCGAGCTCAATCAAATGAAAGCAAAAACCACCGCGGGCCAAATAATTCATCAAATCAGCGCGCGGCGCGTCCGGCGCAGCGGCTAATTAATTTATTTATTGACTCAATCGTAATTGGAAAAATGTAACAACACACACACAAAAAAGTGAGCAAACAGCACGCGCCAAAGCAGTGCGCTTTTCCACCAACAGGCATGTTTTTATTCGCCCTTTTTATTTTGCGCTCTTTTTACTCGCTAAAATGTTTGCCAGGGCCGATGGCTTTTTTATTGTTTGCACAAAAGCGAAAACGCGCGCGAATTTTGCAGAAAATATCGACGCGCAATATCGCTTCGCTGACTGCATATTGCTTGCCAATAAAATTAATATTTTTTTTCTATAGAAGCTTTGTTTTTTTTTACCTTTCAAATATCCCTTACAGCTGGTTCTGATATGAAAATAACGTTATAAAATTTCAAAATCACTTTTTAAAAATAGAGAGTCAACAGAGGAGACTCCGTGCCAATTGGGGCTAATAATATTGTTGTTTGTCACGGATTTCACCATTTATTTTGCACCAATAATAATTTTCATTTTGATGTGAAAACTGACTGTACCTGTAAATTTTGCGGAGATCAATGTACACAATATCATGTATTAAAACTTGTTCGATGAAGAAAATGAGCGAGAATTTGCACACCTACGGTGTTTAATAAATACTTAATTCATAATATTGTTGTTTTTTTTAATTAAATTAATCTGATTATATCAAATAGTATAGTTAAGGCTACGGAGCGAGTTAAAATACTGTATTTGAAAGCAACACGCATTTTGGCGTACGTATAAATAAAAGGGCGGAAATGCGATAAGTTCAGAGACGCGGAGAGAATAAGATATCTTTTGCAACTGTGCTGCAGTGACGTCCTTAAAATGAAAATGTTCAATCACAACTATGGCAAGCTCGATTTTTCATGGATTTAACGAGCAACTATTTGAACTGTATGATTTCAGATATTTGTGAACCAGAATTTAGCTTCGTGCCATACACTCAATTTAATAATTATGTAAATGACGAAGATGACTTACTGTTGGCCTGCGATTGCAAAATTAGGTATCATTTGCTATGTGTCAATAAAACTCACGATCCTGATTGCTTGGAATGTACTTGGAAAATTCAGGCCTTCAGAAACGGAACATGATATGATGATGTCAAAGATGTGCCTTGCAAACCCAGTAAGAATGATTCACGATTAGGTTTTGGTAGCAATGGTGCTAGTTAGAAAAAATTAACTCCTCGCAAATAGCAAACAATTGCAACAAATATGCTATAATAGTTTACTGTGTAAATTACTGAATAATAAATACTTGAAAGTGCTTGAAAGAATTAAAATATAATATTTTGCAAAAATTGCATTTTTAACTATGCCATTAATTTCAGACGATTTTACTCATCCGCAGTTAATAAAGTCATTACTAGGAGATTGTTCTGATGGTAATGCCTTTTTGCACAATTGTTTTTTTTTATATGCACATTCACGCAAAAAAGATATATCTATAAATAAATAAATATAATCTAAATCCGAATAAAGTGAATTTTTCCTTTGAAATCCACTTTTTAAAAATTTTGAATTTAGTACTGAAATTGAATTGCACAAGACCACCTTTTTTTATTTAAATGAGAAAATTTCGCGCACAAGACCTCCTTTTTATTTTGAAATACCCTAAATATGTTTTATTTGAAGAAATAAGACATTAATATTTTCTTTTATCCAAATTTTGAATGGTTTTTAAAAAAATGTTTTCGTAGAAGAGAAAATATCAGATTGATTTTTTAAGTCTGAGTAATTTAGTATATTCTCTTTATATTAAATTTATTTCTGCATGAGACAAGCTAAATGGCATTGTTGATTGGTTGATTCAAACAACGACCAAAGTTTTTGTCAAAGGAAGTGCGATAAGATTGGCTGTACATATACATTGAAAGACACACAATCTCCTTTTGCAGCAGTGCAGAGGCGTCCGTCGAACGAAATGATCTCAAATCGCAAGATGGTCTTTCGTTATTGCTTGCTTTGTCTCTTCATCTTCAGCGCTGCGAAATCAGAAGAAACGCCAGAAGTGTATCAATCAAAAAATTGTTGCTTCACGCAAAATTTATTCAATAGATACCACTATTGCGACATCAGAGGAATTGCCGTCTCAAGACCAGGCGACAAGATTGTTTGCTATTGCAGGGTTTGCATGAGCGAAGAATTGTTGGGATCCACATTTGTGTGCTCTGACGACGGAAATTTCTACCAAACTCGTGTAAATAACACCGAATTGAATTACAATTGCTGTAAGATTTTGCCAAATATTGTGGATATGTTTATAACTTTATGATAAAATTACAGATGCGTGCCAACCAGCAAAATGCTCCCTGCCGTACACCCTCTATTATGATTTTGCTGAGGGACATGAATCGCAATTAGTCAGCAAATGCAAAAGCAACCCTTCAATGACTTATCAACTGACGTGCATCGCCAATGAAACCAATGATGACTATTGCGTAGACTTGACGAAAACAGAGTTGTGTGTCTGGAAAATTAAGGCCAACGGCGGCGAACCTTGTCTTCCCCGTAATTATAATTTATTAATTTAAAAGTGCCATCAACAAAAGCTGAATAAAACAAGTGATTTAAATTTTATGCACTAGAATAACCACTTTACTTCTTGTAAAAATTGAATACGTAAACAAATATTTAGATAGACTTATGCAGTACAAAATATAATTATTTCAAATTATTTATGTCTAATGACAATGTTTTCAATTTCAGACAACGCCACCATTCTGCAGCCAGAAGAGCCAATATTAGGGAATTGGGGCCTCTTCATTCAGTTTATTTTGGTGTCAATACCTTTCTGCTCAATCGTCTTTTGGATGTATGTAAATGGAAATAAAATGATGTGATTTTTTCCATTTAAATAAAAATCTCATAGATATTCCAAGATATGATGTTTTATTTCAGCTATCATTTTTAAATTAAAATTTTACAGAGAGTTTTATTTTGATTAAAACTATAACTAATTATTATTGCTTATTCTAGTCGAGTCATTAAAAAAAAAATTGAGAATTATGAACGGTAATAAATAGGCTCGTGTTTTTTAGTCGATCAACTTTTTTTCTACATCGCTAGGAACTTTACGGAAATGCATTTTCTGCATGAATCAAGTGATTTTATTACGATTGGCACCTATTTAAAATCGACTATTTCTTCAATTTCCGACTAAAACAGACTAAAATGACAGGCTTTTTTAAATTTTTAAGCAAAAATATGTTTTTCCAGACTTTGAAACAAAACTTCCGCAAAATTTTGCCAAAAAATTTTGAAGAGTTAAAAATTATTTATTTAAAAAACTTTTATCAAACAGATTTTATTTCAAGCGACTGAAAGTAGCACTAAATAAAGCTATTTTTCATATTCAATTCCAAAAAAGAAATAAAATATGTGATGGATGCAAAAGTCATAATTTTTCAATAGTGGAAAAAAATGTTTTTGAGTATTTTTAGAACATCATAATTAAAATTTTTGCGACAAAATATAAATTTTGTTCCCAAATATCAAACAAAACGTGTATTTAATTAAATTACCATGTTCAACTATCTTCAAAATATACATATTATTTCAATACAATATTACGAAAATTGTATAACGTATGATAAAATCACGAAGTTCTGCATAATTGCTAGCTAGGTAATTTAAAGATGATGAAAAATGGGGGATTTATGCTTCCAAAAATGGATATTTATTAATGCGCAATCCAAAAAATCGATTAAATTAATATTTTCATGTATTTTAAGGCTCAAAAAATCAGATTTAAAAAATCGACTAAAACCGACTATGTTGGCTAAAACCAGCTAAAAAGGTGACTAAATTTCTGCAAAATCAACTAAAAATAGTCGACTTTTTGACTCCTAAAAACCGACTAAAATGCGCGAGCCTAGTAATAAAATGTTGCAAACGATTCAAACAACGACAGATCCAAGTCTTGGCGAGACAGGAAACAATGCGATAAGATTAATGCAACCCATTCGCATCAATGACGCCTTGTTATTAAAAAGTATTAGAAGGCCATTAAATAATCCTGAAACCTTAATTCACCACTGATTGCTTTTTTTTTCAAATAATTTCCAACTGCGGAAGGAGCTCGCACTGCGGAGGACTGTGGCAGCCGCCGCAAGTTTTGCTTTTTATCTGCGACGAGAAGGAATTGTAGCGGCAGTGAAAAGGAAGCGTGTGTTGGTTCATTTTGCGGGCTCCATTTGAGAGAGCTTAACTAACCTGCAGGTTGGTTGGCTGCCGACTCTGCCCTGCCTTGGATAGATATAAAGTGTTGCAATGCAGGTATATCCACAAGAGCAATAATAAAATTTCCTTCAATTTTATGTCTCGCCGCAAAAGAGTCGTTAAACTCGCTCGCTCCCCTCTGGTGTAGCCGTGCGGATATACTGTTGTGTTCTCTCTCTTGTCTTCTTACCTTTCCGGCTTTTTTATTGGCCAAGATGAATCCGAAAAGGAGCGGCTGCCGCAAACGCGCACATCTATTTGCCAAATGAATTTACTGCGCCCTCGACTGCAATTTTTTTTAATTAAAAAAGTCGCCCTTGAAATGGGTAAAATAAAAAATTTCTTTAGTGGATTTTTAAGCTTTTCTTTTAAATTAGAGCACAAGAGGTGCAGATTATCTTGCTCGATACCCCTTGGCGGGTGGAAAAGCTATGGCTGTTTTATGGACCTAAGAAAGTGGAATGGAGGGTCCAGGGAAGAAATTGTATTTAACTGCCGCAAAGAATTGTCTTGGTGCATATAAAAATATTCCGGCTCACTCCAGTTGTACTTTTTATGGCGCTAATTTTTTTATGCTCCCTCAAATTGAATTTTTCATGCCACGAATTTCGGCTGAATAATTAATCGGGATAAGCCGCGCTCATCTTTCCTTCTTTCCTCGGCCACAATCACAAAAATGGATACGGCCCTGCTCGTGAATTATGCACGGCGCACGTCAGCCTCTTATTATTACCCCGACTATGGTGGACTTCCGTGCAGCGCCGGAAATAATTTCGGACGCCGACCTTTGCTCCGAAACCGCAAACCGGCATGTGCAAGGAGGCCTTTCCGCGAAGTGCAACTTTGACTTCCCTGCGTGTGCAAACCGCGGTTCTTGTTGGTTGAACAAAGTGAAAGGGTGCAGCTCACGTCATGCGCATTGATTAATTCAACCAGTACTTGGGACCATTTTTATGCGGATAATTGTTTCTTTTACTTCAAATTCATTTCCTGTCTTGCGACTCTGTGTTATTCCTTTTTTTGTTTTAATCGAAAAATAACATTTTTCTTTTTTCCCTGAATATTTGTTCCAATCGAAATAATTCAGGGACCTGATTATAGCGATCATCATTGCATGACCTTGTAATGTTATTCTTATGATCAAGGTCAAAATCAAATGGTGCTATAATGAGGTCCCAGATTTAAATTTTATCGACTCTTGGTAAATACTCGGTTATTTATGACTTTTAGTGCTGCTCACTAGCACTGTGTTCCTATTTTTCTCCCAACCAATTTTTCACAATTGGGTGTTCTGACTTGTTTGGAGTAAAATAAACAACGAGAATAATAAATAATAATAATAACAAGGCAACATGGATTAAGCCACGAGGAAACCGTTAAACGTTTTTACTACGTACAAATTTCGAGAATGCATAATTCAAGTAAATTATTGAGCAAATAAAAAACCTCTACAAAATTGATCGTATCCTTCAAAATTATGTTGCACTTTCATTTTTTTTTTAAATTTTCACGCTGTTTTATTATCTATATCGAGCTCTTTGGACTTATTTCGTTCACAGCTTCCGGCCGAATTTTAGCAATGGCGCAAAACCATGAGAAATACTAATTAAATCTTCAGGAAAAACAATTTAAATTGGTATCCATCGACACTGATTGTGTGTTCTAATGCTTGGGGGAGCAATTCATTGGAAACCGCAAATTGATGTGATGAAAAATTTAAAGCACCTCTCAAACTTGTTCTCTTTCTCTCTGCCGGCCGCACACACTTTCAATTAAGAAAAGCAATTTCGACCCTTTTATCGTGGAGGACGCGAATTATTATTTTTAATCTGCAATTCGACCAAGTTGAGCGGCGAGAGCGATAATTTAATAATTCGGCCGGTTGCAGGGTCGGCCACGCGAGGATACTTAAACGGGCGGGCGGGCATGATACAAGCGACCGACCAAATGAACACACACGCATGCATTATGCATTCGCAGCAACTTAGCAGATTTAACTACACACATAGTCACATGTGAGCCTCACTTATCCCGCAGAATAATTTGCGACCCCTGCAGACGGCAGGAAATTAACCTGGGGATTATACCTGGCATGTATGCAACCAGCCGTGCACACATGCACGCAGTCGTTGTCTCTCTATTATTGTTATTATATGTATTCTCGGCTATAGTCAACAAGCTGAGCCGATTTCGCGGGAGGTGCAGCGAAACGAGCGAAAGGATTACCGCCTTTTAATTAGTCAAAAGTGCCCTGCTTGCGGATTTGCAGTTTTGAAATAATGGTGGCTTATTTTTTTCTCATCCAGTCCAAATCTGTGGCCGCTTTTTATGATAATCTCTCCAAATGGAAAACGGAGACGTCTTTTTTATTGAGTTTGTAATGTGTTGTTCGAATTAATCCGAGGATACAGGAAAATTAATTTTGCTCGTGAAAATGAAAAAATATACCGAAAATGGATTTCGGAAGATTTTGTTGCCGTTGAAAGCGGATTAAGAATGAAGATGTCATATGAATTCTCAAATTCAATTTCAAAATTTCTTTATTTTGTTCAGCATTAATTTGCAGTAGCTTTAAACACTTTTTAAAATAAGTCAAGATAATTGTATTAATGTCATTAATCAAACGGTAAAATTAGTTTAAGTAAAAAAGAACAAAAGCTCCTCGTCGTATTTAAGGATCTCTTCTAAAATTGATAATCAGTAGACTTTAATTTAATTTTAATAAACAAATTCAGATTAAAATCATTGATGTATTATATGCATGATGATAAATGAAAATTGTACTCTTTAAATAAAACAAAAAATCTATACATTTGAATAATCAATCTTTTATCTGGTTTAAAACTAATATAGAGTGAAATTTCGATGGTTTATTAAATTTCTAACATAAAAGTTTACTACTGATTATGTTCAATTCAATCGGGAGTTTTGGTTAAAAAAAAAAAAATTAATGATATTGGCGAAAAATCAATACATAAATCAAAAATGAAGAAACCCAAAAACTGTAAATTCAAAATATTCTTAATTTTCAATAAAAAAACTGCAAAATTTAATTAATTTATTTACCACACATTTCCATTGATACATTTCTATCTTACATTATTGATTGCTTTAGTTGCTGCCAATATATTGTTAAATAAAACGACTTATCTTTTTTAAATTCAATAAAAATATGGATTCATATAATTTTTGATGATAAAATTAGTTTCGCTCAATAATTACAGTTTACTTTTGCTTGTTTTATTCTAATTCTATTCATGGTAAATCATAGTATTCGAAAACGGGCAATTTTTTTAAATTAATGATTGGTAAAATTCTTCAAAGCAATTGTAATTAAATTATTTATTTACGCAAATGGAACGGCTAACAAATACCAACCAAAACAAATTATAGATTACTTTGCTGTGTCCGCTGGCAAGGTGTAATTAAAGCGTTTTTGCGGCGCATGCACATTGCGATTGGCCAAACACAATTTCGCGGCGAGTTCAATGGATTCCTTTGATCAGACGAGAGTAAAAATGGTACACATAAAAGCAGCGCGGTAAAAAATAAAAAACCGGCAGGTTGCCAATTTGCAAAAAGTACCGAGCGGCAGCATGAATAATTTGGCGCGGCGTGTGTTTTATGAAACAAGAGTGGGCGGCCAATTACGAA